GTGACGCATCCCGCCCAACCACTGGCCCTGGTACGTACCTGAGAGACAACGGACAGTACATGAAACAAACACTAGAGGGAGCAGTGGTTCTCACATCACAGACAATAATCTACCACTGTAAGAACGAAAGTCAGTCTTGAACAGAACTTTAAAAGTGATAATATTAGACTAAATTAGGGTTAGTTATCTTAGGTTAATTACTCTCACAGATCCAAATATGGACTAACTCAACTAAGTCGTACCTATAGTCAGTGTTGTGCAAGTTCACACTTTTCATGAACTAGTTCAAAGTTCAGTTCACACTTGTTCAAAGTGAATAGTTCACGTTCATAGTTCACAATTTTAATTTTGAACTAGTTCAAAGTTCAGTTCATTTTATATTTAGATGAGATCTGTAAATGAAAGGCTGCATTTATTTTTCAAACTGACTTCTAGTTTACAACAACTTTACAAGATCCACTGTTGGACAAGTGACTTTAAAACTGTAATGTTTTATTTATGACTTGTTACTGTCATTTCAAAGTCATTTGTTACATTACAATATTACTGCATTTAAAATGTAAAACATTATATGACTATTGCAGCACTTTTAATTTACTCTCACCAAAAGAACTGTTAAGATGCTGAACTTTTGCGCCGTATATGGACTGAACCAGGACTAAACCAGGACTAAACCAGGACTAAACCAGAACTGAACCAGGACTGAACCAGATCTAAACCAGGACTAAACCAGGTCTATACCAGAACTGAACCAGGACTAAACCAGGTCTAAACCAGGTCTAAACCAGGACTAAACCAGGACTAAACCAGAACTGAACCAGGACTGAACCAGGTCTAAACCAGGAATAAACCAAGACTAAACCAGGACTGAACCAGAATTGAACCAGGTCTAAACCAGGACTGAAACCAGGACTGAACCAGGTCTAAACCAGGAATAACCCAAGACTAAACCAGGACTTAACCAGGTCTAAACCAGGAATAAACCAAGACTAAACCAGGACTGAACCAGAATTGAACCAGGTCTAAACCAGGACTGAACCAGGACTGAACCAGGTCTAAACCAGGAATAACCCAAGACTAAACCAGGACTTAACCAGAATTGAACCAGGTCTAAACCAGGACTAAACCAGAACTGAACCAGGACTAAACCAGGACTAAACCAAGACTAAACCAGGACCAAACCAGGACTAATCCTGGACTAGAACTTGGAATCTCGGACCGCCCCTGAGAGAACCCGAGTGCGATCGGGCGTCAGCTGCGTTTAGCTCGGTGGAGCGTGGACTTCTGCGTCGGTCCTTTCGCTCAGGATCACGGTCTACGCGGCTGTACCTCCGGCGTTTCACCGCTGCTGATATCGCGGTGATTTTAGCAAATTTGTATGAAGAAAACGAAAAAACCCACCATTTCAGTCCAGGTTAAAAAGCATTGTGACGCGCGTTACTGACATTTGTACCAAGTAAAATAATACGCGCGTGGAGCAGCACGTCCTGTGCCTGTAGAGCGTCAAAAAATAGGATCCATCCTATTTTTAGAGGCTCTACACGAGCGTAGGCGTCAAAATACACAAAGAGCATGTATCTGTTGTTGTATTTGTGTATTTACCATCAGCACATTTGTCTCCTGGGCAGTTGTGTATCAAGTGAAAGAGCCCAGATCCACACAGACTGTTAATTAGTGCTTTGAAATTTACTTTTGAAATCCTTGCGTTTGCCGTGGTCAGCCTGTACAGAAGGTAAATACAAGCAGCTAAACGCGCCCAGTCAAGTTTGATTGACTTTCCCATTGAGAGACACAAGAGCCCGTACGTTCCGTTAAAGCTGCCGGTGGAGTCGCCTTCGCGTTGACACGCGGCTGTGGTTTCGCGAGGTGAAGTGCGAGCAGATCGTCACTCGTCAGGTGAAAACAAATTCCGACGTTTAACCCCAACAGTGACGTACGTCGTTCATCTCACATAATTTGAACAAATTCACGTTCAAGTTCTTGATTTACAAAAGTGTTGCGTTCAGTTCAAAGTTCACTGAAAAATGAACGTGTTCAATGAACGCGTTCTTTTGAACTCGTTCATGCACAACACTGAGTAATAGATTACATGTACCGGAGTTACGTAATCAGAGTACATATGATGAGTAACTGTATTCAGTTACAGTTACTGTTTCAGTGAGTGGTAATTAGATTACAGTTACTTTGTTGAAATAAATGGATTACATGACGGTATTTTCTGTTTTCACATTTCGGGCTATATCCTTTTTTTTTTTTTTTCCCCCCCACAGTATTCCACTCATTGCCGGACACTGAACCAGGTCCAAATCAGGTCTAAATCAGGTCTAAACCAGGTCTAAACCAGGTCTAAACCAGGACTAAACCAGGACTAAACCAGGACTAAAACCAGGACAAAACCAGGACTAAAACCAGGTCTAAACTGGGACTAAACTAGGACTAAACCAGGACTATAACAGGACTAAACCAGGATTTAACAGGACTAAATCATGCTGTATGAACCGTGTCTCCTCTTCTTCTATCAATAATATTTTTAATTTGGTTCAGTAAAGTCTGTCTTTTTATTTTCTTTTATCAGACAAAACATCTTATGTGAAGATTTCCTCGTCTTTGCTTCTCTACAGCAAATCAAGTAATCCAAAGTATTCAGATTACGTTACTCACTTTAAGTAATTTAATGGATTAGGTTACAAACTACATTTTGGGGGATGTAATCTGTAGGGGAACATTTTAAAAGCCAAATTCCCAACACTGCCTATAGTCTGTATAAAAGAAGTGGACTAAGAGTGTGACGTCACCCACAGTGTTCAGCGTCGCTCAAATGAGGCTCATGATGCAGACGGTGACAGGAGCGAATCTGGAGCCAGACTCTCTGTTATGAATAGGATTTTTTTTGACAGACAAAATAGCAAAAAAAAATTGAAGATCACGTGGAGCGGATTAATCTAAACATTTTAAGACCAAAATGACGAGGCTCACAGCAGCAGGTACAGAGAAAGGAGCCACAAGATCTTAATGTAAAGTCAATTGGAGCCAGAGTCAGAAGGAGCCGGAAGAGCCTCCTGGAGCAGTGTCCGCTCATATACACGGTCTATGGTCGTCCCCGTCCCACAGTTTGAGAACCCCTCCACTACAGGGAGCAGGGGTTTATTCATCCACCAAATCTTTTATTCCTTCTGCCATAAGGCTTTGAAATGGAAAGTGAATTTGCTACTGTGTCCCTGATGCTCTGTGGTTTGAACGTACGGCGTCTGTCTTTTCTTTTATTATTTATAGATTGTGAACGACCAGAGATGTGCGAACTGAACTGCCCTTTGGGATTAATAAAGTTGTTGATTGATTGATTGATTGACCAAACTGAGTCTGTCGCTTTGTACAGTTCTGTACTTTTAAAAACAGAACATCATCTTTGTTAAACTATCATCATGGTAGAGAGTTTCTGTTTGGTTCTTAAAGCTCCAGTGTGTAACTTTCTGTAGGTGGCACATCACCTGCATGATTCTATGGAGATATAAAGTTAAAACCGTACTGTGGAACATTCTCCATGACCATGTAGATCAGGGGTGTCCAAACTTTTTTCATCAAGGGCCACATATCTAAAGACAGACGAAGCAGAGGCCGATCGAGGGCCGTAGACTGGAGCTCAATACAGTGAATAATTAAAATATGTGCACATTTAACATGTTAGAATGAATAAAGATTGATGGCTCATTCTAAGAGCCGTAAAACCACACACTAAATATTAAGTATGAGCTTTCTCAAGGTAGATTTAAAAAAAAACTTGCAGTAAAAAGTTCATTTTTAATTGATGCAAGGTGATTTGGGCCAATTCACCTGGAAGCGTGAGGGCCAAGAAAAATTTGTCTGAGGGCTGCATTTGGCCCCCGGGCCATAGTTTGGACATGCCTGATGTAGATAAACAAGTTGTAGGTCATACTGTGGAATATTAAAGCCAAAAACAGGAAAAAAAAGCAGGAGGCCAAATAAGGTTTGTGGAGATGCAAGCCCGCTCACACTAGACTCATGTTTTTCAATGGAATTAACACAACCAACATGAAAAAAACATGATTATATATGAGTCATTTAGCCAAACAAATATATTATTTGTTTGAAAGTGATACTGGTGCTTTAATGGTGAAACTTTACTGGTTGGAGGCTCATCTATTATTGAGATGTGGCTAGAATGTTCCAGAGTGTGGCATTCATCTGAGTATTTCTATGGACACAAGCAGATGACGTCACCAGGTCAAATTACAGGTAAGAATCTGAAACACTTGATTGAGATGTGAGCGACACTGTGGACACAAATACATAATATTTTGAACGATTGTTGAAAACGTTCACTTCAAATGAGGTGAAATGAAAAAAATACAAACCATAAATGAGTTTCTGGACGATGTTCAGAGTGTGATGTTCCAGCTGTGCTCTTTTAATCCACAATGAGCACCTTAAACAGTTACGACTCGCCCCCTGTGGGCTTTGATTCGACCTACAGGGGGCGCTGAGAGTCTGCGAGGGCTGTTTGTGCTTCTTCCAGCTTTTTCATGTTTTTCAAATATGATTTAGTTTTAGCAAAGTGAAAAGTTGAGAATAAAACACTGAAAATTACAGGAAGTCGTTCTAGTTCCAATAAAGAATCTCCGTCGTCAGTAAACAAAAATCCATCCAAAACGCGGGGACTTTAGAGAGTTGGATGAATTTGATTTAGTTTTATCATATTTATCCATTACTCACAAACTAAATCTGGTTTGAAGGATATTGAGCAATTTGGCATAAATGTTTGGAACAGAGTCATCCTTAATTCTGTGTTGCAACAAACCATCCAAGCAGAATTTTTTCTTATTGCCAAATTCATTTCTGAACGTTTTTATCTCCGATCTGAACCTCGAAACACAAATCCTTCCAGTGATGTGATTCAGTTACAGCGCAAATGTGTCCTGTGCAAATAAAACCCGACAAAAACACAAAACATGTAAATGACGACAAAACTGAACTGAACTTAAAAGTGATAAAACTTTATTCAAATCATAAAACAGACAAAAACATCGACAAAATTATAAAAAACATAAATTATAAAAACTAAAAACAGAAATCATATTTTTTTAAAAGCAAATTCCAAAACACAACATACACACGTGATACTGGGCAAATAATAACAGTTTAACAGAACAGATGAAGGTCAATGCAAAAAGGTTCACAGTAAAGTAAAAATAAGTTGTGCAAAAATAATAATAAATAAAAAATAAAGTTGAATCTGTGATACAAGAGGCTGAATCCTGAAATACAAACTCCACTTTTAATGGTTTATGACATGTGCACTAAAATAAAAACCCTAAAATAAAGCGTTACTTTCATATTTTCTACTAGTTATGCAAGATATTTTCAGAGAGATTTAAAACAAAAAAGTTCAGTGATTGTTTGGGCTGCACCATCAGAAAAAGATGCAATATTTGACATAGTTTTTAATGGCAAAATCTAAAACGGCCCAAGTCTAATGTAGAATTTCACAAGGAAAATCATGAATAAAAATTGTACGCTTTTATAAAATGGAGAAGTTTGTGTTGTAATATTGTGTCCGACAGTATTTGACATCATTCCGTAGGCCAGTATTTTCACAGAATGTAAATAAACTAAGGATGCACCGAAATGAAAATTTGTGGCCGAAACCGAAAATCAACTGTGGTAAAGTTTTTCACATTTTTTTTAATATTGCATAAATAGTCTAGAATAAAATTTTAGACATGTTTTTAAAAGAAAGTAAATGTTTATTCTTTAAATGTTTATTCTTTAAATATTCCAGTCGACTTTCCTGTAAGTTTTTCACTCATATTAGGCTCGGTCTTCAAAGAAAACAATTCTAAAAAAAAACTTTAGTGCATTAAAGTGAATAAACATGAATGAATTATTGTCCTTTTGTCACAAGTCTGCTGAGCCACAGTAGAGAGGATAATAATGAAACAGAAGGCTCAAGTAAATAATAATACTTACACTTAAATATGTGTATCATTCGTTCATTCATTTTTCAATATAAAACCAAAAATAAGAAAACAAAAAAAACAACGATTTTCTTCATTATTTGTCTCCAAAACCAAAACGAAAAAATGGATAATGATTCGTTTTTGTGTTTAAATGAAGAATGGAACAAACGGATAACGTTTCCCGTTTACATGACTTCCGTGACGGTGATGCCGAACTTTTGCACTACATACGGACTGAACCAGGACTGATCCAGGTCTGGGACCAGACCGGGACCAGACCGGAGGCTCAGAGCCCGTGGCAGGGCCGGAGCTCAAAGGCTGAGGCTCGGACCCTGTGGAGGCTCGGAGTCAAAGCTCGGAGTCCACTCTGCTCCCGGTCTCAGTCCCAGTCTCAGTCCTGCTCTGGTCCCGGACCTGGATCAGTCCTGGTTCAGTCCGGCACTGCAGTCACGGCACTGATGTAAATGGGAAATGGTCATCAGTTTTTTCCATTTTTCATTTAAACACAAAATTGAAAACTGAAAAAACGAATCATTATCTGTTTTTTCATTTTGGTTTTGGAGACAAATAATGAAGAAAATCGTTTTTTCTTTTTCTTATTTTTGGTTTTATATTGAAAAACGAATGAACGAATGATACACGGATTCACTTATAATAATAATAATAATAATAAGTGTGAGTTTGTAACCTAATAAACACTTTTTTTGGTGCACTGACAGTAGGACTTTAGCACCGTGCCCAAGCACAGATCACCGTTACTCATACGAGAAATAAAGTGACTAAAATCCGCTCTAAAACACTCAGTGAATCTGCGCTCACCTTCAGTAAGGACTGTGACAGACAGAAGTTTAGCTGCGGCTCGTCTCCGTCTGTCCTCACCGCTCCGACCTGTTTTTATCTCCACAAACTCACAGAGGAGCGCGGAATCATAAAAGGACTAACATCAGCCTCATTCATACTGCTGGACTTTTATTCTCCGCTTAAGCGTTCGCTGCCACATGTAAACACACAGCGGCGTGTGATGACGTCATGAGGTGTGGCTCGGTTCGGTTGCGCAGGTGTGACTGCGGAACATCGAACCCACAACAATCGACATGACGACACTTAAAAGAAGAATCATCACGTCACTCACTCCACCAAAAGCTGAATGTGTCTTTTTTGCAATATTCAGCCAAATATATTCTGTTGCTGAACATTCGGTGCATCTTCTAATATAAACAAATCAAGATTTTACACTTAATGTTTTATATTTGTTCTGTTTTCACGTTGAGCCGTTCACTTGAGTCATTTTGAGTCTTGGAATCTGCCGCACAAACTCACCCAAAACTGAGCAGACTTCCTCTTTATATTTTTGGTACCGAGTCCAAATTTGTGTTGCCAGTTGGTGAAGTTTTTTCCAGATTTTGCATTGAAGCTGCTCAGTCTTGGGCGAGTGTGTGCGAGAAGATTCCAAGACGCAGAGTGACTTTTCTTTGGGACTGAACGGCTCAACCTGAAAACAGAACAAAAATAAAACATTAAATATAAAGTCTTGATCCGTTTCTGTACATTCTGTGAAAATTTTAGCTTATTTTAACAAGAACTGACAAAATTACTTGCAAAATGATGTCAGATTTATTTATTTTTGGTTAAATCTCCAACAGGAAAAGGGTCATTATTTTAAAATACTGAGATGGAGACATTTGTCAGTGTGAGGGACATGAGGACACGGGACAAACTGCTCTCCGTCATGGACACTCCTGCTCACCCACTGCACCAGAGGGACGGATAATACTCCCTACAACTGTACAGCAACTCACCCGCTGCACCAGACTACAGAGCAGCTCTCCATCCCCTCCCAAGCAGATCGCCAAAGGATTTCTAAATTAAAATTTGTGTAAAATTTTATTGATTAAATGCCCATTATGTGAAATGCCGTTTCCCTGACTTAAACTGTGATGTCGGACTTTTGTGCCGCGTACGGACTGAACCAAGACTGAACCAAGACTGAACCAAGACTGAACCAAGACTGAACCAAGACTGAACCAGGGCTGAACCAGGGCTGAACCGGTCTCAGCCCTGGTCTCAGCCCTGGTCTCAGCCCTGGTCTCAGCCCTGGTCTCAGCCCTGGTCTCAGCCCTGGTCTCAGGTCTCAGCCCTGTCTCAGCCCCTGGTCTCAGCCCTGGTCTCAGTCCCTGGTCTCAGCCCCTGGTCTCAGTCCCTGGTCTCAGTCCCTGGTCTCAGTCCCTGGTTCGGTTCAGTCCCTGGTTCGGTTCAGTCCTGGTTCGGTTCAGTCCCTGGTTCGGTTCAGTCCCTGGTTCGGTTCAGTCCCTGGTTGGTCTCAGTCCCTGGTCTCAGTCCTGTCTCAGTCCCTCTCAGTCCAGTCCCTGGTCTCAGTCCCTGGTTCGGTTCAGTCCCTGGTTCGGTTCAGTCCCTGGTTCGGTTCAGTCCCTGGTTCAGTAAAGTCCTGGTTCAGTAAAAGTCGGTAAAGTAAAACCAGGGCTGAACCACGGTCTCAGTCTGGTCTCAGTCCCGGTCTCAGTCCCGGTCTCAGTCCCTGGTCCAGTCCCTGGTCTCAGTCCCCAGGTCTCAGTCCTGGTCCGTCGTCTCAGTCCCTGGTCTCAGTCCCTGGTCTCAGTCCTGGTCCAGTCCTGGTCTCAGTCCCTGGTCAGTCCTGGTCTCAGTCCCTGTCTCAGTCCCTGTCTCAGTCCCTGGTCTCAGTCCCGGTCTCAGTCCGGTCTCAGTCCCCGGTCTCAGTCCCCGGTCTCAGTCCCCGGTCTCAGTCCCGGTCTCAGTCCCGGTCTCAGTCCCGGGTCTCAGTCCCGGTCTCAGTCCCGGGTCTCAGTCCCGATAAACTTTTTTCCATTTTTCATTTAAACACAAAATCGAAAACTGAAAAAAACCGAATTGTTATCAGTTTTTTCAGTTTGGTTTTGGAGACAAATAATGAAGAAAATACTTGTTTTTTTTGGTTTCGTTTACTTATTTTTGGTTTTGTTTTGAAAAACGAATGAGATTGTGCAGCCCTGGTGTTTGGTTAAATCTTTCTCAATCGCCCGACATGAGGAGGGTCAGATTTTAACCGTCAGATCACACAGAGTACGTCTTTATTGTGGAACTTTACCTCCGTCGGAGTACGTCTCGGTGCCGTATCCGTCCTGCAGCCCGTTGCTCCACGTGCCCTCGTACCTGGCGCCGCTCGTGGTGCTCTCCAGCTGACCGTAGCGCCCCTTCAGACCCTGCGTCCACTCGCCGCGGTACTCCCAGCACGCCTTGGTCTCCACGCCCACGCCGTGCCGCTTCCCCTGGGCCCACGTGCCTTTGTAGGAGCCTCCGTTGGGCCAGCTGTAGACGCCCAGGAGCTCGAAGCCGTGGCTCCAGGCCCCGGCGTACTCCCCCTGGGTCTGGGGTCCCGTGCACACGCCCCTGCCGTGGGCCTTCCCCTGGTCCCACCCCCCGCAGTACCACCCCCCATCGTCGAAGTCAAACCTGCCGCCACTGGACATGCATAAACACAGGGGCGCGCACGTGGGGCCGGGGGCGTGCACCAGACTCCGAGTGGGGGAAAAAAAAAGAAAAGCTGGCAAAAGCTCACCTCAATTTCCACCAAAACTAGGGTCCGTTAAGATCTGTGGACAAAATACAGTCTCCAAACGTCAAAAAAAGTGAAGAATTTTGCACGAAAAAATGAATATAGTGAGGCAAATTTTTAAATGAGATGCAAAACTGCTGTGAGAAACTTTTTAAAAAATTGAAAAAGAAAAAGGAAGAGCAAGATTAGAAGTTCGAGCAACGTTAGACTTGAATTTTAGTTTCCCACCCCAAAAAAGGAAAAAAATGCTTATAAATCCTTAAAACAGTGACACAAAAAAAAAAAAAAAATGAAATCACAAAAAAAAAAATCCACAAAATTGCAACTTTTTAATGAGAATTTAAACCAGTCGCGTCTAAGATTGTGACATACTTTAAAAAAAATTTAAACTGTACAGAATTTTGTATCCTGAATTGGCAAAAATCACTTTAACAGCCCGAGATGATTTAAAAATCTGTCGCCGTAACAAAAAAGCGAGTTATTTCATTGCACGCTCCAAAATATTAAAGAATTCTACGTTAGAGTTTCAGCTTCTTAAAATAATTCTATAAATAGCTTTAATAATATAACTTTAAAGGTGTGCTTAAGTTGTTTTAAGTGCTAACCTGGGCAGGGCAGGGTTTTATCGTTCTTAATTCTTAAATATTGATAAAGCTGAGTGAATGAATAAAAAGCTGTATTAAAATAGTAGTAATATATGCGCTATAGACTCTAAATGCAAGCATGCAGTTTAATAGAAATTACAGACTAGAAATTAAACAAATAATTCTGTGACAAATGGAGCTTTAAGTGAGAGTGACCAGACGGTGATTTGTCCCAGTTTTGTACAAGAAATGTCCCAAGTGTGTCTATTTTTGACTCATTTAACACCTAACAAGAGTAAAAAGTGTCTTAAATTGTAATTTGTGAAGGTAAAACAAAAACAAAATCTGCTTAAAACGTGAAAAAACTTGACTCACATTTTAGCCTCTGCCTACAAATTTACCTTAATTATGCACTCTTTTTACAATTTTATCATTACTAAGCACTAAAAAAAAGAGTGTATTTCTTATTTTTGACTTGGTAATTCTGGTCACCCTGCTACAAATGCTTAGAATAATGTGAATTTGTTGACCTAATTGCAAATAAAAATGCACAAATGTGGATTTAGGGCTGAGTAGAGAACGCAAGTGAAAGCTGGTGCACGTATTTGGTAAAAATTAAGCCTTAAATTCCGAATGGCTGCATATAATTGGCGTTTTGAGCAGTTTTAAGTTGATTTTTGCTTCGTTTTTCATGCTGTTTGGTCTCCTCTGGGAGCTTAGGCCTTGTGCATGGATGCTAATGCTATTTTAGGCCTATGACAAGCAATAACTCAAATAAACACCCGCGGATTCCCAGAGCACTTTTAAAACACAAACACGCAACAATATGCAGCTTTAAACCCAGAAATGCTTGGAAAATCTCCCGTTTTGGTGAGAAATATCCGGAAAAAAGCCCCAGTGTGAGAGAAGGGAGCAGCTCAGGGGGGGAAGGTCCAGTCCGGGTCCAGGCTCCGGCGCGCGATTTTCGGCGTAGAAAATGGAAGAGGCGCGGGGCGGAGGCGCTGGAGGGTGAAGCCGAGGAGCCGAGGGAGGTGGCCCGCGTTTCGCCCGCTCTCCCCGGGGTGTGTGTGTGTTTTATCGGGCCCGGTTGTCGCTCCGAGGCTGGGCTCCAGAAGAGTCCGACGCTGAGGCTGCGAGGAGCGGTCCGACGGCAGCCTCCCTCCCGCGGAGCTCTTAAAGGGGCCGCGGAGGAGGAGGAAAAAGTTCACGAAAAACACCGAGAAAACGAGACTAAACCAGGTCTGGACCGGGATTAAATGGGTTTAAAGCAGCACTGTGGAACCTTTCACCTGCTTCAACCATGGAAATGTTATTACTGTGCATTAAACGTGTTAAATGCTAAATAAATTGAAAATCATGCATTCTGACTGTGTTTGGGCTCGCCTCTCCACAGATCTGACCTGTAACTTTGTTTAGTTTTGTCCCATGCTTGTCCCTTTTTATTGTTTTGCTTGAAATATTCCACAATATGGCATTAAACACACCAATTTTTCATGAATAAAGGTGTTTAAATGCCATTCTGACTGTGATTGGGCTCGCCTCTCCACAGATCTGACCTGTAACTTTGTTTAGTTTTGTCCCATGCTTGTCCCTTTTTATTGTTTTGCTTGAAATATTCCACAATATGGCATTAAACACACCAATTTTTCATGAATAAAGGTGTTTAAATGCCATTCTGACTGTGTTTGGGCTCGCCAATCCACAGATCTGACCTGTAACTTTGCCTAGTTTTGTCATCTCCTTGTCTCTTTTTATTGCTTTGTTTGGAATATTCCACAGTAAAGCATTAAACGTATCTATTTTGCATTCTTCAAAGCAAAAAATGAGCTAAAAGTTCACAAAAACACAGAGAAAACGAGACTAAACCAGGTCTGAACTGGGATTAAATGGGTTTAAAGCAGCACTGTGGAACCTTTCACCTGCTTCAACCATGGAGATGTTATTGCATGGTCTATTTTGCATTAATAGCTCGTGTTAAATGCTAAATAAATTGAAAATCATGCATTCTGACTGTGTTTGGGCTCGCCTCTCCACAGATCTGACCTGTAACTTTGTTTAGTTTTGTCCCATGCTTGTCCCTTTTTATTGTTTTGCTTGAAATATTCCACAATATGGCATTAAACACACCAATTTTTCATAAATAAAGGTGTTTAAATGCCATTCTGACTGTGTTTGGGCTCGCCAATCCACAGATCTGACCTGTAACTTTGTCTAGTTTTGTCACCTGCTTGTCTCATGTCATTGTTTTGCTTGGAATATCCCACTGTAAAGCATTAAACGTATCTATTTTGCATTCTTAAACTCAAAAAATACGCAAAAAGTTCAGAAAAACAACGATAAAATGGATTAAACCAGGTCTGAACCAGGATTAAATGGGTTTAAAGCAGCACTGTGGAACATTTCACCTGCTTCAACCATGGACATGTTATTACTGTGCATTAAACTTATCAATTTTTCATGAATAAAGGTGTTTAAATGCCATTCTGACTGTTTTTGAGCTCACCAATCCACAGATCTGACCTGTAACTTTGTCTGGGTGTCACCTGCTTGCCTCATGTTTTTGCTTTGCTTGGAATATTCCACAATATGGCATTAAACATATTTATTTTTGCATTAATAGCAGGTGTTAAATGCAAAATACTTTGAAAAACAAGCATTCTGACTGTGTTTGGGCTCGCCAATCCACAGATCTGACCTGTAACTTTGCCAAGTTCTGTCCCATGTTTGTCCCTTTTTATTGTTTTGCTTGGAATATTCCACTGTAAAGCATTAAACATATTTATTTTACATTCTTAAACCCAAAATACATTGAAAAACATGAATCTTCTTTAGATTGTGAGTAGGTTCTCCTCTCCACAGATCTGACCTGTAACTTTGCCTGGTTGTGCTGTATCTGCTGTATGTGCTATAAAAAATAAAGTTGATTGTTGTTTTATTGTTTTTTATTGTTTTTTTAATTATGTTCTGTAGCACTTTTATAAATAAAGTTGTGGTTGAAGTTGGATTAATCTTCATAAAAATGTCATTTAAAATTTTGCAGGATAAAAAAAAAAATAATAATTAAAAAAATGGTGTTAGGCCTGTAGTATTTGCATTGTCTGTATTTTCCCGTAGTATTTCTGTAAAACCGTCCCGTTGTGTTGTAAAAGTTTTATAGAAATGGGCCAAATTTTCAAACACAAACCGTGAAATGATGCAGAAAAATAAAACTCAAGACTCCAGAACAAACTGAGAGACGGAGCTGTTCACACTGTTCACCACCAGAGGGCGACAACAACACACTGTACTGTATGTTTAAACCCTGATCGACGTGAAGCAAACCTGACATGTCAAAGTTCTATGTGTTATTTTATATTTTAAGATACTCGCTTTATATTCGATGTCAGATGATTTTTGTGTGAGATTTATTAGTTTGTAATTGAAACAGACACAAACACTGTGATGTAATTTTTAAAAAAAAAAGTCTAATTGAGTCACTGTTAGGGCTAAAACTGATGATTTCTGGACTGAACAAATTATTTATATTGTACTGTTTTGTTTTTTGTTTTTTAATAAAGGTTGAAATGTGGTGGTCCACTTTTAGACCTGGTTTAGTCCTAGATTAGACCTGGAATAGTCCTGTTATAGACCTGGAATAGTCTTGTCAAAGACCTGGTTTAGACCTGGAATAGTCCTGTTACAGTCCTGGTTTAGACCTGGAATAATCCTGGTTTAGTATTAGATTAGACCTGGAATAGTCCTGTTACAGACCTGGTTTAGACCTGGTGTAGACCTGGAATAGACCTGGTTTAGACCTGGAATAGACCTAGTTTAGACCTGGTTTAGACCTGGAATAGACCTGGAATAGACCTGGAATAGTCCTGGAATAGTCCTGGTTTAGAACTGGAATAGTCCTGGTTTAGACCTGGTTTAGACCTGGAATAGTCCTGGAATAGTCCTGGTTTAGACCTGGAATAGTCCTGGTTTAGACCTGGAATAGTCCTGGAATAGTCCTGGAATAGTCCTGGAAGTCTTGGTTTAGACCTGGTTTAGACCTGGTTTAGATCTGGAATAATCCTGGTTTAGACCTGGTTTAGTATTAGATTAGACCTGGAATAGTCCAGTTACAGACCTGGTTAAGACCTGGAATGGTCCTGTTACAGACCTGGTTTAGACCTGGAATAGTCGTTTCATAGACCTGGTTTAGACCTGGTTTAGACCTGGTTTAGACCTGGTTTAGACCTGGTTTAGACCTGGTTTAGACCTGGTTTAGTTTTAGATTAGACTTGGTTTAGATCTGGAATAGTCCTGGAATAGTCCTGGTTTAGACCTGGTTTAGTATTAGATTAGACCAGGAATAGTCCTGTTACAGACCTGGTTTAGTTCTGGATTTACTCGTAAAGTACTTGGTCTAGAACACAGAAGTGTCTGGGTCCAAACGTGGGGCACATTTATTGTGAGACAGATTCATGTACAGACGTAAACAAACAGAACAGAGTATAAACAGACGAGAGAGTTTTATGTGAGAATGTCGTGCGCCTGCTGCTCCACCAACATCGCCATGTTCTTCACGTCTCCACACCAGAAATCCAGACGCTCCTTCATGCCCTTAATCTGAAAAAACAACACCACCAGATCAGACACAAAAGCTCACGGAGCAACACGACGGTCTGAGGGACGAGAACGAAATACGATTGGCGCGAAAACGTTTTGTTCCAATTGCAGCTCATTCCGTGTCACTAAACATCGTCCGCTCATTTATTCATCAAACTGAACATTCTTAATATTTATGATTCTCCACAGAGCTCATATTTCCCCTTATCAACATAATAAATTTAAGCTCTTAGCCGTTGTGTTTGAAGCCCAAGAACAGGATTGGCACCGTTTTGGGTCTTGTCCAAAAGTGCAACAATTTTGGCAAATGATTGGACAAAAAAATACAAAAAATTCTGCCTGTAAATTTAACTCACAATCCTTTATTTCTGTCGCTTGGTGTAATTGACCCCGTTGTGAAAGATAAATATAATAGAAAATTTTACGGGATGCTGGATTTTTGTGCCAGAAAAAGTCGACTGGTGAATTGGGTTTCTGAAGATGTCCTCGGTTTTGTTTCTCTCGATTACCTGATGTGTCGGTTTCATCGTCAGGACAATATCTTTAAGAAGACTTGGGAACCATTTTTGATGTAAACTGGACTTGAGATCTCAGCCATTATGAACAGGGTATTTACATTTTGAAACAGGTGAATCTGTGTCTAATATATGAATGGGTTTGTTTTATTTTGCTTGTATTACTTATATTGTTATTTTGTTGATTATTTTGTTTAAAGTAAAATGCAATAAATATATATGCAAAAAAAATAAATATCTATGAGATTAATATTTATCAGATTTCTATTTTTATGTATAAAATTCTTTATAATTCAACGACGATCCCTAAACATTTCACATTTTACTTTAAAACCAACGCAGAGAATCATAGATAAAAAACTTGTCAAAATCATAAATTTCATCCAAAATTTGTCACGTCAAGAGTCAGTTTTTCTTCGATACAGCGGCAGGAAACTCTGGAGCAGTTTTCACATTTGTTAGTGACGCAGATCAGGGGTGTTTTTGTTTTAAAAAAAAAAAAGAGTTTGAGCTTGAAATGTTTGATATTTCATGCTAATGTTTGATAATCATTCAGTTGTGGGTGTTTCGTTGTGTTTCAATCAAATGAATTAATCCATGGTGTTTAAATGTAATTTTTTTTTATTTATAAATTTTTTAATGCAAAGCGATAATGTTCAATTTTTAATGTATTCATAAGGTGAAGACACGTACTTTTTTAAATTATGTTGTACATGTAAAATAAATAAATAAAAAAACAGTCCAGACCTGCTGCAGATCCAGGACTCGCGGTTGGACCCAGGTCATGTGGACTTTCTGATCCACCTCGTCGATGTTTCCTTTGATGAGCCCCACAGACAAAGCCTTCATCACCAGCAGCTCCACCTGAACACAGAACAACACACACATCAACACACGAACAACTACAGACCTTTTTCATAACGTCCAGAAGTGTCGTAATGTCGAGAAAACATCACTTTTGGTTAATGCTTTTCTGTGTCAAATTATCCGTGGAAATGTCTCACGTATTCTCCAGCAGCTTCATAAATCTGCCCCATCAACAAATCTTCAACCAACAAGGTCCACAAAGGAAAAACATTCTAACATGAACAATTTATCCACAACTATCAAGAGAAGAAAGACAAAAGCTTAAAGGAAACAACGACGACCACACATTAGTGACACAAAACAAATAACATAATGGTCATGAATAAAACAGAAGGAGCTTGTTCACTTAGATTGATTGTAGAATTAAAATTAAAAATCATTTTCATGATGTAAATATTTGCAGGTATAGAGAAATTCGTGAAATTTAAATGCGAGACATGTAATCTGTGAACATCTGTAGCATTCGAACTTCACAAATCTCTCTGTCTAAGGTAATACTGACATCATGAAATCGATTTTAAAATTTAATTCGAGAATCAGTCTGAGTGAAAGAGTTGCTTATTAATGAATTACTTATTACATCTATTTTATTCATGACCATAACATTAGTTTTGCTTAGTAGTTCTCTAATGCGTCGTTGTTTCCTTTAAGTTTTCGTCCTTCTTCTCTTGATAGTTGTGGTTAAATTGTTCATGTCAGAATGTTTTTCCTTTGTGGAGTTTGTTGGTTGAAGATTTGGTGATGGGACAGATTTATGAAGCTGCTGGAGAATACGACACACATTTACACACACATTTTGACACAGAAAACCATTAAACGGATGTGACGTTTACCCTACATTGCGACACTTCCGGACGTTGTGAAAAAGGTAAAGTAATTAAAGTAAAATTACGTTTGTAAAGCCCAAAATCACAACAGCAGTTAAACTTGCAGGACTTCACAAGATCATTAGTTTAACCAACAGAAAGTTAGAAAATTCAACAGAGACATAATCACTGGTCAATTAAAGGATCACTAACCACCAAAATCACTTTTTTTCCTACTGATTCTCTGTGTAAATGTGTCCAAAATAGAAGTGTGTCTCTATCCCTAAAAAAAATATATCAGACTTTTGGGTAAAAGCCGAGTCTGTACCGGTCTCTTTAGGATCCACTACAGCCAGGATATTTGAACTTTCAGGTTGGACTAATGAGTCAGACGCAGGTTATTACGTGACGACGGGCACCGCCATGTCACACCGACTCTGGAGCGAATCGTTTTAAAAGGAGGTTCGTTCCATTAGCGCCGCCGCCGTGTTTGCTTCGGTTTGTTTGGGCACTTCACCTTTGACTCCAGCCTAATCACGATGCTGCTCTGTGACTGACGAGGTTTGCAAATGAACCGTCTGCACCAGAACATTTTACACAGTTTAATTTCTTTTATTTCGCCCGTTTTTTCACACTGACCTCGTTGACTGGGATCTTTGCGCTCTGAGCGATTTCTGTGAACGTGAGCTGCCGGTGGTTCGCAGGTCGAGTGAACGTCATCTGGAAAAAAAAACAAATTTAAATGTAAGAAACCCAGCGTCATGCTCTAGGTTTAGACTCCACAGGGCCTCACCTCCATCACACACAGCAGCTGGATCTTCTGCATCAGTTTGGCTTCGTGTGTCGCCAGATCAGGCTGAAACAGAAACACACAACTCAACTTAAAAACTTTAAAAACACCAGGTCGATTCGATAAACTCCAAGATAAAAGTGCAGTTTTTCATTTTTAAAAACCTAACAAGCTATTAGGGGTGGGTGATATCTCGATATTTTAAATATATCGAGATATTTTTGAAACACAAAATGGATTCTGACACATTGTATATATCGATATAACGCTTATATTTAATCCTGATTTTGCTTGTTTGCCTTTTCTGTGTTCGCCCCCCCCTCCGTGATTCTATTGCGACTCCCCTCACGTGTGTCTCATCCAACACGGCGGCGCTCACAACCAGCCTGTGAACACTGAAAGTTGGTGTCAAACAAAGCTTCTAGCACCACAAACCTTTTCCACCTTTTACAGACTCAGCACCACTGAGTCGTGTCCTTTAGTCCGACAGAAGCTGAACCACATCAGTGACACAAGGAGCGTAAAACGTAAAACAAATGTGGCAAATCCGCATTAAACACATTATAATCTGATCTGCAGAACCACATTTGACGGGCTGATGTGGTTCTATTGTACTTATTTTTTATATGTTGTAAAGTTTATTTATGCAGAAGATTATAATTAATGATCTGCAGCAGTGTTTAACTTGTACAACAGTGTTTGGAAACGGTCGATTCGGTCGGTTGTTCTGTGCAGTGGATTGTGGAATACCTCAGAGTAGTGGTGGGCGATATCTCGACATTTTAAATATATTTTTTAAACACAAAATGGATTCTGACATACCGTATATATAAATATAATGCTTATATATGCGCTCGCTCGCTCCCACACGCCACCATCTCCTTGATTTTGTGACCCCTCCCCTCATGTCTCTCATTCGCTCCTCACTACCGCCGCAAATGCCGAAAGTTGGTGCCAACCAAAAGCTTCGAGCACCACAAACCTTTTCCACCATTTACAGACTCATCATCAGCAGCAGGTCAGAAGCTGAACGCGTCAGGGCACAAGGAAAGCTTTTTTTGGAGCGCATTAGTTTATACAAATGAGTCGTGTGGTTTTAAGTTTATTTCTGTAAAACAAACAAACATCCTCAAAGCTGCATTAAACACATTATAATCTCAAACGAGCTGGTGTGTCTCTAGAGTAATTTTGCTTTATATGTTGTAAAGTTTAATAATGTAAAGTTTATTTATGCAGAAGATTTGAATTAATAATCTGCTGCAGTGTTTAACTTGTACAATAATGTTTGGTCAGTTAACCTTTATTCTTGTTAATAATTTTAGTTGGCAGCTGGTCTGTGATTTGTTTTCTTGTTTGCGTCTTGAGGGTTTTTTTTATATTTGGGCCATATAGTTTGCTTGTTGTACACACAATGATAATTTGTTCAAAATGGAGATAAGTCTGCGTCCAGTTGAGCTCTGAGCGGGTCTCTCACCTGCTGTCCCCACGCAGACTTGTATCCCTGGAACTTCTCCACGTTCCCGGCGTTGAAGGCGAAGAGCGTGTCGATGAGCCACTGTTTGTCCGTGTTCCTCAGAGACTCCAGGACCGGGTGCTGCAGCTGAAATCAACAACGGATGATAGAAATGTTTTAGGACTCGTGTTGTCATGATACTAACATTTCAAACTCTATTTCCGTACTAAAGACCAGACTCGATACTCAATGACGAAACTAATACTACGATGAGGATTATGACGAGTGATTTAGTCTGTTCATAAATGGTACATCAGACATCTACTGTTAAGCAAAGTTCCCACAACCTCTTGATTCTTACATCTTGGTTTTTGTAACTAGTTTGATTGCTCGCTATAATCCTGATATCCTATACAGCATTGTTTCCCAAAGACTGGACGAAAGAGATTTTTTGGGGGGGTTGCCTCGTCACGATCTGCATGTAGGTCTGTGATATACAGTTCTGACATATGAGGGGGCTAGTGAATCAGCCAATCCTCTCTGCCTGCCCTGAGCGAGTGTTCCTGCAGTTAAAGTTGAGAAATGTTTGCTTGGTTTGTCCTAAAATAAGGTGATAAATCAGCAAAGGTCAGTGCACTTCAGGTTCTTATGGATCCTTTTATTGCTGGTTCAAAGACTGAGTAAAACTGACTGTTCAGAGACACAATCACTCAATTAACAATAAAATATCCTCATTAATGTTCAATAATGCTTAAATCCACCTTTATTTTGTGATTTAAGAATAATGTCTATTGACTTGGGTCGTGAAGGTTTGTGACTTTTAAAATATGGGTCCCCAGAAAAAGTTTGGGAAACATTGCTGTGTGGAACAGTCTGACCTTGTGTTCCCATACGAGTCTGTTGTTTATATCAGTCTGAGCTTGTTATTCTCATGATTGTTGTGTCTTGACTTGTGTTGACCTGTTCTCAGATGAGACGAGGTCTTATCTTGTGTGTCTGTCTGTATATAGTTTGTTCTCACCAGTTCTCCAAAGTTATAAACGCCTTCGCCCAAAAGTCCAGCCAAACCCAGAGTGAACGCTCGCTCCTGTTTCTCTGAATCTGAAATCAAAACATTTTAAAAAGGGACATTATAAAAAATTTACTTTTAAACCGGTTATAACAACGTTGAATTATTGAGTAATTCTGTTTCGTCCTGCATTTGAGGCTGGAGTGGTCAGAAAATGTGTTTTTACCTACCCCCTATCCCCGCCCACTGCAGCATTTATTAAACTATTCTAGACTATGGTTTAAGTCTGTGAAATTAATTGAAATTTGAATTTTTCATGACAAATGATTTCCAAACTCATGTAATCGAGTTGAAACGATTAAGCTTAAAGTTTATTTTTATGTTTTACATAAATAAGTTGATTTTATTTATTTTTTTAATATAGAGATTGTAGAACAGCTGGATATGTAGTTTATTTTCGATACATTTAAGTTTTTTCTATGCCTCATTTCATGTTCAAAATATATTTTACTCATTTTATGTTTTATACATGACAAAACTGCGAATCTAAGGTTCATATTCGTAGCATGTATTTATTTTCAATTTGAAAGTTTTGGGTGAGAGAATTGCTGAATAAATGCATCAACTACTGCTTTTTTGTATTGATTTTATTATTTTTGTTCATTGATTTTATTATTATTATTTTATTTATTTATCCTTTTAAAATGTATTTATTTATTTAATTTTATTATGTAATTATTTATTTAATGATTGTTTCCATAACTGAGCAGCCCTACTATGGTTCATACATGTAAGATTAAAAATGTTACGTGGCCTTTTTTCTCAAATATAAAATCCACTGCTTCTTATGTTCAAATCAAACCAAAGGTCAGATTTAAGTCTCACAGGGCGTCTGACAGAGCGCTACCTTCATTTACAGCTGCAGAGTATCCGTAGTAAACCTCGGCTCTCCTTTTGCTCTCACCTGGCAGGTCCTTGATGTCCACACAGCCCAGGTACCTCAGCGCGTCCTTGTAGTAGCTGGCGTGGTTGCCCATGATGCGGTGGTATTTACTGGAGAGGTCATAGAAGCGCCCGTGGACAGACGTCACTCCGGGAAGGTTATTCAGAGTCTCCTCCACCTCCTCAATGATCTTCTGCAGAGAAAACAGAAACAAGGTCAGCGCTACAGACAATCAATACTACATTAATATACAGAACATATACTTTTAAAAGGTCCTATATTTCACAAAACTGACTCTTGTGAGCTTAAAGTCATGTTAGAACGTCGCTACCTCCTCAAAAACAGACCTGGAGTTGCTTATTATAACATAAATCAATATAGGATTCTATTGTTTACCATGTGTTTCCACATTTTGTAATAATTTAATTTAGTTTATAATATTTATACAGTTAGATTAGAGCTTTACTGTTTTGTTTTTTTTTTAATCAAAATTTTTATTGTTTTCAAAATATCCAATATATACATTTATACATGCTACTGGCAGGTAAAAAAACTCACAAATGTCACAGATGCGAGTCCCCCACCAGATCAGATCCACATGTAAAATGGCACAAGAAATTTTACAGATTCTTTTTAAAGAGCTGAATACAACTGCAGGAAACGGCCCCATGTTTTCTCAAAAGCACTAATATTTTTCTAACTTTAGACAGGACATGACATTGTGTAACAACTGTGAATGTGAAGGAGGGTTAGCGTCTTTCCACTTGAATAAAATGACTCAGCGTGCCATGAGTAAAATAAAAGCCAAAGAAGATTTTTTCGTAGCACTAAAATGTACATGATCCTCCAAAACACCAAAAAGCGCCAGTACAGGGTTTGGTTCCAACCTAATATTGAATACGTGGGATAGAGTGTTAAGACATGCAGCAGACATGAGCAGGACCAAAACACGTGGCCAAGAGAGGTCTCAGTCTGGCCATGCTTTACCGTTTTAAACTTTGTAGAAGTCCATTTACTTCAGGTTAAGTTCTGGTTTACAGCACTGTGGCACCAAAAACTGAGGCAAGATGCTGGAGACAGTGCAGGGAAATGGTGGCAAGCCATATACATATTTTCTGGACATGTCCCCTAATTCAATTTTATTGGAAAGACTTGAACGTTATGGAAGAGGTCCTACATATTGACCTCCCTTTTACCTGTGAAGTCTTATATTTTGGCAAATTAGACGCAAATTGTAAAAATGAAATAAATTTTAAGATACTTAAAATCATGTTGTTGGCAGCAAAAAAAAGTATTACAAAGAAATGGTTAAAAGCTGAAGCTCCAACAAAAGCAATTCACAATATTTACGTTATGGAGAAATTAACTTATGCTCTAAGATTAGAAAAAGAGAAATTTGAAAAGATATGGAAGGGTTGGCCGAGTTTTGTTAAAAAGATTTTATTTGAGGGCTCATTTCCCCAATATTCTGTTCGCTACCAAATTTAGTTTTCTGTTTTATTTACATATGTGTTAGTGTAATTATTGTCTTGGAAAATTAATAAACAAATAATTGGAAAAAAAAAACTGAAGCAAAACTCTTATAAACCTTATAGAAACAACAAAGTGGGCCCAGGGCTGAGTCAAAGTCAGGACATACAGGACAACACGTTTGTCACGTCTCTGACAATCTCCCAAATGTCTCCGCGATCTCTTCATCCATATTTTATACTGTAATGACCTTTTATCATAAATCATACGGGCCTAAAATGTATTACTCTTGCCGTGGTTACCTTTGTGGCTGGGAGGTCGCTGATCTCCAGTTTGAGACTCCCAATCGACGTCTTACACAGAACCACTGCCTCGTCGCTGCTTTTTACCTGAAACAAACACAAACCATCAGTTACACACAAACTAAAAGCACATTATCTTTGTACAGTGCCGTTATTGCTCCAACTCAAAGTCTCTAGAACCAGTGACAAAATCTGGCAACTATGGACATGAAGTTGAAAGATTAAAGTTAAAATAAAACTCACTTTTTCCTTGGTTTTCTCTAGAAACGTAATGGCATCTTTAGGATCTGAAAAAAGAAGTTTCATAACGTTGAAGCAATTTTATTTATTACCAAAAAAATCACTTTTCTCTTCATCGCTATACAAGAAAGTGAAAGGTTCATACCTGTCATCTGACGAGCCACAAACAAAATGATCTCGACCAAAGACAAAGGGTTTATCCTGAAAAAGAGAAAGAGACATTTCCTCGTAAACATAAATTTAACATTACAAATAAATACTAAATACATGCAGGAAAATAATCATGTTACCTGTGTTCAAAGTCACTGAGGAAATTGTCGTAGAGCTGTTAAAAAAACAAGCATTTGGTTAAATTTAAAACATGACCATTTGACACAAAACTAAATAAACCAATTTTATGCTGAGAGTAAAAGAAAAATTTATTCATGTATTAAAAAACAGTTTGATAATCAATAATCACTTTGCCACAGATTTTTGCAGCATTTTGGAGGCACAAACTAAAAGTAACATCACTCATTATATTTATTCATTATATGTGTGTTCCTTTGTGACGAAAATGGTAAAGGTTTTCTGAACTCAATGAGAGTAAACTGGACCATAGGGACTGCATTAAAAAAAGAACACTTGATGATTGATCTTACTAGGGATAATAATAGGGATTATTTAACAGCAATATCAGAGGATATCCCCTGGTTATCGGTATTCACCAATTGAAAATTTATCTGATATTTGCTGATATTTTTCCTGCACTGCTTCAGTCTGTTTGTGCCCATGAGTCACTCCCCAATTCATCGTCAGTTCATCAGATTTAGCAAAAATATTAATTTATATCCCAGATAAAGCTACAAGCTTAATATTGTTATCAGCAGTGTTGCCATAGTTACTTCAAAATAGTAATCTGACTACTGATTACTTCTTTAAAAAGTAACTTAGTTAAGTTACAAGTTACTTTACGGTACTGTTTTCTTCACACTGGGCGGGACCTGCTCTGTTAACGTGGTTGTGCCATGCTGTGTCTCTAGATGTTTCTTTAGGTTTGATGTTGTATTCTTGAAGACAGACAACACTTTGTCTCCAGCACAGAGTGAACAACGAACCTTTATGTTGCCATCCTCAGCTGAAATAAAATCAAAATAATGTTTGTATTTCCAGCTGCAAAAGGCGTACCTCTCTCCCTCCATTGTTTACATCTGACTCGTGGCGGAGCAGAGACGACGTAACATCACGGGAAACGTGTCACTAGGGACGATTTATACGATCTTTGGGGTCACATAACCCACGTCGCCAAAAAATAACAATAAATAAATAACCTACATCGCCCTTAAATGCAAAAATAGTAACGCACAGTGTATTAGATAAGTAACTTAAATCTGACTGCTGGTTTGGAAATAGCACTGCGTTAGACGACTCATTACTGACAAAAGTAGTCGGACTACAGTAACGCGTCGCTAAGTAGCGCGTTACTGGCATCACTGGTTATCGGTTAATATAAATGTGAGTTACAGACCACAAGAGCAGGACAAATATCTGGCATTATGTATAGACTTAAAAAATCCATGTCAGACCATCCCTACGTGTTACCTGTATAAGTCCATCTCCGGTTTGAAAACAAGGGTCTTTCACAAAGTCTGTGAGCTTCAGTGTGAGCTGGTGCCACAACCTGCAACAAAACAGACAAGAGACATTAGAGAAAACATCAGCTTAATCTGTGTAAATGCTCTGAAGGACAAACATAAAAACATTAAAACAAACATGAGTAGGAAGATGGATTCTTCCTTGACACACATGTTAATATTTCCTTAATTTCAATCAGGATCACTGGAATAACCATCTTTTTTTTTTTTACAGATCTATATGGTTAGATGTGATAGTTTAATTCTCATATGCTGCTGCTATAACTGCTACTACAGTCTATAATTTTACCTAAATATACGACTACAGTTGCTGCTAATGATGACAAAGCTGGAATAACAGTAAAGAAATGTCACGTCTACTAACTTTACATCTCTTAAAACACTCGGAGGAAATATCAGATTATTTGTGTCACTCATAAATTCATGTTAAATATAAAACCTAATTACAGATCACGTTTATATTTTAATGTTTATGGTTTTGGCTTGTCAAAAAGAAAACATTAGCTTAGCATTAGCCCAGTGACTCAGCTGCGCCGTTAAAATGAATGAGCCGCCGTTAGCTTAGCCTAGCCTCCGCTCGGCTTCTTAACACTTTTACCTCTTGTTATAAAGTTCCTCCAGGCCGTGCCACTCCGCTGCCATCTCCGGAGTAGGCTGCAGCTCTGTTGTTGCTTGAGATACCCGCTAACATCTTTCATTTTGGCGAAATTCGGTTATTTTCAGCAGTAAAACAAGAAAAGTGTGGTCCGATTTTCTACTGAGAAGAGGAGCCGGCTGCGCATGCGCTATTGGGGATGTCTAACGGAAGGGAAATACTCCTTTTCGGAAACTAGCACCAAACTAAATAAACTCTTAAATTTTATTAAACTAAATTAACTAAATTAACTACAACTAAACTAAATTAACTAAACTAGCACTGGGGAAAAAAAAAAAAAAAGCTACTCCAGCTGAACAAAAAACGACCTTATACTGATTTATTAACCCTAAATTCGACTTGAAATAAAATAAGAGAAATAAATAAAAATGTTCAGGTCAAACGAAATCTTCGTGTTTAATTAGAAAAATAGGCGGCGTAAAATAAAATGCTTAATGTGGCTAACAGCGTCCTACGTCATCGCGTCGCAGGAAGGTCAGAGGCATGTAAACAAACCCACAAGGTAATTTCTGCAAGATATTAGTAAGAAAACGTGTCATAAATTAATAACAACGTGTTCAAACGGGACTGTCAGTGATATAGACGCTGTAATGGTGAGCTGGTGTCTCGTCTTTCTGTAATAAACGACATTTTAGTGCAATATCTTAACACATGTTTTGTAATTTTATTTCAGGTTTTACTCTGACATGAGCAAACACAGTAAAGGAGGTTAATTTATTCTGTTGAATTCACTCATCAGTGCTGGGCTCTTCAGTCATGTTATCAACTTGTTTTAGACTTTGTTTATCTCCTGGTTTAAAACATGGTAAGAAAAAGTATTATTAGCTAAGTATTTTTATGGAAATACTTAATGTATATCTTCTTTGTAGGTCGGAGAATACTGCTCACAGCCCCTTGTACCAGGTCAGTTCTACTCTACAGTTAAGTGCTTAACAGAAGCTAGTTTTGTGTCCAATGTCCAGTGTTCAATGTGTGAACGGTGTTTTCTGTTCGAGAGAAGAACTCATCTTAAATATGCAGGATTTGTGGGTGAAAAACACGACTCCTAGTATGTTTTTTATGAGGAAACAACATTATAATGTATAAATCAGAAAATTGGCCCCTTAATAGGCATTTTCAGTAAGAAACGTGTTTTTGAAAAGAAACATCTTAAGATTATTGATTTGACGCCATGACAAAATCCTTAATTTACTTTCTTTTAATTTGTCTATTAATAGATTATTATTATTATATTATTATAATCAGATTAGTTGAAAATTCTAAGCAGGAGGGTGTAGAGGTTAACATGAGTCTCTCTTCAGATCCCAGCGTTGGTTCTTCTCTCGAGGCTCAGACTCAGACTCTGAGCTGACCCTGGATCAGTTGGCCCTGAACCTGAAGCAGCAGAAGTATCAGAGAGTGATCGTGATGGTGGGAGCCGGCATCAGCACGCCCAGCGGCATCCCAGACTTCAGGTCAGAAAGACTGGAGAGTGTATGTCCTCCATTTCTTACTGTGGTAGAGTGGTTTTCCTGTCTCCTCCACTCAGTGTCTCTCAGTGGAGTGTGCATGTCCTTCCTCCCTGCAGATAAATAAAAGATGAACTGCTGGAAAGTCAAAATGTCCGTCTGTAAATTATTGTACTCTTGCTTTTATTTAATATTATTGAAGTAAAAGTGAAATTGTATTTTTGATATAGTTATTCCTTTGCTCGTAATGTTCCACGGTGACATTCTATGTCATATATTTATGTGCAGGACATTTTATTGCTCAAAAATACCTTAAAAACATCAGTTCTTCCTGTAAGCAGGTTAACCCTCCACAGATCTGACTTTAATTTGGTCTATTGACATCATCTGCTTGCCACAGTGAAGAAATTTACTGCTGTATGTTGGAATATTTCAGGCAAAGCAACAACATCTGCGTGAACAACCAGAAAAGTGTTGTCATCATGAAGTTTTTCTCACATATGGAATTACTCACAGTGGAAAGAGAAGCCTAAAAACCCAATTAAATCTTGATATTTGTTTTAATATTTGTCGTCAGGTCTCCGGGCAGTGGGCTGTACTCAAACCTGCAGCAGTACAACCTGCCGTATGCAGAGGCCATCTTTGAGCTGGATTATTTCCACCATAACCCCAAACCCTTCTTCGCTCTGGCCAAAGAGCTGTACCCCGGCAACTACCGCCCCAACGAGGCCCACGCCCTCTGCCGCCTCCTGCTGGACAAACACCTGCTGCAGCGACTCTACACGCAGAACATCGACGGACTGGAGCGCCGTGAGTGAAACAGACAGACATGAGTTTACAGTGAACAGTCGACTAAATACATGCTGTTTAAGTATTATTCTTTATTACAGGTAATTAGTATTAAACTACACGATACGTAGGACCTCATTTTACATCTTGATCATTGTAAACAGTAGGGATGTAACAATAACCGAAAAATGGTGATATCGTATTGTCAGTGTCTCACAATAATACTGTGGGACTTCACAATATATCAAATTACAAGTGTTTTTGCTTAAATATAATAATTCATGTATCTGCCCAGAGTTAAACATTTAAACTTCTTTATAAAATGCGTGTTATAAAATGAGTGTTGCACAGTTTTAGGTTTTCTGTACAGTTGTTCCAGAGGTTCACTCTTTTAACAGATTTACAAAATTTAAAAATGTTAGTTCTAATTTTCTTTTTCATAAACGTGGCCCTACCTATTTTTGAACATTTTCTGTAATGATTTTGACAAGAGATTGTTGTTTACTTTGAACATAATTTTCAAAGTGTAAAGGTTGACCAAATCATAAAATTTCAGCGTTTGAAGGTTTATAAATAACACTTTGTTTGGTTCATTATAAGCTGATAATGTGTTGCTCTTATTGCCTTTTTGCAGATAAAGATTGGATTTGTTTTAGTCTTATGTGTATTGCCCCAAATTTCAATACAGTAAGTTATGTAGGTCATTTACCAGCCAGTTGTATATAATAAAAAGACAGTTTTTATCTAGGATATATCTATATTTGTATATAATTGCGATCACTTTGGGTAATTTATTTCTAATTTTATTTATTTAGATCAGGGGAGTCAAACTCAAATTCACATTGGGCCAAAATTAAAAACTGGGATTAAGTCGTGGGCCAAACTAAATATTTACTGAAAAATTTCAACAACATCTACATGTTTTCTCTTCTTTTGAGATGTAATGTTAACCCTTTTCTTATTAAAATAAATGTTTAATAACAGTTTTGCTTAAACATTAAGTCCAGAACAAGCAGAATATAAAATAACAACATTTTAAATAAATAATGCCTCTATAGTCTATCTGTAGCCGGTGGGCAGCTCTAATACATGTTTGATATGATCTCGTGGGCCAAATATCCGGCTTGAGTTTGACATGTCTGATTTAGATGGTAAAAGGCTGCAGATGTTATTGATTTGACATGGCTGTTGAAGTTAGTTATTATTATTATATTATTGTGTTTTCTTCTTAGTGGCTGGAATTCCTGCAGAGAAATTGGTGGAGGCGCACGGGACATTTTCCACAGCGACGTGCACGGTGTGTCGGAGAGAGTACAGCGGAGAAGATATCAGAGTGAGTACACGTGTGAGCCAGCAGGGGGTGAAAAGTGCTTATAAAACACTCTGAAGATAAGACTGAGACTGAGAAGATAAGACTGTAAAAATCTGGTACATTTAAAAGTTTATTTTTCACTCTATGTCCCCTTTCGAGTACTCTCTAATTTGACTTTGACTAAACTTTCTTATACTTTTTTCCTGCCTCTGTCTTCAGCCTGCGGTGTTGTCCGGTGCGGTACCAGAATGTCCCACCTGCACCGGGGTCATTAAACCTGACATCGTGTTCTTCGGAGAGCAGCTTCCTCCCATGTTCCTTAAATACCTCACAGACTTCCCTCTGGCCGATCTGCTGCTCATTATGGGAACGTCTCTGGAGGTAACGCAGCACAGAGTCATAGATCTAAATACAGAGGTGACATCAACACAGTATTGCAGTAGTATTAGTAGCGCTGGGTATTGTTTTAAGGTATCAAGGTTTATTTTCCATAAATATACTGTATTTTTTGTTAAGTCGCATTTTTTTCATGGTTTGGGTGGTTCCTGCGACTTATATTCAGGTGCAACTTATATATTAAAATATATAATTTCACATGTTCGTTATTTTCACACTGAAGCGTGGAGAGTTTCTAGTCTTGTGTGTGAGTATCTGCTGCTCCTGTTCCTCCTGTACCACTGTCATTTGGCTCTACTGCACATGTCTCCTGCAGAAAGAGCCTCTGTCCTGCTGCAAGTAGCGAAATATGCAGCCGAAAATGGTAGTCGAGCAGCAGAAAGAAAGTTTGGAGTGAGTGAGAAACTTGTGAGGGACTGGAGAAAAGCGGAGAAGACTGAAACTGCAATGAAGAAAACAAAACAAAAAAAAAACATTAAAACTTTACAATCCGTGTATCATTCGTTCATTCGTTTTTCAATATAAAACCAAAAATAAGAAAACGAAAAAACAACAGTTTTCTTCATTATTTGTCTCCAAAACCAAAATGAAAAAACGGATAATGATTAATTTTTTCAGTTTTCGATTTTGTGTTTAAATGAAGAATGGAAAAAACGGATAACGGCCGTTTCCCGTTTATGTGACTTCAGTGACTGCGATGCTGAACTTTTGCACCGCGTACGGACTGAACCAGGACTGATCCAGGTCCGAGACCAGACCAGGACCAGAGCGGGATCAGAGCGGAACTGAGACCGAGACCAGCGGTCCGAGCGGTTCCGTGTCATCGTCTCCGCGCTGGTTCCGTGCGGGGAAAGTGAGAATGCGCTGTGGACTACAGGTCTGGACGAGCTGCTCCAGTCCTCTGCTCAAGAACCGCGGCTGGTTCCGAGGTGGTGCAAAGCATCCAACTGACACTTTCACACCAACGAAAACGAACCGAACTAAGATCTTTTGGTTCAAATGGACCAGGTCTGGGACCAGACCGGGACCAGAGCGCTACTGAGACTGGGACAAGACCGAGACCAGATCGGAGGCTCAGAGCCCACGGCAGGGCCGGAGCTCGAAGCTGAGGCTTGGACCCCGCGGAGGCTCAGAGTCAAAGCTTGGAGTCCGCCCCAGTCCTGCTCTGGTCCTGGTCTGGTCCCGCTCTGGTCCCGCTCTGGTCCCTCTCTGGTCCCGCTCTGGTCCCGCTCTGGTCCTGCTCTGGTCCTGGTCTGGTCTCGGACATGGATCAGTCCTAGTTCAGTCCGTACCCGGTGCAAAAGTTCGGCATCGCAGTCACGGAAGGGAAACGGCCGTTATCCGTTTTTTCCATTCTTCATTTAAACACAAAATCGAAAACTGAAAAAACGAATCGTTATCCAACTTTTCATTTTGGTTTTGGAGACAAATAGCGAAGAAAACTGTTGTTTTTTCGTTTTCTTTTTGGTTTTATATTGAAAAACGAATGATACACGGATTCTTTACACACTTTAAACCCAGCAGCAGCAGCAAGGTCAGAGCTGTTACTCATCTGTTACTCATCTGTTACTCAACTGTTACTCATCTGTTACTCATCTGTTACTCATCTGTTTATCACTATTTGAAACACTCACAGTTCCTCTCCCGTCCTGCAGGTGGAGCCGTTCGCGTCTCTGGCTGGCGCGGTGCGTCCGACTGTTCCTCGGCTGCTCGTGAACCGTGACCTGGTCGGGCCGTTTCTATGGAGACGGAGGTCACGTGACGTGGTCCTGCAGGGAGACCTTGTCCAGGGAGTCCGGACTCTGGTTCAGCTCCTGGACTGGACCCAGGACTTTGAACGTGTCATGGAGGAGCTGCAGGTGAGAGCAGAAGAAGACCCGTTTAAATCAGACGTGTTAGATTTATTTACTTATTTATTTAAGTATTTAGTATTAAAGTATAATATACTTACAGAATTATTTAACTTTAAAATTTTGTTTTTAACCATGTTCTAGTCGTTTCTTCCTCTGAACTTGTATTTGGATTCATGTTTGAGTTATTGTTATCTGGTTTAGACCTGGTTTAGTCCTGGTTTAGTCCTGGTTTAGTCCTGGTTTAGTCCTGGTTTAGACCTGGTTTAGTCCTGGTTTAGTCCTGGTTTAGTCCTGGTTCAGTCACGTTTTAGTCCTGGTTTAGTACTGGTTTAGTCCTGCAGTTTAGTTCTGGTTTAGTCCTGGTTCAGACCTGGTTTAGTCCTGGTTTAGACCTGGTTTAGTACTGGTTTAGTCCTGCAGTTTAGTTCTGGTTTAGTCCAGGTTCAGTCCTGGTTTAGTCCTGGTTTAGTCCTGGTTTAGTCCTAGTTCATTCACGTTTTAGTCCTGGTTTAGTCTTGGCTTAGTCCTGGTTCGGTCCTGGTTCAGTCCTGGTTTAATCTTGGTTCGATCCCGGTTTAGTCCTGGTTTTGTTCTGGTTCAGTTGCAGTTTAGTCCTGGTTTAGTCCTGGTTTAGTCCTGATTTAATCCTGGTCTAGTCCTGGTCTAGTCCTGGTTTAATCCTGATTTAATCCTGGTTTAATCCTGGTTTAGTCCTGGTTCTGGTCCTGACGTTTACAGTCACGTCAGCTCCGTTGGACACCACGGTTTTCTAATTTATTTTCATGTTTTTATTGTTGAAAATGTCTGGAGTCTGAATATCTTGAATCATCACAGTGGGCGGGGACAGGGGGGAGGTGAAAACACATTTTCTCATTTTCTCTCAAACCTCAAACACAGAACAAAACAGGATCACTCAAACATTCAAAATGCAACTTAGAGATGTCATAGTTGAATATTTTCCCTTTAAAATCCAATAATATTTACTTTTATCTCTTCTAATAATTGTTCGTATTTTTTTGTTGTGATTTTCAGGGCCCCAAAAAGTCGGAGGAGTGACACGAGGAAAGAGAAGACTGAAAAAACACAGGACTTTTGTAACATGAACAACTCTGAGCCAACGAAAACACAAACTTTCAAATGTATTTTTACTCTGGAGGTGAAATGTGAATCCAGACGAATCAGGAGACGTGTTTTATTTATGATTCTTTCTGGTTTTTATTGATGAACTATAAAAAAAAAAAAAGATCTGAATTCTACATTTTGTTCTTTGTAAACCTCAATATTTATCTTTAAAAAAAAAAAAAAAAAAAACACCACAACGATAGAAAAGAAGTGAAAAGGTCACTTCTTGTTCAAAATGCACTTTCTCTTAATAATATTATAATAATAAGTAACAATTTATAATAACTACACCTTATTTAGCCTTAATAAAGCATGAACAATTATGATTACTCTGGAATTTGGCCATACTTAACAAATACTTAATAAAGCATAATTAGTCTTTGAAAAAGACTTAACTAACAGAGAATATCTGCCTGAATTATCATTGTGTTACAGTGTTAGTTAATCATTCTCTCATGGCTTAATAATCATTCATAAATGTTTAATTGTGTACTTAAATATGCATTTTCAAATACACAAATGGTTAGTTCATGAGTAACTAACTATGAAATAATAATAATAATGATTCATTTTGTGCGACGGACCAGTTCTCTGTCAGACTGGCGGCGTATAGGAGAAGGCGCGGCATAGTTTGGTCCTGGATACATTCTATTTTAGTCCTAGTTTTAGCTCTGGTTTAGTCCTGGTTTTAGTTCTGGTTTTAGTCCTGGTTTTAGTTCTGGTTTTAGTCCTGGTTTTAGCTCTGGTTTAGTTCTGGTTTTAGCTCTGGTTTAGTTCTGGTTTTAGTTCTGGTTTAATTCTGGTTTAGACCTGGTTTTAGCTCTGGTTTAGTTCTGGTTTATTCCTGGTTTAGTCCTGGTTTTAGTTCTGGTTTAGTTCTGGTTTACGCCTGGTTTTAGTTCTGGTTTAGTCCTGGTTTTAGTTCTGGTTTATTCCTGGTTTTAACTCTGGTTTAGTTCTGGTTTAGTCCTGGTTTAGTCCTGATTTTAGTCCTGGTTTTAGTTCTGGTTTATTCCTGGTTTTAGTTCTGGTTTAGTTCTGGTTTAGACCTGGTTTAGACCTGGTTTAGACCTAGTTTAGACCTTGTTTAGACCTGATTTTAGTCCTGGTTTAGACCTGATTTTAGTTTTGGTTTAGAGGTGTGGGAAACCAGGACTGAACCAGGTCTAAACCAGGACTAAACCAGGTCTAAACCAGATGTATGAGAGTCGGGGTCTCGTGCTTTTGCAGCCCGGTACTGGTCCACGGCCTGGGGTTTTTTCACTGGCTAATCAAGTGCAAATTAAGTGATAATTAAGGTAGTCATTAAGTAGTTATTAAGCCTGAATGACTCTTAATTAAGTGTTTGTTCATGGTTTATTAAGACTAAATAAGGTGTAGTTACTATAAAGTGTTACCTAATAAAAATGATAAAGGGAGAATATAAACGGCGCTGTAATAAGCCATTTTCTGAGTTATAGGGAGTTATAAATGTGTCATCGTGTTATTAAAGGTGCAAGAAGGAGAGGAGAGATCCCTAAATTACTCAAACATGCAGGGATGACTCTAAAACCTTAATTTAGCACAGTACCCCCTCTTTAAAGGTAACGACAGACGAACGGGGGAAGAATCCTGGACAGCGTCAGACCAGGAGCAGCTGAGGGGGTCGTAAAGTCCTGGTTTGGTCCTGGTTTAGATCTGGGATAGTCCTGGTTAAATCCTGGCTTAGACCCACAGCTGCCTCTTCTGTTTCGGTCACACATTTGTCTTTCACAGGTGGCTCCTCCGCTCGGACTTTGAAGAGCTCGTAGTATTTTAAGAATGTGTCTGTTTACAAATCGAATGTGAACAATAGAACTGAACTGACTAAAGAAATTATTTTATTTAATTATTCATTTATTTATTTTATTTATTTATTTATTTTTGAGAATCCCAGTCCAGTCCACTTTATTTATATAACTCATTTTATAAACATGATGGTCATGTTATAAGTACTCGAGATCGGTCTTGGTTGCAGTCTTGGACTTGTCTCTGACTCAGACACGTTTTGACTCGGTCTTGAAGGCGCTTGGACTCGGTCTTGAAGGCGCTTGGACTCGGTCTTGTCTCGGTCTTGAAGGCACTTGGACTCGGTCTTGTCTCGGTCTTGAAGGTGCTTGGACTCCGGTCTTGAAGGTGCTTGGACTCCGGTCTTGAAGGCGCTTGGACTCCGGTCTTGAAGGTGCTTGGACTCTGGTCTTGTCTCGGTCTTGAAGACGCTTGGACTCGGTCTTGTCTCGGTCTTGAAGGTGCTTGGACTCCGGTCTTGAAGGTGGTTGGACCCCGGTCTTGAAGGTGCTTGGACTCAGTCTTGAAGGCGCTTGGACTCGGTCTTGTCTCGGTCTTGAAGGTGCTTGGACTCGGTCTTGTCTCGGTCTTGAAGGCACTTGGACTCAGTCTTGAAGGCACTTGGACTCGGTCTTGAAGGTGCTTGGACTCAGTCTTGAAGGTGCTTGGACTTGGTCTTGTCTCGGTCTTGAAGGTGCTTGGACTCGGTCTTGTCTCGGTCTTGAAGGCACTTGGACTCAGTCTTGAAGGCACTTGGACTCGGTCTTGAAGGTACTTGGACTCGGTCTTGTCTCGGTCTTGAAGGTGCTTGGACTCGGTCTTGTCTCGGTCTTGAAGGCACTTGGACTCGGTCTTGAAGGTGCTTGGACTCGGTCTTGTCTCGGTCTTGAAGGTGCTTGGACTCGGTCTTGTCTCGGTCTTGAAGGCACTTGGACTCAGTCTTGAAGGCACTTGGACTCGGTCTTGAAGGTGCTTGGACTCGGTCTTGAAGGTGCTTGGACTCGGTCTTGTCTCGGTCTTGAAGGTGCTTGGACTCGGTCTTGTCTCGGTCTTGAAGGCACTTGGACTCAGTCTTGAAGGCACTTGGACTCGGTCTTGAAGGCACTTGGACTCGGTCTTGAAGGTGCTTGGACTCGGTCTTGTCTCGGTCTTGAAGGTGCTTGGACTCGGTCTTGTCTCGGTCTTGAAGGCACTTGGACTCAGTCTTGAAGGCACTTGGACTCGGTCTTGAAGGTGCTTGGACTCAGTCTTGAAGGTGCTTGGACTCGGTCTTGTCTCGGTCTTGAAGGTGCTTGGACTTGGTCTTGTCTCGGTCTTGAAGGCACTTGGACTCAGTCTTGAAGGCACTTGGACTCGGTCTTGAAGGCACTTGGACTCGGTCTTGAAGGTGCTTGGACTCGGTCTTGTCTCGGTCTTGAAGGCACTTGGACTCAGTCTTGAAGGTGCTTGGACTCGGTCTTGTCTCGGTCTTGAAGGTGCTTGGACTCGGTCTTGTCTCGGTCTTGAAGGCACTTGGACTCAGTCTTGAAGGCGCTTGGACTCGGTCTTGAAGGTGCTTGGACTCAGTCTTGAAGGCGCTTGGACTCGGTCTTGAAGGTGCTTGGACTCGGTCTTGAAGGTGCTTGAAGGTGCTTGGACTCAGTCTTGAAGGCGCTTGGACTCGGTCTTGAAGGTGCTTGGACTCGGTCTTGAAGGTGCTTGGACTCGGTCTTGAAGGTGCTTGGACTCGGTCTTGTCTCGGTCTTTAATGTGCTTGGACTTGGTCTTCTATAGAAGCTTTACTGTGGAACATTTTACGACTGCTATGACCAAATTTTTGGCAATTTACCTTTTTATTTTCTTCATTTTACACTCTGGAAGCTTAATTGTAAAATGTGTTGTAAAAAATAAACATAAGCATTGAATATTCTGGACAAAGCAATAACATCTCCATGGAGACAAGCAGAAATGTTACGCAGTGCACCTTTTATAGATGTTTTTTATTACGTAATTATCTATAAATAGGACTGAACAGCACTGAAACATCTCGGTGCATCTCAGCTGTTTCCCGCGGAGCAAAGAACAACTGCAGAGCCCCTCCTCTAAAAACCATCGCACCAACTGGACCCACAAGACCCCCCCAAGACCCGAGCCGAGACCCAGACCACACCCCCGGCACCTAAATCCAGACCAGGACTGGACCAGGACTGGACCAGGACTGAACCTGGACCAGAGTTTATAAAAGCGTCCGTCTCTGAGCTCCGGAGCATTTGCCTGATCTGCTCCAGGATCTTCACCATGTCTGAGTGAGTACAACTTTTTAATTATTTATTTTGTTTATATTTATTTATTTATTTGTATCGTACAGTTTAGAATTTTTTGGTTTTATGGAGTTAATTTCATAGATTTAGTTTTAAAGGGCTCATGTTACGCCATTTTTCTGATGTTCTAATGTTGTTTCCTTGTCACAAACAGACCTGGAGTTGTGTTGTTTTGTTTTTTTTTTTATTCACAAACATTTAACTCACCAACTCTGCAAATTTAGGCTGAGTTCTTCTTCTCTCAAACAGAAAACATGCTGTTCCACCTTGTGATGTCATGTGGTAATACAAGAAGTGCTGTTTTAAACTCCACACACCTTCACTAGAATCATGTGTATAATTTCAGACCTGGATTTACTTATTTCTGCTGAACTCAAGGTCTGTTTACACGAAAACGTTTACAGGTAAAAATTACAAAATGTTTTATCTGAAGTGCATTTCATTTAGACGGTGACGGCGTTTTTGGGGCTTAAAAACTCAAAAATCTGAAACCACGCTTGAACACGCTTCGCCGTAGTGTTTCTGTCTAAACTGCCCAAGACGCAAAACTCTGGTCAGATCTGCTCAGGTCGTGTACACGTTTACGTCACATACATCACCACCGAGCCGCCGGGCATGCAAACACAATCCAATTCCACACACTTTTGCATCACCATATGCATGAGGATTTACTCTAGAAAATGCTCGTCTAAACGCAGAATAAAAAGTTAATACGCGACACCACTTTTCCCTCTTCTGTTCAGACTGTCAACATATAAATGAAGGCTAAAAGTAAATCGAGAGCTTTGACTTTTCTTCACCACAACGGTCCGATACAGTGACCGCATTACTGCCGACACTCATACGGTCGCTGTATCGGACCGTTGTGGTGAAGAGGGAACTGAGCCAGTCTTCGTTCCTCCTCACCTCTGGTCATGAGCTCTGGGTAATGACCGAAAGGACGAGATTGTGAATACAAATGACTTTGAAATGAGCGGCTGAAATGAGTTTCCTCCGCAGGGTGGCTGAGCAATGTCACGAACCCAGCAAATCAGTGTGGATGGGTGGAGATAGGGTGAGGAGCTCAGTCACACAGGAGGAGCTCGGAGTAGAGCCGCTGCTCCTCCACGTCGAGAGGAGCACTTGAGAGGAGGACATCTGTTTCGGATCTGCACCGGGAGGAGGCCCCGGGGAAGACCCAGGACACACTGGAGGGACTATGTCTCTGGGCTGGCCTGGGAACACCTCAGGGTCCCCCCGGAGGAGCTGGAGGAAGTGTCTGGGGTGAAGGAAGTCTGGGAGTCCCTGCTTAGACTGATGACCCCGCAACCCAGCCCTGGATAAGCGAAAAAAAATGGATGGATACTGAACTAAAAATAAAAGGTAGTTGTTCACTTGAAAACTACCACTTCACAAAGGGGAACAGAGTGTTTTGAGCTTTGGGGATGTAGATAATAATAATAGATAAGATAAATAAGATAATAAAGATTTACTCAAACGTGTGAATGAAACAAAACACAACTCCAGGTCTGTTTTGGAGGAGGAAACAACATTAGAACATGACTTCAAGCTCAAAAGAGTCAGTTTTTTGTAATACAGGACCTTTAAATAAAACCAAATTACCTCATCAACAACTAAATATTTATTATTTTTTCAGTAAAAAGATGTCAGTGTCTCGGAGGAACTACCTCAAGGTAAGAGAACACTTTACAGAAAACCTCAGACTGTATTATTTTGTATTAATGAATTGTGTGTGTTGTGTATATTTTCTCGCTGCTGTTGATGTATTTTGGCCTTAAAAACTGAGTCAAAAATACCTAAAAAAAAAAAAAAAAAAGACATTCTGACTGTGAGCGGGGTCGCCTCTCCACAGATCTGACCTGTACCTTATGATTGTGGTGTTTTTGTTTTATTTCCTGTGTGTGTGTCAGAGTTTGCTGCTGCAGGTCGGGGAGGCGATGGTCGAGGAGGAGGCCGAGAGAAAAGAAAAAGAAAAACAAAGTTACATGAACGAAAACTGCCCCAAACTGTCACTGCCCCAGAGTGTACAAGACCTACAGGTACTGGACTAAACCAGGACTAGACCAGGACTAAACCAGGACTAGACCAGGACTAAACCAGGACTAAAGCAGGACTGAACCAGGACTAGACCAGGACTAAACCAGGACTAAACCAGGGGCTAAAACAGGCCTCAACCTGGGCTGAACCAGAACTAAACCGTGACTAAACCAGGACTGAACCTTCTTTTTCTTCTCTTTTTCTTCAGGAGCTGTGCAGAAAGTTGCATAAATCGATTGATCTCGTGGACGACGAACGATACGACATGGAGCTCAAAGTCTCAAAGTCCGACAAAGAGGTGAAAGAATTTAAGGATTTAAGAATTTTTATTTTCAATTCTGTGTCAGTCCTCTCTCAGTAAACATGTGGTTTTAGTTCAGACACTAGAGGAAGAAACTAGACAGAATTTAAGAGAAAATGAAATAAATTGAAAATCAGGATTATCACTACGTCAAAAATATAAATATAAATATATAATATATATATATATATATATATATATATATATATATATATATATATATATATATATATATATATATATATATATATACTTTTTTTTTGTCTGTTTGTGATGAAGAAACTACATTAGAACAGATCAGAAAATAGCATAATTTGGTCTTTTTTTGTGTGTTTTTAGTAGGGATGTCCCGATCACATTTTTTTGCCCGCGAGTCCGAGTCCTTTGATTTGAAGTATCTACCGAGTCCTGATCCGATACTTCTATAAAACATTATGAAATGAACTAAGAGCAAAGCATCAGATCCAGGATGTTTGGGGATCAGATTGTGTTGATTTCAGTGTGGAGTATTTGGACTGAACTTTGTGTGAAAAATCAAATGTCCAAAAGTTTTTAGTTTTTTTTATTTTTATTAACTTTTCTAACCATGAATCATCATTGTTGAAAATCTTTCCTTTTACCACAGTCTGGTTTTGGAATGTGTAACTTAGTAAACTTAATGAACTGGACAAAACAGGAACCAGACCAGAACCAGATCAGACCTGAGACTCGACTAGATTTCTGATCACGTGATCGGATCGGGACAACCCTAGTTTTTAGTGTTGTTGTAAATTTCACACACATTTCTCTTCCCGTCCCGTTTCAGATTGACGACCTGAAGATTAAGCTGCAGGATCTGAAGGGAAAGTTCCGGAAGCCGGCGCTGAAGAGAGTCCGGATGTCTGCGGACGCCATGCTCGCCGCTCTGCTCGGATCCAAACACAAAGTGTCCATGGACCTGAGAGCCAATCTGAAACAGGTCAAGAAGGAGACCAAAGACGAGGTGAGACCAGGACTGAACCAGGACTGAACCAGGACTAAACCAGGACTAAACCAGGACTAAACCAGGACTAAACCAGGACTAAACCAGGACTAAACCAGGACTAAACCAGGACTAAACCAGGACTAAACCAGGACTGAACCAGGACTAAACCAGGACTAAACCAGGACTAAACCAGGACTGAACCAGGACTAAACCAGGACTAAACCAGGACTAAACCAGGACTAACCAGGACTAAACCAGGACTAAACCAGGACTAAACCAGGACTACTAAACCAGGACTAAACCAGGACTGAAACCAGGACTAAACCAGACTAAACCAGGACTAAACCAGGACTAAACCAGGACTGAACCAGGACTAAACCAGGACTAAACCAGGACTAAACCAGGACTGAACCAGGACTAAACCAGGACTAAACCAGGACTAAACCAGGTCTGAACCAGGACTAAACCAGGACTGAAACCAGGACTGAACCAGGACTAAACCAGGACTAAACCAGGACTGAACCAGGACTAAACCAGGACTGAACCAGGACTAAACCAGGACTGAACCAGGACTGAACCAGGACTAGTACTACTAGTAGTAGTAGTAGTACTTTAAAATAAACACTTTTGTATTACATTTAAACAAGAGTTGTACTTCGTTCCTCAGGAGAAACGTTCTGGAGACTGGAGGAAAAACATCGAGGACAAATCCGGGATGGACGGCAGGAAGAAGATGTTCGAGACAGAGGCCTGAAGCGGCAGACTTTTTTTTTTTTTTTTTAAACCAGATTACACACGATTTACAGAAACTGCTTTTGTGTTTGAAATACAGCCGACTTTTTTATTAAACTTTACTGATCATCCACTCTGTTCATCTCCCTGTAAAAACAACACTTTATAAACATGTTTGCACTACCTAAAAATTGTGTTTTTTCTTTTTTGTCTCAGTCAAATATACAAAACCTAAACACCGAAACTCTACCCACAAACACATTTCAATCAGAGCTGCAAAACTGGGCATAAAGGAAAGACTGGAGGTAAAAGGAACAGTGTGATTGGTCCAACAGGTGTCCAGCCTTCAAACTCCACCTCTGCACCTGTCTGGGATCAGGGCAGTCATGTGTGATGTCATATAGTACTTGAATTTTCAGTGTCCATTGAAGGAATTGTGACTGCTGCAATTTAACCTAGTTTGCCCTTAAAATTGCCACACAAAAAAAAAAAAAAAGACTAGGAAGAGTGAATAGCGCATTTAAAAACACCATATGCTCTGTTTATTTCGCAAAAAATAAGTGTATTTACTGTTTAGTTTCACTTTAACCATCATTTCACAACCAGACCCGACCCCTGACATAAACCTACAACCAAACAAATAAAACATAGAACTAAAACATAGGACTAAACCAGGACTAAACCCAACGTGACTTAGACTCAGACAGACTTTATTGAACCACAAGGGAAATTACTTGGGCACAGGAGCTCACTCGTCACATTACACAGGGCCTTTACTGGACATTTGGGGGCCGTAAGCACAGATATTTTGTGGCGTATTATATTGCGATATGTGAGCTACTATAATTCCCCTTGTGGATCAATAAAGTTAAGTCTAAGTCTAATATAAATTTAAAAAACTGAATCAGACCTGACAAAAGACTCTAAAGGGTCTACGTATATAGCCTAACTTAAAATCTTGTGAAAATCTTTGTGGTACAAAAAATAAAGAAACCAGGACTAAACCAGATCTAATTTAGACTTAGACAGACTTTATTGATCCCCCAGGAAATTACTTGGACACAGTAACTCATACATCACAAAATAGTATTCCAGTCCAACTTTATTTGTATGGCACATTTTACCGATGCAAAGTCTCCGAAGTGCTGCACAGAGGACGCACAATATAAACTAACACATCAAATAAAATAATAAAAAAATAAATAAATAAGCAAGTAAATAAAAAAATATAGCAAACAAAATAAAAAAAAAAAAAAAAAAAAAAAACTCACGCCATGTTAAAAGCCAGCAAGTAAGTGCATTTTTAAACAAGACTTAAAAGAATCGACTGAAGGGGCGGTCTGAATGTGAGGGGGGAGAACGTTAAATAAATAAATATGTAAAAAAAATATATTAAAAATATAATATAAATATTTTTAAAATTTAATAAATTATTTAAAAATGTTAATATAAGTATAAAAAATTTTATATACTGAACTGGACTGAAGCAGACCTTAAATAGCTCAAAATCTTGGAAATCTTGGAAGAAAAAAAAAAAAAAAAAAGTAAAAATCTAGTTTTTGTTTGAGACCTTGCACATTCCCTGCACTGGGGGGCGCCCTGTCACTTCCGTCACAAACAAACTTCAGCAGAAGAAACTCGCACTTCCGCGTTCATCACGTGACCGCTGTGAGGAAGCGCCGCGGCGTCACAACAACAAAAAGCCGCAGTTTTTTTTACCTCAAATCACGCGCTTTTCCCCCCGCACAGAGGCACCCGCGGCCCGCAGCCTCTCCCGGAGCCTCCCCCTCGCAGCCCCGCAGCCCCGGAGCCTTTACCCCGCCGTGAGAGCAGTGTTTTTGGGGGACGTTGTGGAGGATGACTGCGGCGGTGTTCTTCGGCTGTACGTTCATCGCGTTCGGCCCCGCGATCGCCCTGTTCGTGTTCACCGTGTCCCGGGAGCCGCTCCGGGTCATCTTTCTGATCGCAGGGTGGGTGCGCCTCCGGAGGAATCATGTGCCGCGGTTTAATGCCACATTTACGGCAAAAAAAGAGAAAGTTTAATGCGCCGATGAGGGGAAGGAGCTAACGCGGCTACAGCGGAGTTAGCCCGGGAAGAGCAACTTTCTGTTTACGATTTATTTATTTTTCAGGATAAAGTTGAATGACTAGAATTTCTAAATCAAAAACTGGGACACTCTCGGTTTTTTGGTGGTTGATAATAATAAAATTGTGAAACGAGAAAACAGTTACGCATAGACCATTCATGTGAGTCAGTATAATCACATTTTGTTTGTTTTCATCGTTTTTAAGCAGTTTTTTTTTGTATTTTACCGAAACGAATCACAATTTATGCCTCTATTTAATGCTGGCAGGTGTCAAATTGGTCAAAAATTTTGAAACCTGGGACAATAAATAAATAAGTCGGAGTAGGGGTGTGGAAAAAGATCAGAATATCGATATATCGTTTAATGTGATGATACGGTATCGATATTGTGGGCTGCTGTGTCAATATATATCGTCAAGAGTATTTTTTGGTATATTTTAGTAAGTTATTTTGTCACAGCTACAGTTTTGTTGCTTGTTTTGAGGATGGAAACTCATTTATGCGACACATTTGACATTTTCACTGTTTTGATGATTAAAATGTTTGTGTTTCATATGAACTTTGCACAAGAAGTGGTTTAACAAAGATTTTTAGTATCACAGCCATGAATTAGACTTAATTTTTTTTATTAAACCGCAACGAATCGATTTGAAATATATCGTATTGAATGGTATCGAATTCGAAAGTGCACTTTATCAAGGTATGTATTGTATTGGCAACTTCTTAAAGATACTCAGCCCTATTCATGACGAACATGTGAGTTACTATTGTCATGTTTTCTTTGTGTTTTGGTCATTTTTAAGGAGATTTTTTTGTATTTTCCCTAAAGAAATGACAATTTATGCCTCTCTCAGTTCCCACGGTCAAAGAAATCCTGGAAAAGTCATGGAAATTGAAAATGTCATTTTTCAGGCCTGAAAAAGTCATGGAATTTTAGTATAGTATTTTGAATGTTAAAAACTATAATCTAGGACTGGGTATCATTAAGAAGTTGCCGATACGATACATACCTCAATACACAGGCCACGATACGATACATATCTCGATACAGTGCACTTTCGATTTGATACGATATATTTCAAATCGATTCGATACAGTTCAATAAAAAATAAAGGCAAAATCATGTCTGTGATACTAAAAGTGTTTGTTAAACCACGTCTTGTGCAAAGTTCACATGAAACACAAACATTTTAATCATCAAAACAGTGAAAATGTCAAATGAGTCACATAAATGAGTTTCCTTTCACTCCACAAGCAACAAAACTGTAGCTTAAACAAAATAATTTAGTAAAACACATGTAAAAATCCTCTTGGTGATATATCGATACAGCAGCCCACGATATCGATACTGTATCATCACATTAAACGATACGATATATCGATATTCCGATATTTTTGCACACCCCTACTATAATCCCAAACCATAAGATTAGGAAAGGGTTAACATTTCATATTTAGCACTAAAAGTCTGATCAATTCTACACATGTAGTCGTAGTAGTATTCACTTTAGGTTATGAAGAAGTCATGGAAAAATGTTGAAATTCTGTCAGTGAAAAAGAGTGGGAACCCTGAAATAAGTAAACAGGGACGTCTGGTCACTTTAGTATATAGCCCACCGCGGTATTTTATTTTTTGAACAAGAATAGACATTATTTATTGTTTTAGTCCTCATTTCTAAAACAAGTACGAAAACGGGTCTAAACCAAAAGCAGATTTGTCCCAGTTTGATACACAAAATATCCCTGGTGTCTCTATTTCTGACCAGTTTCAAACTTGTCAACAGTAAAGAGAGGCATAATACAATAAAATACAGAAAATCTGCTTAAAAATGACCAAAACACAAAGAAAATGTGACTATACTGACTCATGTTCGTCATGAATGGTCTCTGCACAACAATTGTCATTAATTACAAACTCGTTTCACAATTTTATTATTACCAATCACCAAAAAACCAAGGGTGTACCTGTTTTTGATTTAGAAATTTTGGTCACCATTTGATATTAAGTTATCCCATAGTTATTGTTGCAGGAATACAGAAGGAATACTAATAATATACAGTTTGAAAATTATTCTGAACAATTTGGTGATATTTTTTGGTCAAGCATTGCGATTACGTTTTTGATTTTCAGTGTTTTAATAATAGGATTCTGTTCAGAGTTCACGTTTTAAACACATCCGGAAGAATTGACAAAAAGGCTGAAATCTGAACTGACAATCGAGCACAAGACTCACGTTTCAGAGAAGTGAACGCAGCTGCAGCCTGAAGTGTCATAACTCAGAATGAGACTCTAATATCTCTCGTATCGTTCAAGTCCAGACCTGCTCTCATCATTCAATTTATTTTGAATTTGTGAATCTGAAATCAGGTTTTAGTCCTAAACCAGGTCTAAACCAGGTCTAAACCAGGTCTAAACCAGGTCTAAACAAGAACTAAACAAGGACTAAAACAGATCTAACCCAAGTAGGACTAAAACAAGTATAAACCAGGACTAAAACAGGTCTAAAACAGGACAAAACGAGGACTAAACCAGGATTAAATTTGTATAAACTAGGACTAAAACAGGTCTAAACCAAGTCTAAAACTGGTCTAAACCAGGACTAAAACTGGTCTAAACCAGTACAAAACGAAGATTAAACCAGGTCTAAACCAGGACTAAAACAGGACTAAAACGGGTTTAAACTAGGATTAAACCAGGACTTAAACCAGGACTTAAACCAGGATTTAAACCAGGACTTAAACCAGGACTTAAACCAGGACTAAACCAGGTCTAAAACAGGACTAAACCAGGACTAAAATGTGTATAAACTAGGACTAAAACAGGTCTAAACCAAGTATAAAATTGGTCTAAACCAGGACTAAAACTGGTCTAAACCAGTACAAAACGAAGACTAAACCAGGTCTAAACCAGGACTTAAACCAGGTCTAAACCAGGAATTAATCTAGTCTGATTCTCCATAACCCTTCTCAGATTTTAATCAAGTCTAAAGCAGAACTAAAGCAGGACTAAGCCAGGACCAAACCAAGACCTGTATGATTCTCCATAACCCCCCTCAGGACTTAATCAAGACTAAACCAGGACTAAACCAGGAGTGGACGAGGACTTAAACCAGGACTAGTCTGCTCCTCTCTAACCCCTCGTCTCTCCGTGTGTCTCTCCTCAGAGCGTTCTTCTGGCTGGTGTCTCTGCTGCTCTCGTCTTTGGTCTGGTTCATCTCGGTTCAGATCAGTGATAAAAACAGTCTGTCGCAGCAGAAGGGGCTGCTCATCTTCGGGGTGGTGCTGTCGGTGCTGCTCCAGGAAACCTTCAGATTCGCCTACTACAAACTGCTCAAGTGAGTTTAGACCGAAACAAACGCAAAGGCACTGATCTGATTTCAAACTCCATTTACTAAGATACGAAGAAATAGACTCTGTACTGATTCCGATACCACGTTGATGCTCAAAAACACCCTTTCTTTAAACAATTTACTGTGAATTTTCAACTTTAAATCATAGTAGTTTCTTTTCTATTCCCATGTGGGCTTGTGTAATCCCTCAGTGGTCTAGTGAGGTTCCATCGTGGTCCATGGGCGTTGTACGGTCCAAACATTTGTGAAGCCAGAGTTGACGCTTTGCGCACCTTGTTCCACCTTTTAAAAATGCCTCAAAAGTGAAAAAATCCACGGAGAGCGATCCAAGTGCAGTTAAAAACTTTTTACTGAGTGTTCACATAATTGGGACATACAAATACATACAAAAAGGGGAACTTTTAACGTACAGGTGACAGGAGGTCAAAAACTGGTTGGCTCCACTCCACACTCACATGATGCACCTGCACTCGCCTTAAATAAGGAGCCATAGACACAAAATAATACAAAAATTAAACATTACTTAAGTAAACTTATGATTGACATTAGCAATAATTAATTGAAAGAAAAATGTAAATAGATATATATATATATTTTTATCAAATAATCAACAAATAATCATGTTAACCATAAAGAATGACCAAAATACTAAAAATCATGCATTTTAAGTAAATATTAAATTAACAAAATAAGACTAATTATCTCAGTAATGAAAAAATTACAAAACTGGGTTTAGGCTCCCACAGGCGTATACTAGTCTAAGTGCTCTTATACTTGTTCTGATCCAGCTCACAATCATTCTAAAGTGATTCAGGAAAGCTTCATTTCTGTCTTGTCAATTTTTTTGTATAAATACATGTGAAAAATTTGTATCTAGTTTCGATACTAGTTTTAGTTTTGATACCAGAGGTGGGACAAAGTCGTTGTTTTGCAAGTCTCAAGTAAGTCTCAAGTCTTTGACCTAAGTCCAAGTCAAGTCCCAAGTCAAATACAGGCAAGTCCAAGTCGAGTCTTGAGTCAGTGGCCCATATCCAAGTCAAGTCCAAGTCATCTGTTTTCAGCTTCAAATCATTTCAGGTCCTTAAAGTATCGAATGTAGCGTTGGTTTTCGCAATGTACCATATTTTCCGGACTACAGTATAAGTCGCTCCAGACTATAAGTCGCACTTTTTGGGGAAATTTATTTTATAAAATCTGAGACCAGGAACCGACATTTTCCAGTTGAAAGTCAAGTTGTAGTAAAAACAACAGAAGAGAGAAGAACAGACTGTTAACGTCACATATTTCACAGTTCTTCAGATAAACTATAACATAAACAACAGAACAGGACAAGTTGAACAAACTCTCCGTCTCACTCCAAATCACTAAATCCATTCAATTCTTCATCCTCGGTTTCACTTCTGAACAACTCGGCCTCGACCTCCGGAGGTAAACCGAGCGCCGCTTCCTCTTCTGTGTCGCTGTCGTCAGACTCAGCGTCAGTTCCAGTTAGAATTATTCGGTCTTTCTGAATCCCGACAGGATGGTTTCGGTGTCACTGAAGTCCAGACTTTGTCCATCCAGTGACTTCAGGAAAGTTTCGTGGTGCGTCCTCCCGGTTCCCGTGATGCTGTGTTCTCCATCCCCGCTTTTCCCCAGTTCCTCGCTCACTCCAAACTTTCTTTCTGCTGCTCGATTACTGTTTTCAGCTGCAGATTTCACGACTTGCAGCAGGACAGCGCCTTTTTCTACAGGAGACATGAATAAAAATAATAAGAAGAAAATAACAGAAAAAAATGAATAAAAAAATAAATCTGAGTTTTAACAATATTATACAAAAACATGTCAGATGATTCCTGCTGTTTTGTATTATTTTTCTTGAGTTTTCACACAGTCTTATAACTTTTTTGGTCGTTATTGTTCTAGCGTGCATCATTGCGTCACCGCGGTAACTGCTGAACATTTCACAATAGACACACAGGCAGAACACCCCCAGCCTGACGTCACTGTCCCCGCAGAGACAAAGAAACCTGCACATCTCGTCCTATTTTCAGTTTGTTGAAGCCGGGTTCAGTGTCAGGGAGTCGCCCTCATGAACATAAAGGGACAGAGGAGTTTGATAGTTTTATTTTAAAAAGTGTAACAACAGCGGCGCGGCACAGCTCAGCTCAGCCCTCCAACCAGAGAGTCACCGGTTCAGATTGTCATTGTTTCACCTCACAGACACGTAACCCGCTGATTGTGACGGGGCATCTGGAGTAAAAAAACAACATAAAAAGTCATTGTGCAGTTGAGTAAATTAAAGGATGAATAAACGGATGACAGCAGGAAGGAGAATATTTGTTTATAAATGTGTTTTTATTTTCCAGAAAAGCCAATGAGGGTCTCCTGACTCTGAGTCAAGAGGAGACGATGCCCATCTCCATCAAACAACTCGCCTACGGTAAAAAAAACCTCTTTTTTTCCTCTCTTTTCTATCACCCTGTTTTTATCTTTCTCTCTCATCTGTATTGCTCTACCCATCTCTTTTTCTCTTCTTTTCTTTTTCCTCTCAAATCTCTATCTCTCTTCTTTTCTTTTTTCTCTTCTATCGGTCTCTCTCTTGATCTGTTGCTCTCTGTCTACCTCTCTTCTTTTAATTTTTCCTCTTCTCTCTCTCTCTATTTCTTTAACTATCTACATCTCCTTCTCTTTATTGCTCTAACTCTTTCGCTCTTTCTTTCTCTGTCCTTTTCATTTTCCTTTTTTCTATCACTCGCTCTCCTTGTCTTTTTGCTCTTTTCTATCGCTCTATCTTCTCTCTCTCTCCTTTTCTCTTCTATCGCTCTCCCTCTCTATTGCTCTAACCATCTTTCCCTCTGTCTCTCTCTCCTTTTCCTCTTTTTTTTTCTATCGCTCTCTCTCTATTGCTCTAACCAGCTCTTTCTCTCTATATTTTTCTCTCCTTTTCTTTTTCCTCTCTTTTCTATTGCTCTCCATCTATCTCTTTCTTTTTAACCATAATTGCACAAATGACGCACAAATGATTGACTCCATTTTGTGTTTGGTTTTAGAGCATTTTGAAGTTTGGAGGCTGCTGACCCCAATTTGACCTTTAAAAGAATCGTTAATGTCTCCAAAACAAAAAAAAAAGCAAACCAAAGACAAACAACAGACATAGTTTTTGTGTGGGTTTGTGTTTGATGAGGGTGACTTCACGCGGGAGTTAAGGTCCGTTCACACCAAGGCGTCAAAGCGTCCAGTTTCTATGTAAAGTCTATGTGGACGCGCGACTAGAGCGTCCTGCGTTTTCAGCGTCAGCGCGGCGCGAATCTGGCGTCAGCGCGGCGCGTCTTCAGCGTTTTGGCGTCAGCAGCCAAGACGCGCGTCCAAAGCGTCAGCGTCAAGAAGTTGAAAATGCTGAACTTTTCGCGTCAGACGCGACGTTATTATCAGGAAGAAAGACTCGAGAACCAGAACGAGAACCACAAACATGAACGGAGAATAAATATATACACCACAAACACCGAGCAGATCGCGAGGACTACACCAGGACCGGACCAGGACTAAACCAGTACTAAACCAGGACTCGACCAGGACTCGACCGGGACTAAACAAGGACTAGACCGGGACTAAACAAGGACTAGACCGGGACTAAACAAGACTAGACCGGGAGTAGACCGAGACTAGACCGGGACTAGACCGTGATTAGACCAGGACTAGACCGGGACTGATCCAGTGTCATTAGCGGAGTATAAATATATATACGCCCCAGTCGTCGACCCGATCTCCTCCGCTGATGTTTTATGTCATAAAAACACTCTGTCAGTCTGGTCTGATATTGTTTCGGGAAAAGACCGGGACCGGGCTCTTGTTTCCAGGGCAACGGACGCGCGTCAAGTATTTTTGTCCCGTTTGTCCACAGCGTCAAAGACGCGCGTCGGGGGCGTCTAAACTCAAATGCAAACGCGTCCAAATAGAGGCGTCAAGGCGTTTTTTGACGCTTTGGTGTGAACGCCCCTTTATCATGACAGGTCTATCCCTCACACAGACACACACACTTTACATAACATGTCTCTCTTTTGTGTCTCTGCTCAGTCTCGGGCCTCGGTTTCGGTTTCATGAGCGGCGCGTTTTCGGTGGTGAATATTCTGGCCGATTCGGCGGGTCCCGGGACGGTCGGAATCCACGGAGACTCCCAGCACTACTTCCTCTCCTCAGGTCAGTGTCAAAATGAAGCTGGTGAAATGTACGTGGCTTTCTGCTCCACCGACTCTGACTAAATTAACTTTACACTGAAAAACTTAATCCACTTCTTTATAGAGTCTGTGAGTCCAACATTTCTGAATTTACCTTTTGGATATGACATCAAAACATGAAAAACATCTGAAAACCACCAATGTAAAGATGCACCGATACCCTCTTTTGAAAACCAATACGAGTACGAGTATAATCATTTCTGTACCAACACTGTGTACCGATTAGGGCTGGGTATCATTAAAGGTTGTATGGAGGATTTGTTTTTAGTTTCAAATTGTCAGTGAAAGTTTAAAATACCATTACAAAGACTCAGCAGCCTTGTAATTATGATGACAAAAAAAAAAAAAAAAAAAAAGAAAATCCATCAACTGTGGACGTAGTGAGGCCAGATAAACATCAGCCAATAGACAACGAGGCTCCCTCTTTATTTATTGGCTGTTAGGTTGTCAGTCAAACTCCTTACATTTCTAGTGTAACTGAATCGCCGGCGCACGGGGATTATGTGGAGGAGGAAGGTGGTGTCACGCATGCACAACATTTGAAAAAGGACTGTCGCCGTATTTCTTTTCCCTTAAAAAATCCTCTATACAACCTTTTAAGAAGTTGACGATACATATCTCGATATACAGGTCACGATACGATAAATATCTCGATACAGCGCTTTTTCAGGTCGATACAATTCAGTACGATATATTTCAAATCGATTCAGTATGGTTCAACAAAAAATAAAGCCTACAAAATTCATATGAAACACAAGCATTTTAATAATCAAAATAGTGAAAATGTCAAATGTGTTGAATAAAAAAAGTTTCCTTCCTCCAAACATACAACAAAACTGTAGCTGTTATAAAATAATTTAGTAAAATATACCAAAAAATCCTCTTGGTGATAAATCAATACAGCATCCCCCGATATCGATACTGTATCATCACATTAAACAATACGATATATTGATATTTCGATATTTTTGAACACCCCTAATACCGATACCGATACTTTAACTTCCATGAACATACAGTGCGTTTCCATGCTCATCAGTATCCCAGTTATTAGTCATATCCTGGTTCTGTCAGTATTCAGATCTGCTGTTTACATGCGCTGAAAAACTGGGACACACATATCCCCGTGACATGATCAAATGGAGTGTCCCGGTTTTTTGACATAATCTCACAAATGCTCAAAACGGCGAGGAGAAAATTCAGTTTGTTGACTGGACAAAAGTTAGTTTGGTTGAAGATGTTTCGCAGCTCTGTCCAGGCTGGATTCTACCTGGACGACTGAGGGATTCTTCACAAATGCTCAAAAATGATATATTTACCGTATTTTCCGGGCCATTACACGCGCTCTTGAGCCTCTAACCGCATCAAAAAACGACCGCGCAATCCAGAGCGCCCCATACACGAATCCACTCGGGTGTCCCAACACGACTTCAGTAAATTACAAAGCTGCAAACACACACGGAGCAGACAGCGACCGCACAGCGAAACACACACACAGACACACTCATCACTCCACGCCGACGAGGAACGGAACGGAGGAACGAACCGAAAAAGCGAGCGCAACATGCCACTTCTACACAACACTGAACAACTGAGTCACTGCGAACACGCCGATAATCCACTGGTCTCAGACACACCCTCCCTACACGCCACAACTGAACAAAGCCCAGAGTCACCGTGAACGAACAAACAAACAAAACCACTCACCCATCACACTGTTGTTTCATTTAGAGTCCCACGCGGTTTATTTGTGAAAAAAGTTCAAAAATAGACCATTTTATGACAGTGCGCCTAATAGCTCAGAAAATACGGTAATTCAGCTTTGCGCACATTTGTTTACGTTTTACAGAAACTAAACTTAAAACCACGTGACTCATTTGCAAAAACTATAAGCGCTGAAAAAAACAGCTCTTTCTTTGTGCGCTGATGTGGTTCAACTTCTGTCGGACTAAAGGACACGACTCAGTGGAATATGAGTGTTCTTTTTTTGTGACAGAGGGCCGTTCTGCTGATGGTGAGTCTGTTCTGTACGTGTGTCGCGTTGGAGATGGTTCATTCATCGTTAAACTTTTCAGAGATCGTACGTGCGCAGCGAAGCTCTTTATTTAACATCAGTCATTTCACTCATGTACAGTCACTTTATTTATGTCGGCTCTGTTGTGATGAAAAGACTGAAAGTTGTGAAGAATTCTCATAAGACTCTCGCTGTAGTGGAGGATGGTGCGCTTGTTGTAGTCCGTTTTCTAGGAGTTATAGTTTTAACTGTAGCTTCCGCTTCTCTGGTTAAGAGGATCCAGATCCACCTGAAGCGGCGACAGCTCCTTCTCCTCACTGCTCCTTCCTCCTCCTTGGTCCTTATAATCGACCTCATGAAGAAGCTCTCAGACGTCTGCGATAAGCACAAGGAAGGAGAATTCGCCGCAGCCATGTTTGTTTGTCTTTTGGACACACGCGCACTCAAATTTATGTTCCCATGTTCTGGATACTGCGTCTACATGCCACAGTATCCTGGTTACCGAAACTGGGATACTGTGTAATAGTGGTATCGGTGCATGGTATCGACAGATGTTTAACGAGTACGAGTATTGGGCCGATACCAGTATCCGTATCAGTGCATCCCTACACCAATCACGTCTTTCTGTCTCTGTGTCTCTGTGTCTCCCTCACTGTTTCTGTCTCTGTCTCTGTTTGTCTCTCCGCAGCGTTCATGACGATGGCGATCATTCTTCTTCACATGTTTTGGGGCGTGGTGTTTTTCGACGGCTGTGAGAAGCAGCGGTGGTGGGCCGTCGCCGCCGTGATCGTCAGCCACCTCACCGTCTCCTGTTTGGTGAGAAAACAAAAAAAAAACAACTGATGTTTAAAGGGCCCATATTATGCTATATTTGGATCTACTGTATGTTATAATGTCATTTCCTCATCACAAACAGATCTGGAGTTGAAAAAGCAGCTGAAGTGTGTGTTCTCTTTCTGTCGACATAAATACATTGGTGTCTCTGTCCAATCAGAACTAAGTTTTTCTATACATACATTTTTATTTTTTTTTTATGCACAACGATAATGTTAAATTTTTAATGTATTCATAAAGTGGAGGCTTTAATATAAGCCCTTTTGGATTTTTTGCCTCTTCCAGCACCTACTTTTTATCTAGTGTTTCTTTTTATTGTCATGTTATATGTGATAAATAAATAAATAAATAATAAATAACTCTTCCCCACCCCCAGACGCTGAGCAGAAGTAAATAAAGATGATTTAACGGGTTTTACATGTAAACCTCAATTCAGAATTATTATTTCCATGTAAACTCGAAGGAGAATATTTTAATTCAGAACTAATTAATTAAAAATAATGAATAATTAAAAAATATCATGTAAACGTGGTCACTGTGACGTCAGACACCGATGTCCTGTGCATGACGACACAAAAATGAAGCGTCTTGGGAGCTGGAATCAAACGTCCAATTTTCAGATCAGTTGCCAAACACTCTACCAACTGAGCTACTGTCATCCCCGTGGTGTTAAATTGTCCAAGAATCAGAAAGTGCGCTGTTAGGATGCTAGTTTCTATGACGGATATCACGGAAATGGGTTCTAAAAGTTGCAAAAAGTGTTTATAAACTCATCACGGTGAATAATTAGGATGTTCTGAATGCTTAAGGTAATTCAGGAAGAACTTTGAACCACTACAAACTATTTACAATGAACTAATTTTGTTTTTTAAAGTTTTAAGATGGTAAAACTCCTGCTGTAACAGTTTTACGTTTGTGTTTTTTTCCCGTAGACATTCCAGAACCCGGAGTACGTGGCCAGCCTGGTGCCCACGTACGTCATGTTGTTCCTGATGGGAGTTTGGGCCTTTTACTGCGCCGGCGGATCTCTCCGGAACCTCAAACTCTGCATCACCTGCACGGACAAGGACTTTCTGCTCGCCAACCACCGCGCGAGATAACTCCAAACCGCACGAAAAAAAAAAAAAACACAAAAACCCCACGAGAAACATGCATTAAACCCATTTATAAAGCGACACGTTCACAGCGTTTTAGAATCTGATGATGTCGTGATTTCAGATGGAGGGGGAGAGCTTCTATAACATAAAGCTGCACTGTGTAACTTTTTGTTTGAGGGTCCATGACTTGCTTGTTTCCATGGATACATCATCGCTCTGCCTGGAATGTTCCAAGGTTTACATTTATTCAATCGCAGTTGGCTTTAAAGCTCAAAAATACTTCGAAAAACAGGCATTCTGACTGTGAACGGCGTCGCCTCTCCACAGATCTGACCCGTAACTTTGTCCGGTTTGGTCTCCAGTAATGCCACACTGTGAAACATTCCAGACAAAGCAGTAACATCTCCACGGAGAAAAGCGTTTGACGGAGCCTCCACCAGAAAAGTTACACAGTGCACTTTTAACAGGTCATTTACAGAGTTGAAAGAAAAAAAACGCATATACAGGGTGTCCCAAAAAATTTGGCGTCATTTTAAAAGCAATTACCGTATAGGCGAGTTTCATTGTTGACAAAAGCGCGCGTTGCATGCTGGGAATTATTTTGGTCGGCGGCAAGAAACACTAATTCAACATGACGGACGGAGCGAGAAAGCACGTAAAGGGTATTGATCCCGGTTATTTCTCCACTCTAACGGCAGAGGACCCAAGACCATTTGACCAGAAATTGGTCATAAGCATCGACGGACGACAAATCACCCTTTTCAACCCCGACAGAGCCTGGACCAAACCAAATTTCTAGTCAGAATCTCCAACTACCTGGACAAATATTCACTTCGGTGATATCCACAATGACTTGGTGGAAACTCCTGGGCCATTCACAGCAGAAAAGATGAAAACCTCCAAGAATCTCGATGTGTTGTTGAACTTTTTGGAGTCCACGGTTTGTTAGGATCTTCTACGTTTGCTCTGCGGATGTTTGAAAGCCGTTTAATTCACCGTTAGCGGTTCTTTTCACTCAGAATACGAAAAAGACATTTTCCTTCTTCCGTGCTTCTATTTGTGCATCCGATAATGCAGCAGGAATTTACCGTTATCGGGGATAAATACGCGAGGTTACGCACTGTGTTTGACGCTACCGTGTTTCTTGCCTCTGACCAAAATATTTCCCAGCATGCAACGCCGGCTTTTAAACTATTTTTCGGATTATAAGGTGCAATATCAATAATGCTAAATTCTCTCGTCTATTTTCATACATAAGGCAACACCGGATTATAAGGAGCATTAAGCAAAACAAATGGACGGCACTTGAGACTGAATGTCGGTGGATCATTTAAATTTGTTTTTTTATTTTCTATGAGGACGACTCAAATATACATTGAGTAATAACATGTTTAATGCAGATTTTACATATTTGTTTACATTTTACAGAAACTAAACTTAAAACCACATGACTCATTTGCATAAACTATAAGCGCTGAAAAAAACTGCTTGCTCCTTGTGCGCTGATGCGGTTCAGCTTCTGTCGGACTATTATTGTTACATCCCTAATCGTGAGCTTTTCCACGATATCACAATAAATATCGTACCGTGAGTTTCATACCGTGACGATATCGTATCGTGAGACTTGGACATCGTTACACCCCCTAGTTTTTGTACATTCTGTGAGAATTTGAGCTTATTTCAACAAGAATTGCCAAATTTATGTCAGATTTTTTGGGACACCCTGCATATTAGAGCTGTCAAAAATGTAAAAAAAAAAACCTGAAACTAATCGATACTGAAACTAATATCGAAACGAGATATGAATTTTTCGCAGGTTTCGATAGAGAACGTACAATTTTAATGTTGAAAGTCATGTTCTATTAATTCTATTTAATGTTGAAAATCATGTGCTATTATAAATAAAGAGGGTTTCTTTTCATTCTTGCGGTATCAGAATCGGTATTGAGTCGATTCCTTGGTATCGAAATCAAGATTGAAATGATAGCATCGTGAAAACACTCATTTAAGTTTGTAAATTTCTTTCAAACATTGTTAAAATCTCTCAAAAATCTCCCTTAGACTTAAACCGACTTCTGCCCTCCATCTGAAAACGATGACATCAGATTCTCCAAAGTGAACTTAAACGTACAAACGGACCAAAAATTGCCTCCTTTTTAAAATAAAACCCAACTGCTTTCCTTCAAATCTGCCTTTTAACATTTCAGTTTGCTAATTTATCTCAACAATGGTACAGAAATCTTGAATGTTATCAAAAATCCTCCACCGGACGTCACCTACGGGCTTCAGCGGAGACCTGGAGTCAAACCCACAACCTCCTTCTCGAGAGGAGGAGTCAGGCTAACCACTCTGCCACTGTGCACCGTGCATTTCTCTCTGTTAAGATGAATTGTTTTAGATTTAACTGTACAATGTTTCATTTGGTATTCGGGAGTGGGGTTGGGGTTTGAAGCAGATTTTGTTTTTGTTTTTTTGACAATACATTTCTGTGAATCTGTTGTAAATAGAAGTGATTTTGCTGTTCAATTCTCCCTCATTTGTATCTCATTAGGATTAATTAAATTTGTCTAAAAACTGACTGAAAAGTTGAAGTGCAGTTCTTTCGTTCGAGCCACCAGGAGCTTTTTGACTCTGGGTGAATTTACTTCTTAAAAGGCCCATGTTACGCCGTTTTCTAATTTGTGTTATAATTAACAGTAAAATATGTCGAGGAGAAAATTCAGTTTGTCGACTGGACAAAAGTTATTTTGGTTAAAGACATTTCTCAGCTCATCCAAGCTGCTTCTTCAGTTCTGGTCAGACGCTGGTGGACACTTCCTTATATCTGCCTGCAGGGAGGAGCTAACTACACTGGAACTACTCTGAAACTAACACACACTTGTTTACAGTTTCTGTTTGTTAGTTCAGCCTTTTGACCTGTACAGGGTGTGGGGGTCTAATAAGCAGAACAATTCATGGCCATAATGGAGCTTCCACACCTCTGGTCCTGACCTGACTACACCTGTTGTTCTCTTGTTTGTTTTGTTGTAGGTTTGAGGATGGAGTTGTAAATAGGAGATAGATGGTGTCTGAGACCTCCATTTCTGTTTAAAGAAGGATTCTCTTTCTTAACAAAAATGGCTTCTTCTTCTTCTGTTCTTCTGTTAAGAAAGAGAATCCTTCTCTAAACAGAAACACCATCTTATCTATTTACATCTCCATCCATAGCGACCGTTCTTTCGCGCATGCGCACAGGCTTGAAAAAGAATGGTTCGGTTTAAAGTAAATTCAGATCATAAACTGTTTATGTGACTTCTTTATACATATTCTGTGATTCAAACTGAAGGAAAAGTAGTTTGGAGATAAATGAATAAAACTCAAAGGGAGTTTTTGAGTGTCATGAGAAAAAGAAAGAGAAACAGCCCGTGTCTTTTGTTTTAACATTTTCTGTAGAATAATTTGGATAGTTTCAGTCCTGGAATTGATTCTCTACTAATCAAAAGATGAGGAGTCTCCAGGGAACCTCCTCTCGTCTCTCCTCCTCTTTCCTCTTTCCTCTTTTCTTTCCTCTCGTCTTTATAAACATTATAAACCTCCGCGCAGCTCCATGGCGTCCGAACCTCACACGGACAAGTTTCCCGTTCCAGTGTTGGATGTGACGGCGAACACCAAACAGCCCAAGAAGAGAAAGTCTCTGGAGGAAAGAAAAAACGCGAAGCGGCTCAAAGACGTGAGAAGAGCCAAGACGCGCATCAACATCGGCTCGAGTCACTCGGGCTGGAGGAGGCTGCGGGACGCGCTGGGCCTCGCGCTCGACTCTCAGCTCGCTGCTCTTCTCTTAGATTTGTAAGATCTGAGTTTCATTTCACATTCTGTGGATTCTCCTTCAGGCGAGTGGTTTTATTTTATTACAGAATCAGAACCAGGCCCAGGTCCCGGTCCAAAAAGAAGCGTTAGCATGAGGCTAACAGGGACAATGCTACTTCATAAGTTTATTTACACTTTTCTCCCAAACAGTTAAATGCACAAAAACTGTCAACAAAACATTTTACACGTCCCTGTTTACCCGGGACAGGCCCAGTTTTAACCCCTGTGTCCCCTGTCCCAGCAGATTTATATAAAACCACTGATTTGTCCCAGTTTTACACAAGAAATGTCCCAGGTGTGTCTATTTTTGACCAGTTTAATCCCTGACAACAGTAAAGAGACACAAACTGTCATTTGTTTAAGCAAAATACTGAAAAGATGCTTAAAAATGACCAAAACACAAAGATAATGTGACTATACTGACTCACATTTGTCATAAATGAGCCGAGAAGAATTTTCCTTAATTACACACGATTCACAATTTTATTATCACCAACCACCACAAAACTGAGAATGTCCCAGTTTCTGATTTTGAGAATCTGGTCACAGACGTCCCTGTTTCCCCGGGACAGTCCCAGTTTTGAGCCTGTGTCCCCTGTCCCAGCAGATTTATATAAAACCAGTGATTTGTCCCAGTTTTTTGTTCCAGGTGTGTCTATTTTTGACCAATTTAATCCAGGCATGTCCAAACTATGGCCCTGGGGCTAAATGTGGCCCTCAGACTTCCAGATGATTGTCCCAAATTACCTTGTATTCATTTTTTTTAAAAAAAATTTTTTTACTGCAAGTTTTTTTTAAATCTACCTTGATAAAGCGAATATTGAATATTTAGTGTTTAGTGGTTTTAAGGATCTTAGCGTGAATAAAGACTGGTGGTTCATTCTAACGTGTTAAACATGCACATATTTCAGTGATTCACTGTATCGAGCTCCACGGCCCTCGATCAGTCCTCTGCTTCATCTGTGTTTAGACATGTGGCCCTTGATGAAAAAAGTTTGGACACTCCTGGTTTAATCCCTGCCAACAGTAAAGAGAGACATAAATTGTCATTTGTTTGGGTAGAAAAGCTGCTTAAAAATGACAAACACAAAGAAAATGTGACTGTACTGACATACTGACTACACTCACATGTTTGTCATGAATGATCTGTGCGTCACAGTTTTAGTTTAGTAGCAGAACTACTTAAAGTAACATGTTTACCTCAATTACTCTCTTTCAAAGACCCTCTGATGGTCACATGTGACATTTTGGGGTGTTTGAGGGTTTACTGACGTCCCCTGCTGTCTCTGGGCAGAAAAAAATCAGACTTTTAACACCTGAGCACCGACCCGGTGTCGGCGCTCAGGGCTCTGTTCTCGTTCTCGTTCTTGCGAGAGCTAAATCACTTTACGGCACTTTCACATTCACACAGGTGCCCGAGCGGCGACACGCCCCAAACTGACGCTGTCTGCACATCACAAATATCAAGTGTTTATTTGTGAAGTGTCAGTCATGGCACCACCAGCCAAGAGACAGAGGAAACCTTTATCTGACGACGCAAGGAAAAGGAAACGGGACTCGGACAGGAGCCGCGCTCACACTCGAGTCAATCTGGGGAAGGCGTTTGACGAATGGAGACAACTCAAAGAAACAGAAGAGCTCCAGAGCGACGCACATGTGGCCTTATTATTATTAAACACGTAGGTTTCAGACGCACTGATCCTGTCACTGTTAGAGTTCTGCAGTTTGAGTAACTGTTCGCTTTAGTTCGTGCTTTTCTCCTTCGTACATTCTGTTATTAACATGCTGCGTTTTCCACTGTAGCTCTGAAACTACCATTTGTCTAAATCCTTTGATTTGAGCAGGCTAACGTATCATCTGCTGCAGGATATGTACAAGTTTCCTTAATTACGCTCTCTTTTCATAATTTTATTATTACCAAACACCAAAACAGCGGGGATGTCCCAGATTTTTTTTAATTTTGAGATTCTGCTCACCCTTGCCAACAGTAAAGGGAGGCTTAAATTGTCATTTGTTGAGGTAAAATACAAAAAATCTTCTTCAAAACCACCAAAACACAAAGAAAATGTGACTAAACTGACTCACACGTTAGTTTTAGTTTTATTTATTTATGTGTTCAAAACAAGGACAGTGCACAGAAAACATTAAACTCAGTGAGAAATTTTTCATTAGTAACAGTGTCTCTTTAAAATAAAATTGCCACTATCCAATTCATCATTACACTTTGACTTTGATCCACAAGGAAAATTATTTGGACACAGGAGCTCATCATAAATTCTAAAAAAAGCAAAAACGAGCAAGAGACGGGAGTCAAATAAGACATAATTATATAAATGTAAACGTACAAATCAAAATAAAATTGAAAAACACATAATAAAATATAAAATCTCGGCTATCATCATCCTTAAAAACATTTAAAACAATCAAAAAAATAATAATTAGTCATGAATTTTCTTTAATTTCACACTCGTTTCACAATTTATTTTGAAAATCTGGTCACACTATATATATATTTTTTTTTTACATATTTCTCACACACATTTTATTCAGTAAATGAGTTAAATGCTGCACTGTGGAACATTCCGGACACAGTGATTAAATTTCCACACTTCGTAATCGTCTTGTAAACATGTTTCTGTGTGTCTGGTGTTTTTTATTGCTAAATTAAAGTTTAATTAAAGTTTAATTAAAGTCTGACGTTTTGATTCTTCTTGTTGCAGTTACCAGAAGTTCACCAATAAAGTCTCAGCTCAGAAAACGGAGAACGTCAAATCTCCAAAAGAACCAGAGGCCGACGAGTGAGTCACTGATCGGTTTAGTCCTGGTTTAGTCCCATTTTAGTCCCATTTTAGTCCTGTTTTAGTCTGGTTCAGTCCCGGTTCAGTCCCGGTTCAGTTTTGGTTTACTCCTGTTTTAGTCCCATCTTAGTCCCGGTTCAGTCTCATTTTAGTCCTGGTTTAGTCCCGTTTTAGTCCCGATTTTAGTCCCGATTTAGTCCCGATTTAGTCCAGGTTCAGTCCAGGTTCAGTCCAGGTTCAGTCTTGGTTCAGTCCAGGTTCAGTCTTGGTTGAGACTTAGTCCCGTCTTAGTCCCGTTTTAGTCCCGTTTTAGTCCCATTTTAGTCCCGATTTAGTCTCGATTTAGTCCCGATTTAGTCCCGATTTAGTCCAGGTTCAGTCCAGGTTCAGTCTTGGTTCAGTCTCGGTTGAGACTTAGTCCCGTCTTAGTCCCGTTTTAGTCCCATTTTAGTCCTGGCTTAGTTCCGGTTTAGTCCAGGCTTAGTCCTCTCTTAATACTTCGAACTCCGGCCCTGCTGTGGGCTCTGAGCCTCCGGTTTGGTCCTGGCCTGGTCTCAGTCTCAGTCCCAGTCTCAGTCTCTGTCCCGGTCCCGGTCTGTCCCCAGCCTGGTCCCGGCCTGGTCCCGGCCTCAGTCCCGCTCTGGTCTCAGTCTCGGTCTGGTCCTGGTCTCAGTTCTGATCTCAGTCCCGGCCTGGTCCCGCTCTGGTCCAGAGCCTGTGGTTTAGTCCCGGCTTAGTCCCGGTTTAGGCCTGTTTAGTCCTGTCTTTGTCCTGTTTTAGTCCCGGTTTCTTCTTGGTTTAGTCTTGTCTTAGTCCCGTTTTCGTCCCAGGTTTAGTCCCGTTTTAGTCCCATTTTAGTCCCGATTTAGTCCCGATTTAGTCCAGGTTCAGTCCAGGTTCAGTCCAGGTTCAGTCCAGGTTCAGTCCATGGTTCAGTCTCGGTTGAGACTCTCAGTCCCGGCCTGGTCCCGCTCTGGTCCAGAGCCTGTGGTTTAGTCCCGGCTTAGTCCCGGTTTAGGCCTGTTTAGTCCTGTCTTTGTCCTGTCTTAGTCCCGTTTTCGTCCCAGCTTTGTCCTGTCTTAGTCCCGGCTTAGTCCCGGTTTAGTCCTGCTTTAGTCCCGTTTTAGTCCCATTTTAGTCCTGGCTCAGTCCCGATTTAGTCCCGGCTCGATTGAATTTTAGTCCTTAAATTTACTTTTTTTTTAAACTCTGTTGTTATGGCCACACAGACAAAACACTGCAGTTTGAACTTTCATACACGATGCTTTTATTTGTTAGATTTTTACATAATTTATCATCAATGAATTTATTTTTTTCCCTCAATATCTTTATACTACAATAAACTTTTTTGTGAAATCTGAAGTTTATCTTTATATTTCACAGGAGTGACTGCATGAATTAATCTACATGTTCTTCTTTTTACAGGGAAGAGAAACCGTCTTTAACGTCTCTCAGGTCGATCTCACAGAGCATTTTGTCTGGACCTGTGTTGAAGTGAGTATTTATGAGTCTTACCCTGTTCTTCTGTCCTGTTTTTTTTACTTCAAAATCACTTTTAAATTTGACTGAGACGGATCCTGCAGCTTTAACTTTGCGCTCGAGCTCTCAGAAGGGTTTTTGTTTTAGTCCGGACTTGTCTTCATGAGTGTTTTTAATGTTTTTGTTGAACAGGTGTCCGGCGTGTGGATTTGTTTTGAAGGTTCTACACGGGAAAGAGCCGCATCAGCCCCAAAGCATCGAGGTGACCCTGGAGGTGAGACCAGAGCCAGAGAATCTGTTTGGACTGGTCCAGAGTTACTCCTCACTCAGCTCAGACATTCAGAGTAGAGACGGGACGAGATCTCGTGCCACAAGGTCGAGCCACAAGAGAAAAACAGGACGAAACCAGGACTAAACCAGGACTAAACCAGGTCTAAACCAGGACTAAAAACAGGACTAAAAACAGGACGAAACCAGGACGAAACCAGGTCTAAACCGGGTCTAAACCGGGTCTAAACTAGGACTAAAAACAGGACGAAACCAGGTCTAAACCAGGACTAAAACCAGGTCTAAACCAGGACTAAAACCAGGACTAAAACCAGGACTAAAACCAGGTCTAAAACAGGACTAAAAACAGGACTAAAAATAGGACGAAACCAGGACTAAACCAGGACTAAACCAGGTCTAAACCAGGTCTAAACCAGGACTAAAACCAGGACTAAAACCAGGACTAAAACCAGGTCTAAAACAGGACTAAAACCAGGTCTAAAACAGGACTAAAAACAGGACTAAAAACAGGACTAAAAACAGGACTAAAAACAGGACGAAACCAGGACGAAACCCGGTCTAAAACCAGGACTAAAAAAACTGGTCTAAAACCAGGTCTAAAACCAGGTCTAAAACCAGGTCTAAAAAACCAGGACTAAAACCAGGACTAAAACCAGGTCTAAAACCAGGACTAAAAACAGGACTCAAACCAGGTCTGAACTCGGGTCTGAACTCAGGTCTGAACTCAGGTCTAAACTCAGGTCTAAACCAGATCTAAACCAGGTCTAAACCCCATCTAAATCCCATCTAAACCAGGTCTAAAACCAGGACTAAACCAGGATTAAAATCAGCTCTAAAACAGGACTCAAACCAGGTCTAAAACCAGGTCTAAACTCAGGACTAAACCAGGACTAAACCAGGACTAAACCAGGACTTAGACAAAAAAGAGTTAAGAGCTGGTGAGTTTTACAATTTGAGAAGCTGTAGTTCCAAAAAGCAGAACTACAACGACCGCTAAAGTGTGACATCAAAATAAATAAAAAATAGTGAAGCCAAAATTGTGAAATGGATTAAACGACTTATTTATTACAAATTATGTCAAAGTCTCGTCTTGTAACTGGGACTAAGTCGTGGGCCAAACTAAATATTTATTGAAAAATTTCAACAACATCTGCGTGTTTTCTCTTTCGAAATATGTGATGTTAAAATAAATGTTTAATAATAGTTTTGTTTAAACACTGAATCCAGAACAAGCAGAATATAAAATAATAACAACATTTTAAATAAATCTTGTCTCTATAGTGGATCTGAGTGCGGCGGCAGCTCTGATACACATCTGATATGATCTCACGGGACAAATTTGGCCCTCGGACCTGAGTTTGACATGTCTGCACTAGACGGTTTGCAAGAACCCCGGAAGTGTGATTCTGGGCACCGGCCAATCAGGGAAGAGCCAGATATTCTGTGTTGGCAAAGATTCCGAGATCGAGGATTTAAAGCCGGAACAAAAAGAATGTTTAGTGAATGTTTTTCAAGGGGAAAGACGTTACTGTTCTTCTTCCTACAGGAGTTGGTACTTTACATACGTCACGAGTCACGACCAAACAGCAGCGATTGGTTAAATTTAAAAAGTACCTGTTTAACATCGAGTAAACAAATCCTAATGATGTGAGATCAGTCGACTGATGAGTCTGATGAACCAAAATGCAGGAGAGCTACAAATGTTAGCGGTCGCAAGAAATAGAGTGGATATAAGAGGCACAGAGCAGCTGTCACCCGATCGAGCTTTACAGACACGGGGTTCTCCCCCTCGCTCTCAAGTCCAAGATTAGTCCAGGTGTAGTCCAGGTGTAGTCCAGGTGTAGTCCAAGATTAGTCCAGGTGTAGTCCAGGTGTAGTCCAGGTGTAGTCCAAGATTAGTCCAGGTCCAGTGTAGTCCAGGTGTAGTCCAAGATTAGTCCAGGTGTAGTCCAGTGTAGTCCAGGTGTAGTCCAGATTAGTCCAGGTGTAGTCCAGGTTAGTCCAGGTGTAGTCCAAGATTAGTCCAGGTTAGTCCAAGATCCAGGTGTAGTCCAAGATTAGTCCAGGTGTAGTCCAGATTAGTCCAGGTGTAGTCCAAGATTAGTCCAAGATTAGTCCAGGTGTAGTCCAAGATTAGTCCAGGTGTAGTCCAGGTGTAGTCCAAGATTAGTCCAGTGTAGTCCAAGATTAGTCCAGGTGTAGTCCAAGATTAGTCCAGGTGTAGTCCAAGATTAGTCCAGGTGTAGTCCAAGATTAGTCCAGGTGTAGTCCAGGTGTAGTCCAAGAGATTAGTCCAGGTGTAGTCCAAGATTAGTCCAGGTGTAGTCCAAGATTAGTCCAGGTGTAGTCCAAGATTAGTCCAGGTGTAGTCCATCCAAGATTAGTCCAGGTGTAGTCCAAGATTAGTCCAAGATTAGTCCAGGTGTAGTCCAGATGTGGTCCAAGAGTAGTCCAGCTGTAGTCCTGGTTTAGTCCTGTTTTAGTCCTGGTTCATGTGCTGTAGTCTGTGTTTTATGTTCTGTAGGTGATAATGAACAGCATTAATGTTCATAACATGATTCTACATCATTTTAAGTAAAAAAAACCAAAAAAACCATAAAATATTACAGATTTTACTGAGCCGGCGCCTTCCTGTTTGTACTGAAAGTGAGTTTTGTGACACCTGTGTGTATTTCGACGTGTCAAGTCGAGTCTACGGCTTTTGGGTGGAAGTTTTTTAAGCGAACCCCAACTTTAAAAATCCCCACAACACCACTGATCACTGGTCTTCGTCTGAACGCTTTCTGACATGGAATCAACTTTTAACCCTGTTGCGTTATAACCGTGTTCTCTCCACACGTTTGATTCATTTTCCGTTTTCCTCCACGTGGATCATAATAAAGAGTTTGTGTTTTGCAGCTGGAGGAGACGGAGGAGCCCGTGAGCGGAGCAGAGGAAGCTGACGGGAGCGACGGAGACATAAAAGAGGAAGAGGAGGAGAGCGAAGAAGGGTCAAGAGTGGAGCAGTGGAAAGAGGAAGAGGAGGAAGAGGAGGAGGAGGAGAGAGGAGGAGCGAGGGATCAGGAGTGGAGGAGAGTAACAGAGGACAGGACTCTGACCACGACTGGACTCCTGAGCTTTGGCATCAAACTCCAGAACAAAATAATGACGCTGTCGGAGACGAAGAGAGTAAAGACGAGGCCGGTGAGTCTTTTTGAATCATCATCAGTGTCGGGGAGTAACAGATTACATGTACCAGAGTTAAGTAATCAGAGTACAAATGATGAGTAACTGTATTCAGTTACAGTTACTGTTTCAGTGAGTGGTAATTAGATTACAGTTACTTTGTTGAAATAAATGGATTACATGGCGGTATTTTCCTGTTTTTACATGTTGGGCTGTTTCCCTGCTTTATTTGTTTATTTTTTTCCGTAATTCCACTCATTGCTGGACACTAAACCAGATCTAAACCAGGACTAAAACCAGGTCTAAAACCAGGTATAAACCAGGTCTAAACCAGGTCTAAACCAGGTCTAAAACCAGGACTAAAACCAGGTCTAAAACCAGGTATAAACCAGGTCTAAACCAGGTCTAAACTAGGACTAAACCAGGACTAAACCAGGACTAAAAGGGTATAAAACCAGGTATAAAACCAGGTATAAACCAGGTCTAAACCAGGTCTAAACCAGGTCTAAACCACGTCTAAAACCAGGTATAAACCAGGTCTAAACCAGGACTAAAACCAGGTATAAACCAGGTCTAAACCAGGACTAAAACCAGGTATAAACCAGGTATAAAACCAGGTATAAACCAGGTCTAAACCAGGTCTAAACCAGGACTAAAACCAGGTATAAACCAGGACTAAAACCAGGTATAAACCAGGTCTAAAACCAGGTATAAACCAGGTCTAAACCAGGTCTAAACTAGGACTAAACCAGGTCTAAACTAGGACTAAACCAGGACTAAAACCAGGTCTAAAACCAGGTATAAACCAGGTATAAACCAGGTCTAAAACCAGGTATAAACCAGGTCTAAAACCAGGTCTAAACCAGGTCTAAAACCAGTCTAAAACCAGGTCTAAACCAGGTCTAAACCAGGACTAAAACCAGGTCTAAAACCAGGTCTCTAAAACCAGGTCTAAACCAGGACTAAACCAGGACTAAACCAGGACTAAACCAGGACTAAACCAGGATTTAACAGGACTAAATCCTGCTGTGTGGACGTGTCTCCTCTTCTTCTATCAATAATATTTTTAATTTGGTTCAGTAAAGTCTGGGCTTTTTATTTTCTTTTAGCAGACAAAAAATCTCAAAACAAAAACTCTTTTTAACTTTTCTTATTTTAGTTGCAGAATACAAATTTCACAAAATTCACGATGAAAAATTTCACAACAAAGATCCAAGATGCCGAGGCAAAAGCAGTCGATCATGTGAGCGAGGAAGACGGAGGCTGTTTCCTATTCGCCGTTCTCACGTGTGGGCGGGTTTTACTCTTAAAAATAAATAATATATCAACAAAAAATAATAGAAATAAAAGAGATGAGGTTTGGTGTGATTTTTATATTTAATTTTAAACATTCTGAAAATGTACACTTAAAAGTTCAGCAGCTAAAATTTAGAATAAAACAAATTCAAACGTGTTTTTTTTACAGTTAAAAGTGAGAAATTCAATTGTATTTAAAATTCTAAATGTGATGAAACAAATAATCTTCCATATGTAACAAAACACATTTATTATGTTAAAATAATGTTTAAATTATTTTTTAAAACAGTTTCTCGTGTGTAAATTGTGTCAAACGTTTGGATAAAACTCTCCCTCGTGTCCCTCTGTAAAGTCGCCTCCATCAAACTAAAAACCTCCACAAAAACTACGTCAATTATTTGCAGCACAAACGAAGCACAAAAAGTTTAGTTTGTGCTGTTTTAGTTTTGGAGATGTTAATGATTCTTTTATAGGTCAACTTGGGGTTAGCAGGAAACTTCAAAATGCTCTAAAACCAAACTCAAAATGGAGTCAGTTCGTTGTGTTGTTTTGTGTGATTCTGGTTCTTAAGATATTAACATATTAACAGTTTTATTTTCGGTTGATGACGTCTCCAGCCCCTCAAAATGTTAAACAGCCTCAAAACAGCAGAAAATCACACAAAACATTTGTATTTTGTTTGTGCTGTTTTGTGCTGTGACAGTTTTAATTTGTTTCTCTTCCCAACGGAATTGAAAAATAGTGAAAGGTGAAGGTGATGGGCAGGATTGATCCACAGGAAGAACCAAAAAGGAAACATTTGTCTGACTAAGAAATCATCCCGAGTTTACAGAGAACATTTTGTATGTGGAGCGACAACAAAACAAAATCCTGTTTGTTAATGTGAGAGGAGCAGAAGACAAACAGACTGAGCTGCACTTTCTTGTTCTTGTGGTTTTACAGAAACATCACGTCTTGGTCTCTTTGCAGTGGAAGGTGTTTCTTGGTGAACAGTTGGAGACTTTCACTTTGGTGTTGACTTTTTAAATTCATAACCGAGGCTAAGTGAGGGATCGGGGTTTTGTTTTGTCGTCGCTCCACATACAAAATGTTCTCTGTAAACTCGGGATGATTTAGTCAGACAAATGTTTCCTTTTTGGTTCTTCCTGTGGATCAATCCTGCCCATCACCTTCACCTTTCACTATTTTTCAATTCCGTTGGGAAGAGAAACAGTTTGAACAGAGGTTTGAGTCACACACATCTGATTCACTTTTGCATTTATGGAGTTCACAAACAAATTTCTCGAGCCGTTTTCCGTTGTTAGGATCCAACAACCACACGAATTACGATGTCTGAATCCCAAAACTAAAATATGACAATATCAGAACCAGAAACAAAAGTGATATGGTTCAAAAGACTTGAAAAGATCGACTTTGACAATAGACACATCCCACTGGGAAAACAAACATGGAGGTTTGATGCTCACTTTTTCGGAAAATCTTTCCCAGTATGAATTGCACAATGACCCGAAGTCTGAGATTCGTTGATGCGTGTATTAACCAAGAGCACAGCGCTGACTGGCTGTGCACTCACTGTGTGCATGATGGGGCGCTCGCGGGGGTTCCACAAAAGTCACTATCGGGTGCATAGGCTTTCGGACGCTGTAATTTTCAACATATTTTTCAAATTTTCTTTGCAAATTGCCTTTTGATTTTCGTAAAACTATCATTTATATTTACAACATGTTTTATCTCACCAAATTAAAGGGATAGTTCAGGTTTTTTGACATGAATCTGTGTGTCGTCCCCGTCAGCGTCCGGTGAGTCGAGATCCTGGCCCGTTTTGGTGCTGAGGAAAGTAGTTCGGCAAGTTGTCTGGGGACAGTCTAATAAAGCGTTTTTCTTCTCAAAACAACATGTGTTAAAAAGAGTGATACATTTGCACCACAAAACCTCCGTCCTCTAAAAAGTCAGACCTCATAATCACTTGGCACTATTTTCTCTCCGTACGTATCACTGCGCGCGGCCGCCAGGTGACAGCCGCGCCTGTTTCACTTTGTTAACTGCTCGGAATGTGAGCGACAACATGTCTGACCACGACACCGATGATGAAGAAACTGATTTTAGCACAGAGCCAATGGGAGATCTTTTTGAACCCGAATATACCAATGCCAAAATTCGCCAGAGTGAGTTAGACGAAATTAGGCAGAGAGAGAGAAAAGGCGAACATTCCGAGCAGTAAACAAAGTGAAACAAGCGGTGCAGTGATACGTACAGAGAGAAAATAGTGCCAAGTGATTATGAGGTCTGACTTTTTAGAGGACGGAGGTTTTGTGGTGCAAATGTATCACTCTTTTTCACACATGTTGTTTTGAGAAGAAAAACGCTTTATTAGACTGTCCCCAGACAACTTGCCGAACTACTTTCCTCATCACCAAAACCGGCCAGGATCTCGACTCACCGGACGCTTTCGGAGGTAAAGTCAGTGTGGATGCATCACACTGCTGACGGGGACGACACAGATTCATGTCAAAAAACCTGAACTGTCCCTTTAAGTGAAAATGTGAGAATTATAAAAGCCTGTCCTACTTTCTTTAACGGTGTTTGTTCTCTTGCAGAGCCCAAACGGAAGAAGCAGCTTTGCACCGAGTGTGGAGAGTTTTACAAGAAGAGCCACAAGTGCGACCACAAAACAAAACCCGTCGTGTGCAACGCCTGCGGCCGGAGGTTCATCTCCGAATCCGCCCTCAAAGTCCACAGCTACATGCACTCGGAAACGCACGAATACCTCTGCAAGTTCTGCTACGCCAGCTTCAAAACCAAAGTGAACAAGCTGGCGCACGAGCTGGTCCACCTGAAGCAGAAGGATCCGTTCAAATGCCCCGACTGCGCCATGACGTTCCCCACTTTTCGGAAACGCGCCGCTCACAAAAAGGAGCACAAGAGGGAGAAGTTTAAGTGTAAGATCTGTGGGATGGAGATGTTCGACGAGCAGAGTTTCATGAGGCACATCGTGGTTCATTCGGGGGAGAGGCCGTTTAAATGCTTCGTGTGCGACATGGGTTTCAAACAGGAGAGTCACCTGAAGTCCCACACGCGCCTGCACACGGGGGAGCGGCCGTACAGCTGCAAACACTGTCAGAAATCTTTCAATCATAACGTGAGTCTGAAGAGCCACGTTCAGAAGTGTCACCCAGGAGAGAAGGAGAAAGAGCAGACAGCGGAGAGGACAGAGACGGAAACCAAAGAGAAGTCCAAAAGCAAAAGGCCCCCGACCGGTCGACCCAGAGGACGACCCAAAAGAAACGCAGACGACAAAAAGCAGAGTTCAAGAAGGAAAAAACTGAAAAAACAGGAACCTGACGAGTTTGAAAGTGATGAGGACTACATCTGGTCAGAAGTAGGACTGGACGATTTTGCCCCTCTCGATTAAAAACAGACGATTGTCAAAACTAAAAAGATGTATGATTGTTTTATTAAAGGTGCACTGAGTAACTTTTCTGGTAGAAGGTCCGTCAAATGATTTTCTCCCTGGAGGTGTGACCCATTGTTCAAAGAAATCCTGAAACAATGTCTTTTTACGTTTATTTTTGGTCATGTGAGGTGTGGTCATACTGGTTTGTCAAAGCCTGATCTCGTCAGATTTCAGCAGAGTCGGGTCAGGAGCCACAAGGGGGCGCCAGTGATGACAAAAAAAAAAAAAAAAGAAACTGTTGTTGTGTCCTTAGGCAAGACAGTTCAGCCACATTGTCCACTGTGTGAAAGTGGAGTGTGTGTGTGTGTGTGTGATGGTGGTGGTCAGAGGGGCCGATGGCACAGATTGGCAGCCTCACTTCCATCAGTCTGCCCCAGGACAGCTGTGGCTACCTCCGCTGAGTGTGGAGTGACTGAACAATGAATTCTAAAGCCCTTTGAGTGTGTTGAAAGGTGATATATAAATGCAATAATTGATTAATTAATTTTTGAACATGAAGGTTCAGACTGTGACGCAGATGACGTCTTTTTTCAGACGACTTCCGGACGTCCAGTGTTGATGTTTGTTTGTCCTACAGTGATGCAGAAAAGAGTGTGTGATTGTTCATGTGCGAGTGTCCGTGTGTGAATGTTCATTTTTTAGGTCAGTGTATCTGATACCAATGATCTTTTATGTTGTGAGGGAATCAAACCGCCAACCTTCAGATCAGTGAACAAACATTTTACCAACTGAGCTTCACTTCTGCCCAACAGAGCTGCTCTTTTAAACCGTTTTTATGGTTGAACTCATGGAATTGTAATCATTTCTGTATGAGTAGGATATAAATTTCCTCAGATTGTATTTCCAAACTAGAAAAGCAGAGAGCGCAGACCTCCGCCAAGGACTACCCCCATTTTTTATATAAACTGCGATAAAATCAGTCTTCTGGATCAGATCCGGATCAGCCTTTGGAATATGAAGAGGATCCCATTGTCCATCCCTGAGTCAAATTTCATGGGGTTTGGTCAATAATTAACCCAGATATTGAGAAACAAAATTTTTGGCCCCATTTACCACAATGTTAACTAAAATTTCAAAGTGATCCAGAATCCAGGATTTCTTCCGGATCATCCCCAAAATGAAATCAGTTCTTCCTTTTCACATTTCCAACAAATCCTGAAAATTTCATCAAAATCGGTCCATAACTTTTTGAGTTATGTTGCTAACAGACAAACAAACAAACAAACAAACAGACAACAAACAAACAGACAAACAAACAAACAGACAAACAAACAAACAAACAAACAAACAGACAAACAAACAAACAGACAAACAAACAGACAAACAAACAGACAAACAAACAAACAAACAAACAAACAAACAAACAAACAAACAGACAAACAAACAGACAGACAAACAAACAGACAAACAAACAAACAGACAAACAGACAACAAACAAACAGACAAACAAACAGACAGACAGACAAACAAACAAACAGACAAACAAACAACAAACAGACAAACAAACAACAGACAAACAAACAGACAAACAAACAAACAGACAAACAAACAGACAAACAAACAGAACAGACAAACAAACAAACAAACAGACAAACAAACAGACAAACAAACAGACAAACAAACAACAGACAAAAACAAACAGACAAACAAACAAACAAACAAACAGACAAACAAACAAACAGACAGACAAACAAACAGACAGACAGACAAACAAAAAAACATAACCTCCTTGGCAGAGGTAATAAATAAACATAAAAAACTAAATTAGTTCATTAAACAGATCATTAGTAAGAAATGTTAAATCACAAATAACTAAAATGAATATTCATGAATAATATTAATAACACTATACATAAACACTGCTGGGAATTCCAGGAGCCACAGGAGGCGCCAGTCACAAAAACCTGTTGTTGTGTCATTAAGCAAGACACTTCACCTACATTGCCTAGTATCTTTGGGTATCTTGAAAGGCGCTATATAAATGCAATGATTAATAAATGTTCAAATGTTTTAACTGCAGATTGACGTCCAGGTAGAGTCGGAGTTAAACGTCCAAACAGTGGACATCATTTGCACATCATTTACAACATAGACCTGAGCTGCACGTCCATAACATGTTTCATTTTAAGGAGGTTTTGCTTCGTGGATGTTCTCACAGTCACAATGTCTGTTTTTCTTGGTATTTTTGAGCCGTAAAACCACCTGTAACTGAATAAATGTAACGTAGAGCTGTTTAATGTCACACTGTGGAACATTCCAGACACCAGAGGAATGACACATCCATCGAAACAACCGAAAAGTTACACAGTGCACCTTTAAAAAGCTGTAGTGTGATAAACGTGGGTGGGTTTTTTGCTATTTGTGAACTGTAAATTCAGAAGAGAACCTAAAAATTGCTAAAGAATGTGAAAGGCTCATATGAAACCCATTATTCATCATTATTCATCATTCTTCGACTGTCATGGACTTAAGACGTGTTCTGCTGATTAGTCGACTCAAAAAATTATGCAATAAAAGTTATTTATATAGAGAAAAGTACTAGGAAACATGTATTTATATAAAGACCGGTGAATCATGAGTTTAATCTGACTTTTTACACAGAAATGACCAAAAATGTCAAATGTTCAGCTCACTCACTCACTTCTCCTTTCTGCTGTCGTCCCAGAGAAATGATTTTTCAACTAATCTGAAGTTGTGCCTTTTCTGGAAACGTTCTTTTCTTCTTTCACCTGCGCAGAACATTTAATTTAGTTCAAGTTTATTTATAAATCACGTTTAAAATAACTTCACTGGACCAAAGTGCCTCACATAAAAGTCGACAAAAACAGAAGAAACATGTGAAAACTACAATAAAACACTGAGATCACTTTTCTAACCAGGATAAAATACCAGAGAGAAGGGACGGTCCCAGTTTTGAGCCTGTGTCCCCTGTCCCAGCAGATTTATCTAAAACCAGTGATTTGTCCCAGTTTTATACAAGAAATGTCCCAGGTGTCTCTATTTTTAACCAAGTTGATATATGTATATTCAAAAATGTTATATTTTCTGATGACGTAACAACATTTTAACATGGTTTAAAGTTCACATGAATCCATTTTGTGTAGAGTGACAAGATTTTCAAAATAAAAAACTGGGACATTCCTGTTTTTTGGTGGTTGGTAATAATAAAATTGTGAAATGAGTGTGTAATTTAAGGAAAACTGTTCTGCAGAGACTTTCATGACAAACATGTGAGTCAATATAGTCACATTTTCTTTGTGTTTTGGTCATTTTGAAGCAGATTTTTTTGGATTTTACCTAAACCAAACAAAATTGAAAACTGGGACACACCCGGGAATGGCACGTTTCACATAAAATTCAACAAAAACAGAAGAAACATGTGAAAACTACAATAAAACACTATAATATAAAACTGCAATAAAACATTGAGATCAGTTATTTAGCCAGGATTAAATGGCAGAGAGAAGAGGTGAGGTTTCAGTCTGGTCCAGTGTGTCCAGACGTTTCCCCGGGACAGTCCCAGTTTTGAGCCTGTGTCTCCTGTCCCAGTAGATTTATCCAAAACCACTGATTTGTCCCAGTTTTATACAAGAAACGTCCCAGGTGTCTCTATTTTTGACCAGTTTGATCCCTGCCAACAGTAAAGAGAGACAGAAATTGTCATTAGTTTAGGTAAAATACAAAATAATCTGCTTTAAAACGACCAAAACACAAAGAAAATGTGACTATACTGACTCACATGTTTGTTATGAATGGTCTCTGAATAACAGTTTTCCTTAATTGCTCACTCGTTTCACAATTTTATTATCACCAACCACCAAAAAAACTGAAATTCTGTCTTGTGGTCTCCAGGTGGAGAGTCTCTGCCTCAGGTGGAGGAGTTCAAGTATCTCGGGGTCTTGTTCACGAGTGAGGGGAGGACGGAGCGTGAGATTGACAGGTGGACAGGTGCAGCGTCTGCAGTGATGCGGTCGCTGTATCGGACCGTTGTGGTGAAGAGGAGCTGAACCAAAAGGCAAAGCTCTCGATTTACCATCTCCGTTCCTCCCCTCACCTCTGGTCATGAGCTCTGGGTAATGACTGAAAAGGACAAGATCCTGGATACAAGCGCTCGAAATGAGTTTCCTCTGCAGGGTGGGTGGGCGCTTCCTTAGAGACAGAGAGAGGAGCTCAGTCACACGGGAGGAGCTCGGAGTAGAGCCGCTGCTCCTCCACGTGGAGAGGAGCGTCTGAGGGGAGGACGTCTGTTCTGATGTCTCCTGGACGTGTTCAAGGTTCAAGGTTCTTTATTTTGTCATTCAAACATGTGAGAGAAACATGACAGAACGAAATGTGCTCCCGAGGCCCAGTGATCAGAAAGAGATAAAAAACAATAATAATAATAATAAGCAATGTTAAAAATAAATACATTTAAAACAACAACATTTAGCAGTTCCAATGAACAAGTAGTAAACGTGGCAGATAGAGAAAGAGGCCCAAAGCAGGAAGTCAGTGGCACTGTTCAAAAGTCTGACAGCCTCAGGAAAGAAGCTGACTTCAGCCGAGAAGTTCTAGCTTAATGTTCCTCAGTCTCCTCCCAGGGCAGACAACAGATGGTGATGCGAGGGTCTGATCCTGGAGCCCGTCTTCTACAACGCTCCTCATAAATTTCACTGATGAAAGTCACCAGTGTCCTCAGGAGGTGTTCATGTCCCACTGGGAGGAGGCCGCGGGGAAGACCCAGGACACACTGGAGGAACTATGTCTCTGGGCTGGACTGGGAACACCTCAGGGTCCCCACAGAGGAGCTGGAGGAAGTGTCTGGGGTGAAGGAAGTCTGGGAGTCCCTGCTTAGTCTGCTGCCCCCGAGACCCGACCCCAGATAAGAAGAAGAACATGGATGGATTCTTGAGTATAAAGCAAATCTGTATCACTGAAACTAAAAACAAATGAAGTGTTTCAGGGAAAACTCTGGTAAATGGACTGTAGCTTCTTTTAAACATTTATTGCCTAAATTTAAGATTTTCTGACGAGTTGAATCATGGAAGAAATATATGTGACAATTTTTAAGATTATACAACAAATTCAGAATTATTAATTAATTATTAAGAAGATAATAAATCTGAAAACAAGATAAATATGGGATAAATAAAAGGATCAAATTGGTCAAAAATAGAGACACCTGGGACGTTTCTTGTATAAAACTGGGACACATCAGTGGTTTTGGATAAATCTGCTGGGACAGGAGACACAGGGTCAAAACTGGGACTGTCCTGGGGAAACAGGGACGTCTGGACACACTGGACCAGACTGAAACTCACCTCTTCTCTCTGGCTTTTACTCCAGGCGAGACAGGTGATCTCAGTGTTTTATTGTAGTTTTATATTGTAGTGTTTTATTGTCGTCGTCACATGTTTCTTCTGTGTTTGTTGACTTTTATGTGAAACGTCCCAACTCCAGGTGTGTCCCAGTTTTCAATTTTGAAAATCTGTTGTCACTATTTTTAACCAATCTGATCCCTGCCAACAGTAAACAGAGACATACATTGTCATTAGTTGAGGTAAAGTACAAAAAATCTGCTTAAAAATGATCAAATCAAGAAAATGTGACTTTACTGACTCACATGTTCGTCATGTCTCAGCAGAACAAACCATTTGTTTCACCATTTTATTATCACCAACCACCAAAAATAATGGGGTGGTCCCAGTTTTTATTCTGAAATTCTGGTCACTCTACACAAAATGGATTCTTGTGAACTTTGAATCATGTTACATTTTTTTGAATATACAGACATCAAATTGGTCAAATATAGACACACCTGGAACATTTCTTGAATAAAACTGGGACAAATCAGTGGTTTTGTATAAATCTGCTTGGACAGGAGACAGGCTCAAAAATGAGACTGTCCTGGTTAAAAAGGGACGTCTGTAACCAGATTTTTTAAATCAGAAACTTGGACACTCAGTTTCTGGTGGTTGTTAATAAAACTGTGAAACAAGTACGTAATTAAGGAAAACTGTTCTGCACTCGGCTCATTCATGACGAACACGTGAATCAGTATAGTCACATTTTCTTTGGGTTTTAGTTGTTTTAAAGCAATTTTTTTTTTTTTTTTGTATTTTACCTAAACTAATTACAATTTCTGTCTCTCTTTACTGTTGACAGGGATCAGATTGGTCAAAAATAGAGACACCTGGGACGTTTCTTGTATAAAACTGGGACAAATCAGTGGTTTTGGATAAATCTGCTGGGACAGGAGACACAGGCTCAAAACTGGGACTGTCCCGGGGAAACAGGGACGTCGCTGACCAGATTTTCAGAATCATAAACTGGGACATTCTCAGTTTTTTGGTGGTTGGTGATAATAAAATTGTGAAACGAGTGCGTAATAAAGAAAATTGTTCTTCACTCGAGCTCATTCATGACAAACACGTGAGTCAGTATAGTCACATGTTCTTTGGGTTTTGATCGTTTTTACGCAGATTTTTTGTATTTTACCTAAACTAATTACAATTTATGTCTTTCTTTACTGTTGGCAGGGATCAAACTGGTCAAAAATAGGGAGATCTGGGACATTTCTTGTATAAATCTGCTGGAACAGGGGACATAGGATCAAAACTGGGACTGTCCCGGGGAAACAGGGACGTCTGTGACCAGATTTTCAGAATCATAAACTTGGACATTCTCAGTTTGTGGTGGTTGGTGATAATAAAATTGTGAAACGAGTGCGTAATAAAGAAAATTGTTATTCAGAGCTCATTCATGACGAACACGTGAGTCAGTATAGTCACATTCTCTTTGTGTTTTGGTCATTTTTAAGCAGATTTTTTGTATTTTACCTAAACAAATGAAAGTTTCTGTCTCTCTTTTTCAGTTGGCAGGATCAAATGGTCAAAAATAGAGACACCTGGGATATTTCTCGTATAAAACTGGGACAAATCATTTTCTTTGAGTTTTGGTCGTTTTTAAGCAGATTTTTTTGTATTTTACCTAAAACAAATTACAATTTAGGGATCAAATTGGTCAAAAATGAGGGACATTCTTGTACTCTGCCAAATTCAAGTCTTTAATTAAATGGCTAAAGAAAAACCAGACTTGTGGACAAGTAAGATTAACTGTTTTGCTTTGAATTTGTGGTGTTACCTGCCTCGGGACTTAGATGGAAATGGCAGTCTTGCTTTTCTGGCATTTTAAGCAATTTGTAGATTTCATTAATAAATAACTGTCTTTAAATAAATAAATAAATAAAAAATAAAACTGGGACAAATCACTCGTTTTGGATAAATCTTCTTGGACAGGGGACGCAGGCTCAAAACTGGGACTCTCCCGGGTAAACAGGGACGTCTGGTCACCCAAATTTTGCGTAACATGGAACTTTTAACGCCGCATGTTGAAGAAGCCCAGTGAAAACCCCTCGCAGCACCGGAGGGGGGCGCGCTGCTCTCAAAGAAAACATTGTCAGAAACATGGCGTCCAGCGCAGGGCTCCGAAGCTGCACGGTGGCTCTGCAGGCGCTCCCCAACTGGGCTCTCCCCCCGACGGAACCGACGCGCAAAGATCCGTCCGCGAAGCCCAAGAAGCGCCTGAGCGAGAAGGCGAAAAGCGCCAAACGCGAACGGGACCGACACCGCTACAAAACCCGCGTCAACGTGCTCAAGTCGTACCCGAGGTGGAAGGATCTGCGCTTGAGGCTCGGGTTCACTCTGGACTCCGAACTGGCCGAGCATCTACTAGACAGGTACGATTTTACGCTGCGTTTGGCGTTAAAAATGACATCTCGTGCGTTTTCGTTGGCGCACGGTGTCGTTTTGCGTTTTTCTTCGCCGTGAACTGCATTTTTGGTGTCTGAAACAGAAGCGGGACCACTGATTTCCTGCTCCAATCTGCAGAACATACAGGCCCCGCATGTTCACAACAGCCTTTCTCCACAAAACAAGCAGCGGATCGTCTCTCGGGCTCAAACAAAGGAGAATGAGGCTTTTATTTTTCAACTTTTACTCGAAAACTTCACCAAATGGTTTGATTATAATGCAGGGATGACACTGCATGCAGCCGCTGTCTCAACAAATTAGAACAATTAAGTCCAGGGATGTGGGCGGGGATAGGGGGCAGGGGGCGGGTGAAAAAAAGTGAAATTTTCTGAGCACTTAAGCCTTAAATGCAGGAATAAATAAACAGGATTATTCCAACACACAGGAATGCAGCTTTGAGTATGAAGATCGATAAAGAAACGCAGAGATATCAGAGTCTTTTTGTGTTATTTGTGCTTTTGTTTTAGCTCGAAAAATGCAAAATAACAAACAAAAACATTCCACGCTGGAGCATTAAAGGCGTCTTCAGCCATGTTTTGGTTCAGTAACTTTGTGAAACGACGTAACGTGGAACATTTAAAACCTATTACACTATCGATTAATAACCAAAATATCGTGATGTCGTATCGTCGAAGTTCTCACAATAATATCGTGGACCGTCACAATATATCGAATTACAAGTGTCTTTGTTTAAATTTAGAGTTATGGTGCAGCAACAGCTAAAAAAAGACAGAGAGAACTACATAGACCATGATCCTTTGCTCCGTTTCAGTGCAGACGACAAGAAGAAATAACAGTTCGAACATTTTTAAGTCTTAGTTCTTTGGATTAAGTCTTGTCAAGGTGTTTTAACAGTTTTAGTTGTTTAGCCTTCACAAAATATCGCAATAAATATCGTACCGTGAGATGTAGATCTCTATATTGGTAAACTTGTTCTGTTCTGTTGTTTATGTTATAGTTTATGTGAAGAACTGTTCATATGTGACGTTAACAGTCTGTTGTTCTTCTCTCTTCTGTTGTTTTTACTACAACTTGACTTTACACAGGAAATGTCTGCTCCTGGTCTCTCATTTTATAAACTAAATTTCCCCCAAAATTTACGACTTATATTTGTTTATTTCTTCTTCATTATGCATTTTTTGGTTGGTGCGACTTATACTCCAGAGTAGGGATGGGCATGATTAGTTAAATAATATAAATTGATCATTAAAATTTCATCGATTACGTTAATTTTAATCGACAAACTGAATGTATGTTGTTGTGTATCGTGAGCAAACAGGTGTGTACATGTGTCTCTGCATCAGAAGGAGCGAGACACAAACAGTGGGTCAGTCTGTAACGAACCGAAGCACAAATGTGGATTTAACCAGGATTTGTAGAAGAAATTCCACACTTTCCGTTGCGTTGGGACAAGTGTGAGTCCATGTGCACAGTGGATAAAGCAGCACATATGTTTCTGTGTCCAGTGGGAAAAAGTTTTTCCAGGTGAGAGTCGCTCAATGTGGATGACGAGGCCCCGCCCCCCTCCCCCCGTACGCTGTCCTGGTTTTGACAAACACAAATCTGGTCACACTGACCTGTATTCACCTGAGTCATGTCTTTTAATCCAACACAAGTTGAACCACATCAGCGACACAAGAGCTGGAGTTTTATCTTCACTTAGTTTATGTAAATTAGTGATGTGGTTTTAAGTTTTGTTTCTGTGAGATTTGAACAAAACTGAATTAAACACATTATAATGTCAAACAGCTGATGTGGATCTAGAGTCGTTATGTTTATATGTCGTAAAGTTGAATTTATTGATGCAGATTAGTGCAGATAGTAATAATAATGATGATCATTTTAATATAAAAACGTTAATGATTAATCGATAATCGACCGTTAATTCTTCTGACGATCGATTAAGAAAATTTCATCGAATGCCCGTCCCTAATTCAGAGCCACTTATAGTTCGAAAAGTACACTACATTCCTAATCGTGAGTCTCAATAAATATCGTACTGTGAGGTTCATGTTGTGCTGATATCGTATCATGAGACTTGGATATCGATACATACGGTGTCCAAACGCCCGTTTTTCCCCAGACATTTTAGTCCTGGTTTAGTCCTGTTTTAGACCTGGTTTAGATCTAGTTTAGAGTCTAGTTTAGACCTGGTTTTAGTCCTAGTTTCGACCTGGTTTTAGTCCTAGTTTAGTCCTGGTTTTAGTCCTAGTTTAGTCCTGGTTTAGTCCTAGTTTAGTCCTGGTTTTAGTCCTAGTTTAGTCCTGGTTTTAGTCCTTTTAGTCCTAGTCCTGGTTTTAGTCCTGGTTTTAGTCCTAGTTTTAGTCCTGTTTTAGTCCTAGTTTAGACCTGGTTTTAGTCCTTTTAGTCCTAGTTTAGTCCTAGTTTAGTTTTAGTCCTAGGTTTTAGTCCTAGTCCTGGTTTTAGTCTTGGTTTAGTCCTGGTTTTAGACCTGGTTTATTTTTTGGCAATGAGTGGAATTACTGGGGGGAAAAAAAGAAAAAAAGGGGGGGATTTAGCCCAAAATGTGAAAACAGGAAAATACCACCGTGTAATCCATTTCATCAAAGTAACTGTAATCCACTCACTGAAACAGTAACTGTAACTGAATACAGTTACTCATCATTTGTACTCTGATTACATAACTCTGGTACATGTAATCTGTTACTCCCAAACACTGGATACTCTCACCTCACAACCTGTGCACATGGCCTCACATTTGTCCCAACCAGAAAATGGAGAATTTCTTGTACAAGTTGTTGTTAAATGCACATTTGTGCTTCGGCGTGTTGCAGACGACCGACTGTTTGTCTACGAGAGACGCTCAAGTTAATGGCCCAATGAAAGGAAATGAAAACCCGGACATTTCCACCACTTAAAGGTTGTATAGAGGATTTTTTTAAGGGAAGAGAAATACAGCGACAGTCCTTGTGCGCGTTCAGAATTACTGTTGAAGTTTCCTGTCTAGAAGTAATTCAGCGACCGACGCGTCAGTTTTTAGACCCTTCGTCTGCTTCGGTCGCGCCATCGCTGGACGAGATCTCCAAGAATCACCTCAGTTTGGCTTTGCTCCTTTTCCTCTTCTCTTCTTCTTTCAGCGACCTCAAAAACGGACTTTCTTTTGCGGCGAACCGGTCGTGGATTCTCGTCCGCCGTCGCGACAAACTTTGTGCGAAATGCGAGGAAGCGACAGTTCGAAAAAGCCTCTAAGAACCGCTGCGTAAACCACGTAATCCCCGCGCTCCGACGAGTCAGTTACACTAGGGAGTTTGATTGACAACCCAACAGCCAATAGAAAATGAGGGAGCCTCGTTTTCTATTGGCTGATGTTTATCTGGCCTCAACACGTCCACAGTTGATAGATTTTCGTTCTTTTTTTTTTGGTCATCATAATTACAAAGCTGCTGCGTCTCTGTAATGGTATTTTAATCTTTCACTGACAGTTTGAAACAAAAAAAAATCCTCCATACAACCTTTAAAAAAAAAAAACAAAAACCCGAACGATCAGGACTGGACGCAAAAAACGGACATATCTGGGGAAAAACGAACATTTGGTCGCCCTATCATGTGATAAAAGCAGATCAGATAAATAAATAGGACTAGGATCGTTAAGAGCTTTATAAACCAAAAAAAGAACTTTAAAATCTGCACAGACTTCATCTATGATCACGTGAACGTCTTGTAAACTCTGTTCCATTGTGACTCTGGTGGCCTTACTTTTTTATTTCATTGTTTACCTGTTTAATATCAATCTTACACTTTGTCGCCTTTATTCTCTTTTTGTTGCAGTTACGAGAAGTTCATTAAAATCACCTCATCTGACAAACCAGCGAACACCGGAGCCAAATCTGGAAATGAGTCAGAAAAGTAAGTCACTACTCCTGGTTTAATCCGTCGCTTCGTCCAGAGCTCGGGTCTAAACCGCGCCGTCAGATTTCACACACAAGAACAAGACCAGATCAGATTTGAACGTCATTTGTAGTAAATAAAATGTGAGATCCAGTTCACAGTTTTGGCCAAACAACAGGCTCTGTTCACGCTTACGGACGATGTTCGGGAACATGCGGATGGCGACTCCCGGTGTTGTTCCCGACGCTGCGCATGCGATAAAACCGTGGATTCAGCAGCAGCGTCTTCACAACCTCACAAATACGGCTGAGTATCATTCAGAAGTTGCCGTTACGATACATCATATCTCAGTACAGTTCACTTTCGATTTGATACGATATATTTCAAATTGATTCGATATGGTTCAGTAAAAATAAAGGCTAAATCGTTTTGGTTGTGGATGCAGTGTTCGTTCACACTAATCCGATTGAAAACGGCTCCAGAGACGGAACGATCTGGTGCCTCCAGCTCCACGAAATGGGCTTTTAATAAAACAAAGAGCTGAAAAACAAAACAACAGAGAATCAGAACCCAGCAGAAAGTCTGGTCACTATTCCTTACACAGTGTTGGGAAGTTTACTTTTAAAATGTAATCCCCTACAGATTACAGATTACATCCCCCAAAATGTAGTTTGTAACGGAATCCAATAAATTACTTAAAGTGAGTAACGTAATCTGAATACTTTGGATTACTTGATTTTCTGTAGAGAAACAAAGATTCGTATATCTTCACTTAAGATATTTTGTCTGTTAAAAGACAATAAAAAGCCCAGTCTTTCCTTAACCGTATTAAAAAATATTATTGATAGAATAGTTTCGTCCTGTTAAATCCTGGTTTAGATCTGGTTTAGATCTGGTTTAGACCTGGTTTAGATCTAGTCTTGACCTGGTTTAGACCTGGTTTTAGGCCTGGTTTAGTCCTGGCTTAAGTCCTGGTTTAGATCGAGTTTAGACCTGGTTTAGGTCCTGGTTTAGACCTGGGTTCAGTCCTGGTTCAATCCTGATTTAGTCCTGATTTAAACTTCATTTTAATCCTGGTTTACTGTCCGGCAATGAGTGGAATTACCAAAATAAATAAATAAATAAGGAATATAGCCCAAAATGTGAAAACAGGAAAATACTGCCATGTAATTCATTTATTTCAACAAAGTAACTGTAATCCAATTACCACTCACAGTAACTGTAACTGAATACAGTTACTCATAATTTGTACTCTGATTACGTAACTCTGGTACATGTAATCTGTTACTCCCCAACACTGTCCTTACGTGGCTGGTGTTTCTGCAAAACTACAGAGGATTTTCAGACGACACGAGATCTCGGACGATTTCAAACCTACGAACACTTTAAGACAGAAACTGGTCCACAAGCCAAACAACGTGGTCTACTCCATTCAGTGTAGTGAAGACGGCAGAGAACGACACACACAGAAACAAAACACACACTTCACAAGACGATGAACCAACACAGACGAGAGAGCAGCACATTTTTTGTCCAATCCAAATGTAAACACACCAGGGGAAAAAACATTCTGTTTGCACAATCTTCATGCAGTTTTATCTCTTAAAATCTTATGATACGAGGTCTTATCCCTAATAAAATAAAATAAACACGGACACAGCCTTTTGTCTGACCTTGTGTTACAGTGAGTACAGGTCTGATATTACCCAGACCCCCTCACTCCTCTTGTTTTTTTGTGTGTACATTTTGTTTGTTCTGGTTTAGACTTGTATTTACTGTGTGTTTTTTCTGTGTTAAACAGGTGCCCGGCCTGTGGCTTTGTCTTGAAGGTCGAGCCCCAAAGCATCAAAGTGACTCTGGAGGTGAGACTGGACACTGTTTTTGAGTTTCTCTTTCACAGTGAAACAAAAACAAAGTCACTGCACCTGATTTTCACTCTTAAAAACGTGAAAAACAGACCTAGCACATTTCAAATGGAACTGTATTTTCGGACTGTAAGTAGCTCTGGAGTATAAATCGCTCTTCTTCGTAGTTCCCTCTGTACTTACTGTATTGTTCTGTATATTACTGCAGTACATTTGAAGATACCACATCACAGTACTTCAGTTCCATCCAAAGTGACAAACCTGTAAAATTCAGCGCCACATTTATCAGCTGAAAAGAGAAACGTATTTTCTAAAAACATTTTTTTTTAGGATAAGCATCAAGTTTTCTCAAGTCACTGAGTTCAAGTCCAAGTCGAGTCCCAAGTCCATTTTATCAAGTCTCAAGTCCTTGAACTTTGGTCATAGCAGCTGTTTCCCTCTAGATACAAAGGTCAACTTGGGCTTAAATTGAAGTTTACAAACTTGGGAAGTTTTTCATCTACGTTTGAGGCAGTGATATATGCAATAACATGCTTGAAAAGGATCACTTTTGCTGACATTTGTCAGGCGGACAGACATTAGTCTTCACCAGATCGTGTTGTATCGAAATCGTTGTCGTGCTTTGCAGATGGAGCGGGGAGAGGAGGCCGCGAGCAGCGAAGACGGCGGCGACTCGAGCAACGGCGACAGCGACGATGAAGACGACGAGGACGACGACGAAGACGACGATGAAGATGAAGAGAGCGAGGGGTCCAAAGTGAAGAAAAAAAAGAACTTAAAAAAGGAGGAGGAGGAACGCGAGACATCAAAGAACGGAGAAGAGGACGAAGACGAATACGAGGATTTCGATGACAGCGACGAGAGCGATGAGAGCGATGAGGGGAAGAGGAAGAGAAGGGGGGACTCGGACAATGAGTGGACTCCTGAACAGAGCCAACAGACTACGAACCAAAAGCAGCAGCAGCAGCAGGAGGACGGCGAAGCGAAAGAGCCCAAACGCAGAGGCAAGAACTCTACTTTATTTATCGAAAACAATGAACAGGTTTTACAATTTCCTCTTATTTTTTAGCAACGACACAGCTCACGTTAAAAGAAATTATAGTCATTTAAAGCTGACATGATTACAAACAGGCACATCCACAGAAATCTTAAATAAATTAATTGGAAGAGGGTCCAATTCCACATCTAATGAACTGATTTTAAGCGTGGATCTATGGTTATAACTGTGACAGAAAGTGTACGAAGGAGGTTTGAAGTAAAAAACCTACACTAGGTTTATTCGGGATTAAAAAAATAAACATATTTTATCATTTTACCTCATGCCTGGACTAAAGCTGCATTGCTTCCACGGCAAATCTCCAAATGCCTCCCCTCGACCATCTCAGATTTGACTGAAAAAATTCTAGGAGGTTCACACAAGTCCCAAATTTTAGCTCCCATCTCCATATAGTTTTGTTATTAAAAAATATTTTGTCCAACTCCCCCCTGAACTGTTTTGAGCAGAGTTTTCCAAAGCGCCGCATTCAGATTGCTGTATCTAAAAAAATGATTTAAGGTCGGTCCTTCAAATTTTCAAGGGTTAAAATTTGTCAGACGTACTTGTAGAATCTGGACTTTTACACATGTGATTTAGATTTATTAGATTTCTGGAAGCTTGAATTTGCTTGAAAGTCCTATTCTTCAAATCTGAGGGCGTCTTTGAAGGACTGTGGAAAGTGCAATTTCAAAGATTTGGTGCTGTGTACTTTTTCAGTCAAATCTGAGATGGTCGAGCAGGGGCTTTCGGAGATTTGGCATGGAAAGACCCCTTTATTTTAGAGGTGTTTTTTTTTTTTTCTATGGCGGCCTCATTTTTTCATTGCTTAGTCATAATATAAACTTTTATCGGTCGTCCCAACTCATCAAAACAATGCAAATTTATAAAGAAATACAATCAATATTATGCAGAATTAACCTGGTACTCCACAATATTTTCTGTTTCTCTTGTGGCCCCTTGGAAAAAGATGAGAGCAAAACCTTGGAGGGTCGAGACCAAGATGAGACCAAGACTTTTAAAGGCTAAGGCCAAGACAGGATTAAGTCCTCTGAGGGTCGAGAAAAAGACAAGACCGAGACTTTTTAAGTTCAAGACCGAGACAAGACCAAGACCTCTGAGGGTCGAGACAGAGACAAGACCAAGACTTTTAAAGGCTAAGGCCGAGACAGAGACAAGACCAAGACCTCCGAGGATCCAGACCGAGACACGACCAAGACTTTTAAAGGCTGAGACCGAGACAAGACCAATACATTTAAAGGTCGAGACCAAGACAAGATAGAGACCGTGGCCCATCAAAACTAAATTGAGACCATTGTGTAATTTTCGACATTTGTTTTTATAATTATTTTGGCAAATACAGATTAATGTTTTATAAATCTATCGCCATTTTATCTCTTGTCGAGTGTCAGACCTTGAGACTGAGTCCAAACTCGATCGAGTCTGAGACGAGACCAAGACCGTAAAAAAAAGACCTGTCTCGAGCACTGCAACACTACTGTTTACATTTGTCTACATTGGCCACAAGAAAAGGCACATCATCATGAAATTGTTCAGTTAAACTAGGGGTCACATTAAAATGCAAACGCTGTTACCGCAGTTTCAAAATACACGAAATAAAGATTGAAAAGAAAGATTTGTCTTGGGTAAATTTTAAATGTAAGTATAATCGTGTATCTCCTCTTGCAGGGCCCAAACGGAGAAAGAAGCAGCTTTGCATTGACTGTGGATTGTTTTATAAGAAGGTCCACAAATGCAAAGACAAAGACAAACCGATCGTGTGCACCGTCTGCGGCCGAAGATTCGACTCCGAGCCCGCTCTGAAGATCCACAGCTACATGCACTCGGAGACCCACGAATACCTCTGCAAGTTCTGCTACGCCGGCTTCCGAACCAAAGTGGACAAGCTGACGCACGAGCTGGTCCACATCAAGAGCAAGGATCCTTTCCAGTGTCCGGAGTGCGATATGTCGTTTCCGAGTTTCCGGAAACGCGCGGCGCACAGGATAGAGCACAAAAAGGATAAGTACAAGTGCGACATCTGCGGGATCGGGTTCGGCGAGGAGCAGCACCTCCTGAGACACGTGGTGGTGCATTCGGGGGAGAGGCCGTTCAAGTGCTTCGTGTGCGAGCGAGGTTTCAAACAGGAGTCTCACCTGAAATCCCACATGCGCCTTCACACCGGGGAGCGGCCGTACAGCTGCAAACTCTGCCACAAGTCCTTCAATCACAACGTGAGCCTGAAGAGCCACGTCCAGCGGTACCACCCGGAGCTCAGGGAGGTGAAGGAGGAGGAGGAGGCGGCGGCGGCGGAGAAAAAGGAGGAGAACAACGAGCAGACGAAGGAAGGGGAGACGTCCGAGAAGCCCAAGCCCAAGTACAAATACAAACGGCCCCCGAGCGGTCGACCCAGGGGCAGACCCAGAAGAAACCCGAGCGAGAAACTGGAGAGCACCCGAAGGAAAATCTATCAGATGAAACCGGAGCCGCAACTACCGCCCGAACCCGAACCCAGCTACGAAAGCGAAGAGGACTTTACCTGGTCTCAAGAGTGGATTAGGCTTTATAAATCACTGAAAGCTGTAAACTAGGTGTAAACTTTCGAACATCAGGCAGGGGGCGCTCTACTCTTAAAGCAGAACTAAGTAACTTTTAACGACAGAGCCCCCCCCCCCCCCCCACCCCAACCTCACCCCACCCGTCGTGTTACTGAAATTCCGTTACTGTGCTTTACTGAGGACTCCCGCTGCCAGCTCAGTCCTCTCAGTTACCTCTACGGCCTACGGCATCAGAGGTATAATACTCCCTACAACAGGACAGGACTAGACTGGAACGGACAACACTATCACGGTGTCTCGAGGCGTCTGGTCCCGTACTGATCGTGAATGAACTCAACGAAGCCTGATGCCTTTTTAATTCTCTGGCTACAACAATTTATTAATTTATTCTACAAAACCCTGCGACTCCCTTACGAGAAAATCAAGAACAGACTCAAAAGTGCTTTTTCCTGATCTTTTTTTGATGAAATAATGCAGTATAATCACAGACAAAAAAGGAGAACTCTCTTCTGGTCGAGTTTGAGGGAGACAACGGACGTTTCAAACACCTCAAACATGTTTCCCTGAGCAGCCAGTCCCTTCTACATTCTTTTTGAGTCCTGAAAGGGTCTGAAAATGGACCGAAGAGCGAGAAAAACCTCCGTCCAAACTTGGGACAGTCCAACCACAGGAGCTCTTTCGTGCCACGTGTCCCTCAAATGCAGAAGACGTCTCCTCTTGAAAATATTTGTATCCTTCAGAACAAAATATATCACTTCTTGAACCTGAAATAAGTAAGAGTTTGGTGCGTTGATATCTGCTGTTTCTCAGTCCTCAGTTGCCACGTTTACATGAGAGCTTTAATTCCGAATAAAAATAATTTAATTCTGAATAAAAAATTATTCCACTTTAAAAAGATCATGTAAACACTTCCTAATGATGATTATTAAACTTAATTCCAAAGTAAGTGGGAGGTTTATTCTGATTTTAAAGCAGAATTAATTTATTCCTCGATCATGTTTCATGTTTATTCTTCTTAAAGATAATGTCGGTGGTTCACTTCATGCTCGTTGTGTCGCCCTTCGATCCGGCAACTGCAGTCCTGCAAACTAAATATGAGAGCAAAGTAAAATATACAAATGATGAATGTAAGAATATCATGTATAATTTGTGCTGGATATTTTATTTGGCATTAAGCAGCAGATCGTCACCAGTTTACGGAAGCCGAGAGGGTCACAACAAACGCAAACGCCGCAACAAATACAAATGCGACAACACAACAAAAGCCGCAACACATTAAAAAGCCACAACAAACCAAAAAAAAGCCACAACGGAAGTGACCGCGGGACTCTATTTTCAGACGGACCGATCAAGCGGCAAGTGAAGAAGAAGAACTACAACGTGAAACGAATAATGATAAAAAAATAAATTACTTTTACTTACGTTTCCAACTTCTCCCGTGGTCACTTCTTTTGTGGCTTTTTGATGTGTTGTGGCATTTGTGTTGTGGCATTTGTATTTGTTACGGCGTTTGCATTAAAATAGAGTCCCGCGGTCATTTCCGTTGTGACTTTTTAATGTGTTGTGGCTTTTTGTTGTGTTGTCGCATTTGTATTTGTTGCGGCGTTTGCCTTTGTTGTGACCCGTCTCGGCTTCCGCACCCGTCCCATACGCCGCGCGGAGAGTCCTCCCATCCCGTACGTCACGCGGGCTGCGCCACTAAATCAGAACTAAACCAGGTCTAAAAACGGGTCTAAAACCAGGACGATTTAGCCAGGACTTAACCATGCCGCTGGACCGCCCACCGCGCCTCCTCCCATACGCAGCCCAATTCCTTTCACTTCTCCGTGTTTGATAGAGCTTAAGAAAGCGAACGTCCCCATCCTGCGGGACAAAATATCGCAGATGTGGGCCGGAGCAGGACTGAAAATTCTGCTCTGCTTCTGACCTCTGCTTCACAATTATCATCGGAATCATTGCGGAAAAAGTTTGGATCATGTTTGTGTCCGTGGCGTAACGACAAACCGAGATGACAGAAAAACTGGTAGCAGCTTCCTGACCACGTAAATATGTTCGTGTCTTTGTCCAATCAGAGCCCTTCCCCACCCCCAGACGCTGAACGGAATTAAATAAAGACGATTTAACAAGTTCCTCAATTCAGAATTATTATTTCAGTGTAAACTTTCCAAACTATTTAATTCAGAACTTCGGAATTTAAACAAAAACATCATGTAAACGTGGCTGGTGCTAATTTTTTTTCTTTATGTAAGCAGCAATGTTTGTTTTAATCCGAACGGAGCATGCCTCTCTCTGATTGGTTAATCCGCCTGTCAATCACTCCCTCAGAAATCAGGGAGACAAGGACACAGCTTCAGATCCACTCGTCTTTGTAAAGTTTGGGCAAAGCGCGTGGTTCTGGCTGGACAGGTAACTGAAAATCCATATTCAACAGGGACTTTAAGACGTTGAAAAAGTAAAAATGTTACTTAGTTCTGCTTTAAAAGGCTCAGTGTAGTATGTTCTGTGAGCCCCTCCTACTGTGAACACGCATTAGTGTAATGTACAGTAATCTTTATTCAAAACTTACCTATGGGCGTTTTGAACTGTGTTGAACTGATGTTTCTTAATCAAAACAGACCTGGAGTTGTGTCTTTTACCTTGGAACTTGTACTTGTACGTGTTTATGCCTTCTCTATCTTTAGACTTTTAAACTTTAGGTAGGGCTGAACGTGAAAAATATTGCAATTTTTCTGAGGATTTGATTTTCAATTTCTTTAGGATTCTGTTCAAAAGGTCACATTTTAAACACAAGGATTTAGAAAAAGACTGAAAACGAATACAAGAATTCATTTCATTTTAGATCATGTACAGATTTAAACTACAGGGTGAGCAGCTTTTATGACGGGATGTTGTTGTGTTTGTGGAGGAAATGATGGTACTTCAAAAACTGCAGCCTTTTTGATTTGCTAATGGGCTCTATTCACGCTTACAGGAAGACGTTTGGAAACATGCGGATGATGACTTCCGGTGTAGTTACCATGGATCATTTAAAATAATTGGACAGGTTATTGCTGCTTCACTTACTGGTGCTACAGCGAAAAAATCCCCCCGATTAGAGCCCGTAGCCGCGGGACCCGACACAAAACAGTGCAGCGCAGGACACATTTTGAAAGCTCATTGCAGACGTGAGCGGGATATTAAGGCTGCGTTCAGACTGAAGTGACCCAAATCAGATTTTTTGGCCCCTATGTTCCTGTATCTGATCTTTTAATGACAGTCTGAACCACACAGATCAGATTCTTTCAAATGTGACCCAGGACACTTGGATATGTGCTCCTGAAACTGATACATATCTGATCTTTTGACATGTGACTTCAGTCTGAACGGCCAAAGCTCATTCATCCACCTCCACGTTATCAACAAGACACAAACGTCACTAGTCTGCGCTGAAGAAGGAGAAAATTGTTAATGAACTCAAGCGAAGCACATCTCCACTCACCACTCTTGGCTCCGTCTCCACATCCACACGTTCATTTCAACGGACTGAACCACAAAACACCACGACCAAAAACCTCGTCCTTCTCAATCTCCTCCTTTAAAACAAGTAAGTTGTTCATGTTCTGGCTCCGGTACGAGAGGTACCAGGTAAATCGGTCCAAATTACCTTGCATCAATTAAAAATTTACTTTTTAGTGCACGTTTTCTGAAAATCTATCTTGATAAAGCCAATATTTAATATTTGGTGTGTCATTTTTAAGGATCTTAGCAAGAATGAACACTGATGGCTCATTCTAACGTGTTAAACATGCACATTTTTAAATTATTCTCTTTATTGAGCACCAGTCCCTCGATTGGCCCTCTGCTTCGTCTGTGTTTAGATATGTGGACCTTGTTGAAAAAAGTTTGGACACACCTGCACTAGACGGTTTGTAAAACCTGGAAGTTGTAGATCTCGCTCCGTCCAACCAGCTGTGAGCTGTGAGGCCATGACGTCAAACTCGTGGCGTCTGTCTGGGTCCCTTTTGTGGAGCAGCACAACAGGAAACAAAGCGTCGAGATGGATGTAGACGAAGACAGACATTCTGTGTTGGCGACGATTCCCGAGATTGAGGATTTAAAGCCAGAACAAAGAGAATGTTTGGTGAATTTTATCAAGGGCAAAGACGTTATTGTCTTTTCTTACGGGATTTGGCGCATTACATACGTCACGACCAAACAGCAGCAATTGGTTAAATAAAAAAAGTACCCGTCTACCGTCAAGCGAACGAACGAATCCTAATGCTGCGAGGTCACGCGGTTTCCATGAAGTGAAACCGTCTGAAGAATATTTCACATAGAGCGGAGTCACAAACTGCTCGTGTTACCTGACAAGGCACCTACAACTTTAAAAAATGACGGATTTATGGCAATTTTTACCTATTTTTAGATCATGAACTTTTTCTCAGCTCAAAATCCTCTCGCTCTGAATCTGGAGACTTGTCCCATTGAGCTCGGACCACGACTTGAATGGGCGGCCAGAGGTTTTTAGATCCCAGAGTTTGGTAGTTCCCGACTCTGGGCATGTGATAAATCCATGGATTCAGCCGCAGCGTCTCCACAACTTGACAAAGCTTTCCACGGGGGACGGGACTCTAATCTCGTCTTCTTTTTATTAAGTTAGACAAATTAAAATACACAAATTAATAAGCAGTTTATAAAAGGAATAAAGAAAGAATACAATAACCCCTCCTCGCCAGCAGTCGCCAAAAGGAAGTCGTCATCCTCAGGTTTCCAAACGTCTTCCGGTTTTGTGACGTGAGCGTGAATAGATCCCGTAGCGTCCGTTCACATTTCGATTGAGATGAATGTTGTAGCCCTACTCCACCAAATCATGAAATAATTTAAAAAAAAAACATTTCAACTTGCCATTTGCACTTTAATTCTTTTCCCAAGGTGCTAATAACGATTAAAGAAAGGGTCCTGAGCCCTCTGGATTCGCTTAAATCAGACACTATGTAAATGCAGTGCTTTTTTTCTGCCCGTTATTTACCTTTACTTTATCTTACAGAGATTTCATAAAACTAGTAATAATAATAATAATATTCTAGAAGGTTAAATGATCCAGATGTAAAGGTGCACTGTGTGATCTTTCTGGAGAAGCGTCCACCACCTCCTTGTCTCTACGAAGATGATATTTGAAGGTTCCACAGTTTGGTATTGGTGTTAAACTCTATTTGGAGACGGGCAGATGACACTACCGGGCCAGTTACAGATCAGTTCTATGGAGAGGCGATTCCGCTCCCCGTCAGTTTTTGAAGGGATTTTTTGTGCAATATGAACCCCTGTGAGTAGGACTGAGACCCGACAAACCCTGAGATCAGGTCCACGAGAAAGAGACAAGACGAGATTTTGACATAATTTTTAATAAATAGTGCAATCATTTCACAATTTTGGCTTCACTATTTTTTATTTATTTTATGCGGTTATTGCACGTCTGCTTTTTGGAACTACAGCTTCTCAAATGGCATAACTAACTCACTTTGTTTTTTTTTTTTGTGATGCCAAACATAAATTCAGGGGGAAAAAGTCCCTGTTTACCTGGGACAGTCCCGAATCTGGCTTTGATGCGGCGCGACTTGAGCGTTGAGGTGTCCACACTCTGGACACGGGTCGCGTCAACCAATCAGGGACGAATATCCAGAGACGAAGCGACGTTTTCTGGAAGAAGAAAGAGAAAGAACTGGGGGTCGGGGCTGGGAGCCAGAAATATTAGCGGAGTATAAATATAAACACGCTGCAACCTCCGAGCCGATCACCAGGACTACACCAGGACTTGATGAGGACTGGACCAAGACTAGACTAGGTCTAAACCAGGACTAAACCGGGACTGGACCAGGACGTATTGATATTGAACGGTGATTAACTGTTGCTGGAACTACTTGTGCGGTGATACAAAAATTAAACCCGTCCGTTAGCGTTAGAATTCTTACTGACCCTGGTATAAATGTTAGTTCATGTCACACTGCGGAACTTTTCTCCATGGAGATGTAACTGGCGGATTCCCACTCCAAAAAGTTACACAGTGCATCTTTACGAATAGGATTTTTTTGTTTGTTTTCTTTTTTGCCATGTGTTCTGTCGTAAAATGGTGATGTTTCTTCTCACAGTAAGATGTGACAACTGTGTTAAAGATGTAAATGAGATTTCTCTGCCTGTGGTTGTAGACCGGGTACAGAAGTGGACTAAAGCTCCAGCTCCAGTCAAATGAAGCTCACTGAGGCCTGTCGTTATGGGGAAAGTTGGAGCCAGGTTACATATTTGGATTAGGAATGGATTTACGGAGAAAAACGTGAAATAAAAGCATCAGGATCATGAAGAGAGAGTGAATATGAACATTTTAAGACCAAAATGACGAGGCTCACAGCAGCAGTTACAGACAGAAGGGGCGACGGTTTTTCAATAGAAAGTGAATTGGAGCCAGAGTCAGTGGAGCCGGAAGCGCGCCCATGCTCATTTCCTATGTGCGGGTCCACTCTGTCCATTTCTGTATACAGTCTGTGCTTGTGACATGATTTAATTTCTTTGCTGAACATCATGGACTTTACGGTTGTGTTCGGTTCGTTATTGTCGACACTTTCTCTGTTTATTTTGTATTCACTTTTTTACATTTTGATAACTGCACAGCTGTTAAACTGTTATGCATTTTGGTGCACTTAAGCTGTAAATAAATGTTCAATGTTTTGTTATTGTTGTCGGCGGTCATTGTTATTACGTTAAGATTCACTTTATAGACCTTTTTCACAACGGCCGGAAGCGCCGCGATGCAAGTAAACGTCACTTTTAGTTAATGGTTTTCTGTGTCACAAAGTGTGTGTAAGTGTGTGTGTGTGTAAGAGTTTGTGTGTAAGGGTGTGTGTGTGTGTGTGTGTGTGTGTGTGTAAGAGTTTGTGTGTAAGAGTTTGTGTGTAAGGGTGTGTGTGTAAGAGTTTGTGTGTAAGGGTGTGTGTGTAAGAGTTTGTGTGTAAGGGTGTGTGTGTGTAAGGTGTGTGTGTGTGTGTGTGTAAGAGTTTGTGTGTAAGGGTGTGTGTGTAAGAGTTTGTGTGTAAGGGTGTGTGTGTGTGTGTAAGGGTGTGTGTGTGTAAGGGTGTGTGTGTAAGAGTTTGTGTGTAAGGGTGTGTGTGTAAGAGTTTGTGTGTAAGGGTGTGTGTGTAAGAGTTTGTGTGTAAGGGTGTGTGTGTAAGAGTTTGTGTGTAAGGGTGTGTGTGTAAGAGTTTGTGTGTAAGGGTGTGTGTGTGTGTGTAAGAGTTGTGTGTAAGGGTGTGTGTGTGTGTAAGGGTGTGTGTGTGTGTGTGTAAGAGGTGTGTGTGTAAGGGTTGTGTGTGTGTGTGTGTAAGGGTGTGTGTGTAAGGGTGTGTGTGTAAGAGTTGTGTGTAAGGTGTGTGTGTAAGGGTGTGTGTGTAAGAGTTTGTGTGTAAGGGTGTGTTGTGTGTAAGGGTGTGTGTGTAAGTGTAAGTGTGTGTAAGTTTGTGTGTGAGTGTGTAAGTGTGCGTGTGTAAATGTCTGTGTAAATGTCTGTGTAAATGTGTAAACGTGTGTGTAAACGTGTGTGTAAATGTGTAAACGTGTGTGTAAATGTGTAAACGTGTGTGTAAACGTGTGTGTTATATGTGTGTGTAAATGTGTGTAAATGTCTGTGTAAATGTGTAAACGTGTGTGTAAACGTGTGTGTAAATGTGTAAACGTGTGTGTAAACGTGTGTAAATGTGTAAACGTGTGTGTAAACGTGTGTGTAAATGTGTAAACGTGTGTGTAAATGTCTGTGTAAATGTCTGTGTAAATGTCTGTGTAATGTCTGTGTAAATGTCTGTGTAAATGTGTAAATGTCTGTGTAAACGTGTGTAAACGTGTGTGTAAACGTGTGTGTAAATGTGTGTGTGAACGTGTGTGTTTTTCTCCAGCAGCTTTCATAAATCTGCCAAATCACCAAATCTTCAACCAACAAACTCCACAAAGAATAAACATTCTGACGTAAACATCTCCTGGTGGAAAATCCACAACGGGATTTTAAACGTCCTGTTTGACACAACTTGATGTTGTTACTTCATCAAACACACAAAGTGATTCAATGTGCTTTACAGAATAAATAAATACATTAAAATCACAATACAAACAAATCAAAACATAAATAATCATCATAAAATTAAAAAGAGAGAGACATTCAAATGAGACAGGAAGAGTGAACTGTGCTGAGCCTGGATTTAACCTTTAATACTTCATTCTCACAGACTTACGCACTTTTACTGCACATTTCTATGTCCTCGAGCTCTTTTCCAGTCTGAAAATCCTCAGGTTCACTCATGTTGTTTATCAGAGAGATGGTTTTCTGCCCAGAAACAGCAGGGGGAGACAACTGACCACACAATCGCCCAATAAACACACCAATAACCACCAACTGAAAAAATGTATTTGTATTTTGCTTGTACAAATCTAGAGAAGAATGTGTACTCATTTTCTCCAAATTACTTCATTTTATTTTATATTACCTTTCTGTTTGTCTGCTGTGTCATCGTGAAATTCAAAATCTCAGACTGGAGGAAAAATAAACCAGGCCTTGATTGTTTTTTGTTTTTCTAACAAAAGCAATAATTTGGAATTTCCACTGTAGACATGAGTTAGTCAGTGGTTTTTCTGTTAAGAAGGATGGAGTTAAAGTGGGGTGACTAGGAATTCCTGTTTACCCATGTTGGCGTGTTCCAGTTGTAGAAAATAATGACTGGAATCGATCAATTGAAATCACAAAAGTTTATTCCCTATTAGAGGTAAGATCTTAAGACCGAGCCCGAGCCCGACCTAAAATGTCAATCATTACTTCGGGTCGGGTCGGGCTTCTCTCTCGCTGACTTTTTTTCAAATAAATATATGTTTATAAAATGTATACTAAAACGATGTGTGGATACTAAACTAAGGAATACTTGTTATAAAATTAATAATTTGGATAAAACAGAGAAGTAATGTAATGTAATTGCTATTTAACTACTAAACAGGATCCGCAGAGCCAGAGCTCTGCGCACGTGAACGCCCCCTCTTCATTTAATAATCTTCCCCTCCGCAAGTCTGCATCTATTTTGACCTGGTGTCCCCAATATGAAGGAGCAAGAGGTTAAACTAAAGGCAGGAGAACTGAAAAGACAAACACGCACCGGTAAGAGTGAGGTGTGGAAAAGCTTCAAATTGATTGTTGAAAATGCTACAGAAACTTGCGTTGGCTTCGCTGAATGTCGTCAATGTGGCTTTGCTTTCATACGAGAGCAAAAAGACTGGCACCTCGACGCTGAGCACTGCTCCTCCTCCCGAGTCACAAATAAAATATGACATTTCGGGTTTGCTTCGGGCTCGGGCCTGCAAATCAAGTTAATTGGTCGGGCTCGGGCCGGGTCGGGTTTTAATACCCGCGGGCCGGGTCGGGTCGGGCTGGATTTTTTAGGCTCGATCTCACCTCTATTCCCTATTCAGTACAATTCTGATACAGAGCTCTGGGTCAAACCACTGTCCCTGATGGCCTATTCTACACAGGTCTTACTTCAGACAGTCTGAACACCTGCATCTGTCCCTTAACCCAGTATATATACATTCACAGAAATATGCAAATGATATGTTGATCAGGTTCACGCCTTGGCTCCTCCTTGAAGCCTCTCCGTTTATGGGAATGACCAGGTCTGTTTAGGTTTGGAGCCAGCCAGGATGACCCCACATCCGCTGCTCTGTAAAGAAAGTCCTTATCTTTAAACACATGTGTCAGATGTCAGTGGTTAAACATTAAATGTGGTGTACTCTCGACACTTTAATACTTATTACGGCCTTCACCCAGGACAGTCCCAGTTTTGAGCCCTGTGTCAATTGTCCCAGTGGATTTATCAAAAAGCAGCGATTCGTCCCAGTTTTATTCAAGAAATGTCCCAGGTGTCCCTGTATTGACCAATTTGATCCCTGCCAACAGTAAAGAGACGTATAGATTGTCATTTGTTTCTGTTTGTTGTTATCGTTCTGTTTAAAAACGACCAAAACACAAAGAAAATGTGACTATACTGACTCACATGTTGGTCATAAATGGTCTCTGCAGAACAATTTTCCTTAATTACGCACCCATTTAACAATTTTATTATATCCATCCACCAAAAACCCAGGGATGTCCCAGTTTTTTATTTTGAAATTTTGGTCACCGTAAATTAACGTCTCAAACCATCCAACACCTGCGTTTGGATGTTTGGTAAGAGTAAAACTGTGAAAAAAGCACTAAACGTTGTCCTTTTGTGCCTTATGCTTATTTTCCAAGCTTTGCTTTCTGTAAAATTACAAAATATTGGTCCCTTTACTGCTGGTGGGTAACAAATTTGTCAAAAAAAAAGGGACAACTGGGACATTTTCTTGTATTAAACTGGGACAAATCACTGGTTTTGTATAAATCTGCTGGGACAGGGGACACAGGACTCAAAACTGGGACTGTCCCGAGTAAACAGGGACGTCTGGTCACCCAAAACTGTATAAACAGCTTGAAACGCTCATATATTAATTTAAGTAAAACATTTGAATTAAATTTAAAATGAAATAAAATGAAAAATACATCAATAAAATTAAATTAAAAACTAATAAAAATTTAATAAAACCTAAAATGTTTTAATTGAGTAAAATGTAACATCCGGTTTTCTTATGGTACGCCTTTATTTTGAAGAACTACTTCCTGTATAGCACGTTAGCATTAGCTAGCTTGACACCGATAAAGAAGGAGAAAAGTTGACACGGAGACGAATTAACATGTTTTTTTGTTTTAACTTCACCTCTGAAAAGACATACGGTACGTTTTAAGTCGCAAACATGCACAATTGTAATAATTTATGAACCCAAAGTGGATGTTCTATTGATTTAATACTTATATATTCAGTGTTGGGAGGGTGACTTTTAAAATGTTTTCCCCTACAGATTACAGATTAAATACACCAAAATGTAGATTGTAACGGAATACTTTAAATTACTTAAAGTGAGTAAAGTAATCTGAATACTTTGGATTACTTGATATTGTCATGTTTTTTTTTAAAACTACATGAATGTATCAACCACATCCTGAAAATTCTTGTTTGTTCTCTTCAAATTGGCCCTGGTTTAGTCCAGGTTTAGTCCTGGTTTAGACCTGGTTTAGTCCTGGTTTTAGTCCTGGTTTAGTCCTGGTTTAGACCAGGTTTAGTCCTTGTTTAGACCAGGTTTAGTCCAGGTTTAGTCCTGGTTTAGTCCTGGTTTAGACCAGGTTTTAGTCCTGGTTTAGTCCTGGTTTTAGTCCTGGTTTTAGTCCTGGTTTAGTCCTGGTTTAGTCCTGGTTTAGTCCTGGTTTTAGTCCTGGTTTTAGTCCTGGTTTAGTCCTGGTTTAGTCCTGGTTTTAGTCCTGGTTTTAGTCCTGGTTTAGTCCTGGTTTAGACCTAGTTTAGTCCTGGTTTTAGTCCTGGTTTTAGTCCTGGTTTTAGTCCTAGTTTAGTCCTGGTTTAGTCCTGGTTTTAGTCCTGGTTTTAGTCCTGGTTTAGACCTGGTTTTAGTCCTGGTATTAGTCCTGGTTTAGACCTGGTTTTAGTCCTAGTTTTAGTCCTGGTTTAGTCCTGGTTTAGCCCAAAATGTGAAAACAAGAAAATCCCGCCATGTAATCCATTTATTTCAACAAAGTAACTGTAATCCAATTACCACTCACTGAAACAGTAACTGTAACTGAATACAGTTACTCATAATTTGTACTCTGATTACTTAACTGTATATAATACTGTATATAATACTTGAAACACACGTTAGACGTTAATTAACTGATTCCTATTTTACAATGGGTTTAACGTTCTTTTCTTCTTTCAGTTCAGTTCATGTTTATTTATAAATCACGTTTAAAACAACTTCACTGGACCAAAGTGCCTCACATTAAAGTCAAGAAAAACAGAAGAAACATGTGAAAACTACAATAAAACACTGAGATCACCTGTGTATCTAGGATTAAATGCCAGAGAGAAGAGGTGAGTTTTCAGTCTAGTCTAGAGTGTCCAGACGTCCCTGTTTACCCGGGACAGTCCCAGTTTTGAGCCTGTGTCTCCTGTCCCAGCAGATTTATATAAATCCACTGATTTGTCCCAGTTTTGTATAAGATATGTCCCAGGTGTCTCTATTTTTCACCAATTTGATCCAAACCAGGAGTAAACAAAGATTAAACCAGGACTACATCAGGTCTGAAACCAGGACTAAAACTGGACTATCACAATTTTCGACTAATCTGATCCCGGCCCACAGCAAAGAGGAGCATAAATTGTCATTTGTTTTGCCAAAATGACTTCAGCATTGAGAAACCCTCATGAGAGGCGACTGGATTTCAAACAGGTTTGATTTTTATCCTTATTTATTATCAGTCCACGTTTACTGCACGAAGCACGACAAATGATTAAATCCAGGCATACGCTGTGCAATTTTTGGCCCTTTTAGAGTCAATTTTTCACTTGTGCGACTGTTTCTGGGAGTGGGCAGAGTTTTGACTTAATTGTGTCGTGCTTCGTGTAGTAAACATGGACCGATTAACACCTCACGATCAGCTCCCAATTGTAGGTCGCAAGAATATCAATCCTGTTTGAAATCCAGTCGCCTCTCGTGAGGCCTGGATGAGCTGTGAAACGTATTTAACCAAACACACTTTTGTCCAGGTGACAAACTGAATTTACCCATTTGCTTTGGATTCTACCTGGGCGACTGAGGGTTCAGGGTCAGACCTATGTTCCCACAGCTCTATGTTCCCACAGCTCTATGTTCCCTCATTTCTAAGATTTTTCTCAAAATGAGAATTAGAAATTAGAAATGAGGGAACATCGGCACGCTCACATTCATGCCCAGTTAACAAATTGACTTTCTCCTTTTGCTATAGATTCTACCTGGACTGAGAGATTCTACACACATATATTTTAGCCAAACAAATGACAATGTTTTCCCCTCTTTATTGTTCATCAATTTGATTCCCTCTTTACAGGGATCAAATTATCAAAGTCTGAAATGGGGACAACTGGCACATTTCTTGCATAAAACTGATAGTCCGGATTTACTCCTGGTTTAGAGTTGATATAGTTCTGGTTTAATCTTAGTTTAGTCCTGGTTTGGACCTGGTTTAGATCAAACTGGTCAACATTTCTTTTAGAAAATTGTGAAAAATCACTGGTTTTGTATAAATCTGCAGGGACGGGGAACACGGGAGTCAAAACCTGGACAGTCCCGGGTGAACAGGGGCGTCCGGTCGCTCTAAATCCGTCTTATTACGCGTAAACTCCGTATCGTCCGTGATGTTCGAAGCCCCGCCCCTTCTCCGGCGCGCGCGTGTGTACCTGCCCCCGCCCGCACGTGCGTTATGCTAATGAGCAGGTGAGTGGAGCCGGGCTCGCGGGGGCTCGTGCTGCACTCGGACTGCGGCCTCGCGGACAGCAGCAGCAGCAGCAGCAGCAGCAGCAGCAGCAGGTGCGCGTGGAGCGGTGCGCGAGCCGGTGATGACGCGCGTGGAGACGCTGTGAACCGCGCGACTTTTACCGAACCGATGGAGCCGCGAGCGGGACTCACGAGGACGGACACCGCGCGGGCTCTGCTCCTCGGGCTCGTGCTCGTTTATCAAGGTCAGTGCAGGTTTTTACATTACACCAGTATTACGTTTGCATACGTTTTTATTCCTATTTAATGAATATATTATGCAACGTAACAGCATTTTTAGAGTGACCAGACGTTCCTATTTACTCGGGACAGTCCAGATTTTGAGCCTGTGTCCAATGTCCCAACTGATTTATCCAAAACCACTGATTTGTCCAAGTTTTATACAAGAAATGTTCCAGGTGTCTCTATTTTTGACCAATTTGATCACTACCGGCAGTAAAGAGAGACAAATTGTAATTTTTTTTAGCTAAAATATAGAAATCATGCTTAAAAATGACAATAAGATAAACAAAAAAGTGCAATAACAGTCCTTCAGATTATGACTGACCCACAAGTGAGTCGACAATGCACAATGTTACGAGCTCTTTTCACAATTTTATTTATACAATCCATCCTAAACCCGAGTGTGTCCAAGTTTTTAATTCTGAAAATATGGTGCAACTGCATTTTTAGGTTGACCAGACGTTCCTGTTTACCCAGGACAGTCCCAGTTTTGAGCCTGTGTCCCCTGTCCCATCAGATTTATACAAAACCACTGATTTGTCCAAGTTTTATACAAGAAATGTCCCGGGTGTCACTATTTTTGACCAATTTGATCCCTGCTAACAGTAAAAAGAGACAAAAAGAGACATAAATTGTCATTTGTTTAGGTAAAATACAAAAAATGTGCTTAAAAACGACCAAAACACAAAGAAAATGTGACTATACTGACTCATGTGTTCGTGCCTTAATAACACTCGTTTCACAGTTTTAGCATTAAAAGCCACCAAAAAAAACAGGAATAAACAGTGTTGGGGAGTAACAGATTACATGTACCGGAGTTATGTAATCAGAGTACAAATTATGAGTAACTGTATTCAGTTACAGTTACTGTTTCAGTGAGTGGTAATTGGATTACAGTTACTTTGTTAAAATAAGTGGATTACACGGCAGGATTTTCCTGTTTTCACATTTTGGGCTAAACCAGGACTAAAACTAGGACTAAAACCAGGACTAAAACCAGGACTAAACCAGGTCTAAAACAGGTCTAAACCAGGACTAAACTAGGACTAAAACCAGGACTAAACCAGGTCTAAACCAGGTCTAAAACAGGTCTAAACCAGGACTAAACTAGGACTAAAACCAGGACTAAACCAGGTCTAAAACTAGGACTAAAACCAGGACTAAACCAGGTCTAAAACTTGGACTAAAACCAGGACTAAACCAGGTCTTAAACTAGGACTAAAACCAGGACTAAACCAGGTCTAAAACTAGGACTAAAACCAGGACTAAACCAGGTCTAAAACTTGGACTAAAACCAGGACTAAACCAGGTCTAAAACAGGTCTAAACCAGGACTAAAACTAGGACTAAAACCAGGACTAAACCAGGTCTAAAACTAGGACTAAAACCAGGAATAAACCAGGTCTAAAACAGGTCTAAATCAGGACTAAAACCAGGACTAAAACCAGACTAAACCAGGTCTAAAACTAGGACTAAAACCAGGACTAAACCAGGTCTAAAACAGGTCTAAACCAGGACTAAAACTAGGACTAAAACCAGGACTAAACCAGGTCTAAAACTAGGACTAAAACCAGGAATAAACCAGGTCTAAAACAGGTCTAAATCAGGACTAAAACCAGGACTAAAACCAAGACTAAACCAGGTCTAAAACTAGGACTAAAACCAGGACTAAACCAGGTCTAAAACAGGTCTAAACCAGGACTAAAACTAGGACTAAAACCAGGACTAAACCAGGTCTAAAACTAGGACTAAACCAGGACTAAACCAGGTCTAAAACAGGTCTAAATCAGGACTAAAACCAGGACTAAAACCAAGACTAAACCAGGACTAAAACCAGGACTAAAACCAGGACTAAACCAGGTCTATAACAGGTCTAAATCAGGACTAAAACCAGGACTAAACCAGGTCTATAACAGGTCTAAACCAGGACTAAAACAAGGTCTTAAACCAGGACTAAACCAGGTCTAAAACAGGTCTAAATCAGGACTAAAACAGGACTAAACCAGGTCTAAAACAGGTCTAAACCAGGACTAAAATCAGGACTAAACCAGGACTAAAATCAGGACTTAAACCAGGTCTAAACCAGGACTAAAACAAGGACTTAAACCAGGACTAAACCAGGTCTAAAACAGGTCTAAATCAGGACTAAAACCAGGACTAAACCAGGACTAAAACCAGGACTAAAGCCAGGACTAAACCAGGTCTGAAACAGGTCTAAATCAGGACTAAAACCAGGACTAAACCAGGACTAATTCAGGACTAAAGCCAGGACTAAAACCAGGACTAAACCAGGTCTAAACAGTATGACACTAACATTAGGGTGAACATAATTTAAAGCAGCAGTGATCTCATATAAAAATCATTTCTCTGTCAATAATATTTTTAATCTGTTTAAGATGTTTATTTTCTTTTAGCAGATAAAACAAAACTTCTCATGTTCAGATCCTCGTCTTTGTTTCTCTACAGTAAAACAAAAGTCTGTTCATGGAGACTTGGGCTCAACAGACAATTTGAAGAAAACAAACATGAATTTTCAGGATGTGGTCGTTACATTCAAGACGTTTTAAAAAGCACGACAATATCAAGTAATCCAAAGTATTCAGATTACGTTGCTCACTTTAAGTAATTTAATGGATTATGTTACAAACTACATTTTGGGGGATGTAATCTGTAATCTGTAGGGGAAAACATTTTAAAAAGAACCTTCCCAACACTGAATATAAACATAGAAAGTATTTGTGCCACCGTAGTCTTAACAAAATCTATGAGAAACATTGAGTAACATTTCTATTTGTAAATTAAACTTTGTATTAACCGAGTAGTAGCGTAATTTAAGAGTTGCTGGATGTAGTTTTGGCTCGGACAGATGAACGGGGGAGCGGTCACTTCTCGCTCCGTTAGTTTCGGCTGCAGCAGGTGTCTGTCTGTCTGGAGCTCCGGAGGCGGGGGGGGCTGCTGCTGCTGCTGCTGCTGCTGCTGCTGCTGCTGCTGCTGCTGCTGCTGCCGCTGCTGCTGCTGCTGCTGCTGCCGCTGCCGCTGCTGCTGCTCAGACTCTCCACCCAGACTCAGGCGCTTCTGTTGGGGGGATGGTTTTTCAGAGCGCTGCCCGAGGACGACAACTAGGGGTGTGTAAAAATATCGGAATATCGATATATCGTATAATTTAGTGTGATGATACAGTATCGATATCGTGGGCTACTGTATCGATATATCACCAAGAGTATTTTTACATGGTTTACTAAATTATTTTGTTACAGTGCTACAGTTTTGTGGCTTGTGGAGTGAAAGGAAACTCATTTATGCGACACATTTGATATTTTGACACCGTTTTGAGGATTAAAATGTTTGTGTTTCATATGAACTTTGCACAAGAAGCGGTTTAACAAAGACTTTTAGTATCACAGCCACGATTTAACCTTTATTTTTTATTGAACTTTATCGAATCGATTTGAAATATATCATATCGAATCGAAAGGGCACTGTATCGAGGTATGAATCGTATCGTGGCCTGTGTATCGAGGTATGTATCGTATTGGCAACTTCTTAATGATACCCAGCCCTAACGACAACCGCCTGCTCCTGTTTATTACACCTGCAGAAACGAGAAAAGTTTATGATCTTTAGAACAGACTTTTCATTTAATTAGATAAACTTGATCCCTTTTAGTTCAGCGCATTGGAATTTTTTATTATTATATGGTTTATACACTGGAAAAAGCTTGGCCAAAATAAGATATAAACACTTAAATCTAACAGAAAATGACTTAAAAGTGGCGAAATCATCTGTCCAAGCAGCAAAATCATTTTACTTGACAAGTTATCTTAAAATAAACGACCTCTAGACTAGAATGAAGCAGTTTCAGAACTTGTAAGTAGATGAATAACCTGATAAAAGTTTTAAAATCATGGCCAGATCAGAGAAATTTGCGGCGTAGTTCATTTATAATACCAAATTTCCTCTTGTGTGAGCTTTAAGTCGTGTTAAAATGTTATTATCTTATCAAAAACAGACCTGAAGTTGTGTTTTGTTTCACTCAGACATGTTTGAGTAACACTTTATTATCAGTCTGTCTACATCTCCAAAGCTCAAAATGATCTGTTACACTTTATTTTCAAGTGAACTGCTCCTCTTACCTTTTTTTGTGTGTAGAAATAGGCAATTCCAGAGCAGAAATTATAATGGAGCACTTCCTGTAGAACCACAAGGTGCAATATTAGAACAAAGATCAGAAAATAGTGTAATATGGGCGTACATGGAATGAGAATTACAGCGAATATTATAAAAGTCTATTTTTACTGCTGTGTAGATTTTTCCTTCACAATACCTGTATATTAGCCTGATTCATCAGCTGGTTTCACTTTGTAGAAACTGTCTGACCTCACAGCATTAAGATTTGTTCTTTCAATGGTAGACGGGTACTTTTTTATTTAGCTGTTATTTGGTCGTCACATATGTAATACGCTGCAAACAGGGCTAATTGGTATATGAAGTTTTTCCAAAATCCCGTAGGAAGAAGGACAATAACGTCTTTCCCCTTGATAAAATTCACCAAACATTCTCTTTGTTCTGGCTTTAAATCCTCGATCTGGGGAATCGTTGCCAACACAGAATGTCTGTGTTCGTCTACATCCATCTCGACGCTTTGTTTACTGTTGTGCTGTTCCACAAAAGGGACACACACAGATGCTACAACGTCCAGGGTTCTTGCAGACTGTCTTGTGTATTCTGATTCCTGATGTAGTCGCTGGAGAGAAATGAAATTGAGTGGAGGCACTAGGTGGCACTAACCTGACTACCAACATGAGAACATAGATCAGAAAATAGTGTAATATGATACAGTCTTTAAGGTTGATCAGTCCTACATGGAATGAGAATTATAATTAATATTATTTTTAGTGCAGTGCAGCTTTTGCCTTCACAATACCTGTATGTACCCCCCGTCTGAAAGCTGCACTGTGTAACTTTTTGGTTGGGGATCTGTCACCTTCTTGTTTCTTTGGAAATCCTCATTTCTCTGCTTGGAATGTTCCACAGTGTGACATTAAACATCTACTTTACATTTACTCAGTGACAGGTGGTTTTGTTGGTCAAAAATATGTAGAAAAACAGGCATTCTCCCTGTGAGTGTGGCCTCTCCACAGATCTGACCTGTGACTTGGTCTGGTTTGGATAGAAAGATTTAATACTGATGTAACAATAACTGAAATATCGAAATATCGTGATATTGTTTCGTCAGAAGTCTCACACACGTAGGGAACTACATTTCCCATGATTCATTTCAGTGCAAACAACATGAAGAAATATGTTTTTTACTTGATTTCTTGGGATTATGATGGAAATAATTAACACCATAATCTTGTCACGGTATTTTAAAAGCAAAGAAATGTCCAATCTACAATTATATCAGCCTCTTCAAAATATTGCAATAAATATCGTACCGAGAGATTTGGATATCGTTACATCCTCGTTTAATACAATACGGTGGAACATCTCAGACAAAGCAATAACATTTCTATGGAGAAGAATATCTGACAGACCCGCCTGCAGAAAAATTACATAGTGCAGCTTTAAGGATAAGTTTGTGATATAAGTTGATGTAATTGATTAGTTTGGTTAGATTCTCTTGATAATATTGTGTTTTTTATGTCAGGGAAACTTAGACCACATCACACCGACACTAACTGAAGATTCAGTAAAATGTATTATTTTAGAGTCAAGATGATTAATCCTCAGTATTTTTATAATATTTAATAGAAGTAAATGATTTTAAAACATGTTTTTGTTTTTCAGCTTGTTTATCGTGGGGAGCAGAGAGAGTCAATCTGCAACAAGAGATCAACAAGTGAGTACAAAGACACAAAACTACTACACAAGACCAGATATAAACCAGAACTAAGCCAAGACCAAAACAGGACTGAATCAGAATTAAACCAGAACGTAGTCCAGACTAAACCAGAACTGAACCAAACCAGGACTGATCCAAGAACAAAACAGGACTGAACCAGGACTAAACAAGAACTTAACCAAGACAAAACCAGGAATTAACTGGAATTAAACCAGAATTTAGTCCAGATTAAGACAGAATTTAACCAAGATCAAAACAGGAATGAACCAGGACTAAACGAGAACTTTGTCCAGACTAAACCAGAACTAAACCAAGACCAAACCAGGACTGAACAGGGACTAAACCAGAACTTAACCAAAACCAAACCAGGACTTAACCAGAAGACCAAACCAGGAATGAACCGGAATTAAACCAGAATTTAGTCCAGATTAAACCAGAATTTAACCAAGACCAAAACAGGAAAGAACCAGGACGAAACCAGAACTGGACTAAGACCAAACCAGGAATGAACCGGGATTAAACCAGAACTTAGTCCAGACTAAACCAGAATTTAACCAAGACCAAAACAGAAGTAAACCAGGACTAAACCAGAATTTAACCAAGACCAAAACAGAAGTAAACCAGGACTAAACCAGAATTTAACCAAGACCAAACTGAGAATTAACCCGGGACTAAACTTGGACTGAAACAGAACCAAGACTTAACCGAGACCAAACCAGGACTGAACTGAGACTAGACCAGGACTAAAACTGAGACTAAAACCGAGACTAAATTGGACCTGGGTGTTGGGGGCAGTGTCTGAATTCGGGATGTTTTTTTGTGGCGTGTGAACAAACGTGCGGTTGTTCTCCTGCAGTGGAAGTCTGGGGACAAAAGCGGAGAAATGGGACACCACGGCCCTCGGAGACCAGGTAAAACCAAGACCCAAGTCCGGACTCAGACCAGGGAGGAGCCTGCAGGACCCTCCCACTAGAACTGCACCACATACAGGAAAAATATTGATATGGCAGAACTGGAGAACAATAATCAGTATCTCAACAACACAAAGGTCTGGAATTTACAATGTTTTGAAAGTAAAATGTTTGATTTTTTAAATTTAATTTAGTCACAGGGTCAAATGGAGAAGAGGAGAGGAGGTGCAGAAAAGAGAGTCAGATAGAAAAGGAGATGCAGAGGAGAAGGTCAAATGGAGCAGAGGAGAGCGTCAGAAGGTACAGAAGATGCAGAAAAGAGGGTCAGATAGAACAGAAAATGCAGAGGAGAGGGTCAGATGGAGCAAAAGACGCAGAGGAGAAGGTTAAATGGAACAGAAGATGCAGAGGAGAGGGTTTGAAGAGACAGATGATGCAGAGGAGAGGGTCAGATGGAGCAGAAGATGCAGAGGAGAGGGTCAGAGAGAGGGTCAGAAGGTACAGATGATGCAGAGGAGGGTCAGAGAAGAGAATCAGAATGCAGAAAGGTCAGAGGAGCAGAAGACGCAGAGGAGAGGGTTCGAAGGTACAGATGATGCAGAGGAGAGGGTCAGATAGAACAGAAAACGCAAAGGAGAGGGTCTGATGGAGCAGAAGATGCAGAGGAGACGGTTCGAAGGTACAGAGGATACAGAGAAGAGGATCAAACCGAGCAGATTAGAGGGTCAGAAGGTACAGAAGATGCAGAAGAGAGGGTCAGATGGAGCAGAAGATGCAGAGAAGAGAGTCAGGCGGTACAGATGATGCAGAGGAGAGGGTCAGACAAAACAGATGATGCAGAGGAGAGGGTCAGAGATAGAGCAGGAGATGCAGAGGAGAGGGTCAGATGGAGCAGAGGATGGAGAGGAGAAGGTCAGATAGATCAGAAGATGCAGAAGAGAAGGGTCAGAGGAGCAGAAGATGCAGAGAACAAAGTTAGATGGAACAAAAGACGCAGAGGAGAAGGTCAGATCGAGTAGAAGATGCAGAGGAGATGGTTCGAAGGTACAGAGGATACAGAGAAGGGGATCAGATGGTACAGAAGATGCAGAGGAGAAGGTCAGAGGAGCAGAAGACGCAGAGGAGAGAGTTCGAAGGTACAGAGAAGAGGATTAGAAGGTACAGATGATGCAGAGGAGAGGGTCAGATGGAGCAGAAGATGCAGAGGAGACGGTTCGAAGGTACAGAGGATACAGAGAAGAGGATCAAATGGAGCAGAGAAGAGAGTCAGACGGTACAGATGATGCAGAGGAGAGGGTCAGATGGAGCAGAAGATGCAGAGGAGACGGTTCGAAGGTACAGAAGATGCAGAGGAGAGGGTTCGAAGGTACAGATGATGCAGAAGAGAGGGTCAGATGGTACAGAAGATGCAGAGGAGACGGTCAAAAGGAACAGAAGATGCAGAGGAGAGGGCTAGAGGAGCAGAGGATACAGAGAAAAAGGGGCAGAGGAGAAGGTCAGATGGAGCAGAGAAGAGGGTCAGAAGGTACAGAAGATGCAGAGGAGAGGGTCAGGTAGAACAGAAGATGCAGAGGAGAGCGTCAGAAGGTACAGCAGATGCAGAAGAGGGGGTTAAATGGAACAGAAGACACAGAGGAGAGGATCAGAAGATATAGAAGATGCAGAGGAGAAGGTCAGATGATGCAGATGATGGAGCAGAGGACGTGTCGCCAGCGCAGGGATTTCCTGTTTTCAGACGGAGAATAGAGTCGTCCCTTTGTGAATATTCAGTTCAGGAGTGTATCTGCGCTCACATGGGCCTCGGTCTCTGTGCGAGGCGTGAGAAAGGCCTCGTGTTCACACCGCACACTTTCACACTTAAAACAGGTCAGGGACGAGCCGCTCTCTGGGACCAGGCCCACATACTCACCCGCTTTTCTACAGGTAAACCACTGAAATGTCTGACACGCCATGACTTGTCTCTGGAGTCTGGACCCACAAGGCGTCAAAAGTCTCAAAAGAATATTATTATTATTATTAGGGGTGTCAAATTATCGCGTGAATTGCGATTAATTAATTACGGTCATATTTAGCGCGTTGTATTTTTTAATCGCGTTAATCTCATTTTTAATCTCTAACTTCTGTACGCGAGTTGCCTTATTATAAAATCTGTTTTTATGTGTTGTTGGGACAATAACACATCGCTCCCGCAAACAATTGTGATTTTCTTTCTCGTTCTCGCCGCATCTGCGATAAACCTGCACACGTCTGAAAACATCACGACACAAACACAGAACAGACTCACCTTCAACACTCTGTCAGAAAACTCATATTCCACTGAGTCGTGTCCTTCAGTCCCACAGAAGCTGAACCGCATCAGCGACACAAGAGCATTTTTTATTTTTCTTGCTTAGTTTATGCAAATTAGCCATGCGGTTTTTAAGTTTTCGTTTCTGTTGAGACTTTGCGCAAATCAGCATTAAAACACATTATAATTTCAAACGAGCTGATGTGGCTCTAGAGTGTTCATGGTTCATATGTAATAATAATAATGTAATAATAATGAATTTAAATGAAAATACCTCAAGTTGAAGGCTTTTCTCAGCATTTTTTTTAGGTGAGATTAAAAAGAGATTAATTAGATTAATTAATTACAGATCATAATTAATTAATCTCTCAATTTTTTTAATCGCCTGACAGCACTAATTATTATTATTATTATATATTTTTTTATTATTTATGACGTTTATTTTGGGCAAGTAAAGATTTACATTTATATACAGTGGAATATATAACATAAGTGAAATCATAATAGAAATGAAAATAACATAAAAAAAAAAATAACAACAACAAAAATTAACTATTATTATTACTATTTTGCCCAAAAAGGAGTGGGAAGAAGAAAACTTAACATTTCAACTTTCAAATTTCAAACTCAGCTGGTAATAATCATAGGAGGGAATAGACCTTTTTCACAACAGCTGGAACTGTCCCACTTTAGGTTTGTGGAACGTCCAGTTAATGATTTTCTGTGACTAAATATCTGTGTAAATGTGTCGTATTCTCCAGCAGCTTCATAAATCTGCCCCATCACCAAATCTTCAACCAACAAACTCCACAAAGGATAAACATTCTAACATGAAGAATTTATCCACAACGATCAAGAGAAGAAAGACCAAAACTTAAAGGAAACAACGAGCCGCATCAGTGCAGGAGTGTGAAACTTAAATTCACAGAGGCCAAAATTAAAAACTGGGACTAAGTCGTGGGTCAAACTAAATATTTATTGAAAAATTTCAACAACATCTGCGTGTTTTCTCTTCTTTTGAGATCTGTAATGTTAAACCTTTTCTTATTAAAATAAATGTTTAATAATAGTTTGGCTTAAACATTGATCAACAAAACAAGCACAACAGAACAAGCAAAATAAAAAATAATAACAACATTTTAAATAAATAATGTCTCTATAGTCGATCTGTAGCCGGCCAGCTGCTCTAATACAGATTTGATCTGATCTCACGGGCCAAATATAATTATATTGTGGGACAAATTTTGCCCCCGGGCCTGAGTTTGACATGTCTGCATGAGTGACACACTGAACAAAACTAATGTTATGATCATGAATAAAACAGAAGGAACTTGTTCACTCCGACTGATTCTACAACTAAAATAAAAAATCGATTTCATGATGTGGATATTAGCACAGTTACAGATAGATTTGTCCAGTTTGAATGCGAGACGTCTCTAGGACCATAACATTAGTTTTGTTCCGTGTGTCACTAATGCGTCGTTCGTCATTCTCCTTTAAGTTTTCGTATTTCTTCTCTTGAAAGTTCATGTCAGAATGTTTATCCTTTGTGGAGTTTGTTGGTTGAAGATTTGGTGATGGGGTTCTGATACCACAATGAATTAAAGGTTGTATGGAGGATTTTTTTTTGTTTCAAATTGTCAGTGATAGATTATAGATGCAGTCGCCTTGTAATTATGATGACCAAAAAAAAGAGAATAAAAATTCATCAACTCTGGACGTGGTGGGGCTAAACATTTGCCAATAGATAACGACACTGCCTCGTTATCTGTGAGCTGACAGGCTGTCAATCAAACTCCCTACGTTTCTAGTGTAACTGACTTGCCTGCGCCGCCGGTACGTGGTTTATGTACGACTGTCACACAGTCCACAGACGCAAGACGCACAGACGCTGTTTACTCCACCAACACAACAGTTCTTAGCGGCTTTTTTTGACCTATATCTTCCTCGCAGTTCGCACAAAGTTTGTTGCAATGGCGACAAGAATCCAGGAGCAGTTCGCCGCAAAAGAAAGTCCGTTTTTGAGGTCGCTGAAAGAAGAAGACAAGGGGAAAAGCAGCGAACCCAAACTAAGGTGATTCTTGAAGATTCATTCCAGCGATGGCGCAACTGAAGCAGACGCAAGAGTCTAAAGACTGAACCACTGGTCCACAAATTACTCCTGGACAGGAAACTTCTGCTTATTATGAAAACGTACTTTATTTTTATTCCAAGAGCTGGACAAACAAACGTTTTTCAGGACACGAAAGCGATATCCTATGTCTGAAAACGTCATTTTCAAGGCAAAGAAAGAGTCCGCTTGCTGCTGCGTGTTGTAGTTAGTTCATTCGCACTGAATCTCCGCGCACTCTTCTCTGCTCCCCTTTCCTGCTCCTGTCCCCGCTGCCCGATCCACTCTTCCCCCTGCTCCTCACTTCTCGCTCCGCTCCGCTCCTCTCCCTCCCTGAACGAAATGTCCGCACACCCGCTCCCCCCGCTCCTCACTTCTCCGTCTTGTCTAACCAACACTGTAGTTAGTTGTTTACAAGTCATGTGCAGCACCGGCTGTAAACAAACCTGTTTGTGGCGTAAGGAGGAGGAGGGAGGAGGCGTTTCTACGTAGGAGCTGTAGGGGGAGGGGAGGTGGTTTCACACATGCGCAACATTTGAAAAAGGACAAACAGTCGCTGGATTTCTCGTTCCTTGGAAAATCCTCTATACAACCTTTAAGTAC